CGATCCTGTTCGTCCTTCCACCCAGCCACCATGCATTCCAATTTGCAATTTGTTTCTACTATTTTCAAATTCAATTTATTTGTATTGTCCAGAGCCTTTGAGGTAGCACCAACAAGCATATTATAATTTAGATACGAACTATTCCATTTCAAATTTATTTTAGTTCATAGACTGTCTAATAACTTGAAATTGATTTTGATTTCATCCTAGGCACGCAGATACCGTGTCTGCACATTGAAGGCCTATCTTTCAATTCCAATATTACGTAATGAATTTCATAATATTATATGTATGGAAAATGAAGTATTGAATAATAATTAGGAAACAAGTGTGCAGAGTCTGAGTAGCACAGTACCCTTCGTCATCACCCTGACCCGTCGTCATCAGCCTGGCCCTCATTTTCTTGCTCAAACACATGTTTTTGTTCAATTTGTCGTATTTACATATTTATAGATTAAAGCCTTTTATACCATCATTTCCTTCACTCATCTTCATCCTTAATTATATATATAGGGTTAATTTCAATTTAGTACCTTGAACTCTTACCTTTAAGGCATGTTTGCCCATGCACTCTCAAATTTTAACGATTATGCTTTTCAATTTATTGTACGTACTAACTGTTGGGTATGAACTTTTTCTCTATAAAAATATACTACTTTAATCAGCCATGTGTAATCATTCTATAATAATATATATGTACTAATATTTGAGCAAACTTAATTCTGAAAGTCAATTTTAAATGATGAAGGGAAAAGGAGGGGATGATGGAGGAAAACATTAGTAGTGACTGATAATGAGCAGCCTCTCTGACCAAACATTGAAGTACTATTATTGCCATAGATGTTTGCTTTTGTTTTGGATCAAAGAGGAACATTCCTCCCGTCTCTAGGCACCGCCTGCCTCAGCCTGCATATATTTATATAAAAACCATGCCATTCATTCATTCATGTTTTCTTAAGGATAATTTCCCCTCACTTTTTAGAATTTTCCACTGCCACCTCTGAATATATATTTATATGGTCATTTCTTTTTCATCTAGCTCTACCATACCCTTTCTTCTATTTACGTAGCTGATCGATAAAAAGGTATATACAATACAACGTTGACCAAAACCATCAATTACTGTTAGAGGACCCATATCCCCCGACCCAAGGCCAAGGTTGCCATGGTTAGGTTAGGAACAACCTTATATTCGTAAATCTAAATATAATTGAGAAACCTAGCCATACCTAACAACAACCTTAACCTTAAGTAGTCCTCTCCTAGTTAAAAATATCTTCTTTTCTATTTTATTTGCGGAGTCTTAATTTTATATGCCATCAATGTCTTTTGTAGTAGCCGAATTAATGATATACACCCAACGAATTAATTTTGTCATCTTCCAATTTGTGGCAAAGTTCAGTATTGAAGAAATAACAGAATCCACCACGATATTTCCAATTTCTCTCTACAATTCTAATTTATATTTTATTGGGGTTCTGTGTGCTCCACTGCTGTAAGATCCCACGCAGACATAAATCTAACGGACAGATGAAAACCAAGAAAATTGAATATACAGGAAGAAGGAACCTCTCTCTCTCTCTCTCTCTCTCTCTCTCTCTCTCTCTCGCTCATGCACAGTGCTCACTGAGCAAGCAAAGCCAAAACCAAACATCACCAGAACAAAAAAATAAAAAAATAAATAGAGGTGGATGATGGTGATGGTTTTTAGTCCCTTTCAGCAGACCCTCTCTTATTTACTTCTCCTTTTCGCAAACCTAGCTAGCTTCTTCTACATATTACTTCCATACATAATAATACATATCTCATCTTTGACGCACTCTCTTTTGTTTCTCCCTCCCTCCCTCCCTCCCTTTCGTCTTTTTCCCCGACAACTAATTCCCTTGTTGCCTGGCTTGTAGCTACTTCCATTTCCCTTTTTGTTCTTCCTTTTTTGGCTAATTAACCAAGAGAGCAAGCAAACAAAGAGCATCTATAGCCATGGATAATGATCACGACCGTCCATCATCTGATTTTTTCCAAGAACACGAGCAGTGCTACTACAGCGACACCACTTGCAACTTAGCTACTCCAGGGGACGATCTTTTTAGCATATTGGAGAGCTTAGACGACGGATTTGGATTCGGAGGAGCCATGGAATTCCCTCCGCCGCCAGCCACGGTGGCATTGGATAATGAACAACCACCGCGACCCCTTGTTTTCAGCTCATCCTCAGCTGACCAGACCGAGCTTGACGAAACCAATTCGCCCCCCAAAACCAAGAGATTGAAGCTCTCTGCATCACCTGCTTCTGGCGGCACCGCGACCACTTTCTCAGATGAAGATGGGCAACATACAAGGATGTCTCATATAACGGTGGAGCGCAACCGTAGAAAGCAAATGAACGACCACTTGTCTGTCCTGCGCTCTCTCATGCCTTGCTTCTATGTCAAACGAGTTAGTTTCTCTACCCATCCATCCATAATAATCTTATTAATTACATCAAATAATCTACATATACACATGTTTTTTTCTTTACATATATATTTCGTCCCTTCACTTTCGAACTTAATTACAAGCAAAAGTAGAAACCCTCCACGTACACGGTACACACCATGGCTCGCTAGCTGCACTAATTTTTGTTTTTTCGTGTTTTTGTCTGCACTATCAAGCATTAACTAGCTAGCTACTTCAAAACAGTACTAATTCATTATTATTTTATTTAAAAAAAGTGTGTATATCTTATGTGTACCTATTTCTGTTGTCTGCTTTTGGTTCAGGGAGATCAAGCATCAATAATTGGAGGGGTGGTTGATTACATCAATGAACTGCAGCAAGTTCTTCAATCGCTTGAGGCCAAGAAGCAGCGAAAAGCCTACAGTGAAGTGTTAAGCAGCCCTATGCTGGCCTCAAGTCCAAGACCACCTGGTCCATCACCACCGGTCCTTAGCCCTAGAAAACCCCCTCTCAGTCCTAGGCTTAGCTTGCCCCCCATCAGCCCAAGAACCCCTCAGCCAACCAGCCCTTACAAGCCCTCTTCTGCTAGGGCTCTGCAGCAACCACCGCCACAATTACCTGCCGCTGCTAATATTATTAGTAATTATCTGATTTCTAGTCCAAACATGCCCACCTCATCGTCATTTGAATTACCATCTCCTTCTTCTTCAACTACTTCCTCCTATATCAATAATAATAATAATAATATTGACAATCTCAATGAGCTCTTCGCCAACTCCAAGTCCACCGTCGCCCAAGTGGAGGTGAAATTTTCGGGTCCAAATGTTCTTCTCAAAACAGTGTCACCTCCGATACCCGGACAGGCTGTCAGAATCATTTCTGCTCTCGAAGAACTGTCGCTTGAAATTCTTGACGTCAGCATTACCACCGTTGACGAAACCATGATTAATGCCTTCACCATCAAGGTATTTCACTTCATTTGTACCTAACCAAATTATAATTTGTTAATTAATTTCACTTCCTATAGTTATTTGCTAGTTTTAGATTTTGTTTTACAAGTTTTGCTTAGCATATATATTAATCATAGCCGAGGATATAGTGACGATATCTAAGAAATAGTAACAAAATGTTAAATGCATAAAGGGTGATTTAGTTCAGAGGAAAAGTACTGGTTTTGTCCTTTACATGAAGAATTATGCTTGCAGTAATTTCATTTCCAGTTGTAAAAATTTAAAAAAGAATGAGGTATGTATGTGTGTACTGGATTATTGGGTGGTACCGTACGTGTACTGACTTACTGATTTAAATGCTCGTGTGTAAAACCGTTGAAAACAAGGGTGGGTGGGTATCTTTCAGACATTGATTTTGTAGCTACCCCGTACAAATATATTAATTAGGATTTTGTTTTGATGAATCATGTGGGTGACTAAATTTGGAGCTGCTAATGATTGGGATGTTGTTTCTTGCTTTGTTGCTAGATTGGAATTGAATGCCAACTTAGTGCCGAGGAACTGGCTCACCAAATTCAGCAAACATTCTGCTAATTGCATGCCCCATCTACCTAACAATCTCATCATTTCTCCCCATTGGTGTTTGGTGCTAATAATAAAACAGAATGTGGGAAAGGCTGTTTTTACCATATTCTTATTAACAAATATGTAATTCTAGGATCAGATCAGTAATTACTTGTTTTAGCTAGGGTAACCCTTTGTTTAATGCATCTTCTCTTAGTCTGAATCAATTTCAATTTTTCTTTTTCTTTTTTTTATGCCCAAGGAAAAGCTACATATATATACCAAACTCAGCTGGACCAAACTCTAAAAGAAGATAATAGACATACAAAAGCATTGCTCATCAATCAGGTGGGCCAATTTGCCTTCAAATTTCATTCCTATGGTGGTTATGTAAGAGCGACATGTTTGAGGCTGGGAAACATGTGCACGCCATGGACCGCACTTCTTCAACACGCCCAAATTTCATCTCGTCTCATTTTCCCGGAAAAAAAATTTGAGCCACCACCAATTTTACTTTTTCTTCTGGGTTTCTTTCTTCTTGTCTATTTGCAACGGAGTAGGAAAATGTTGGAAATGATAAATAATTTTTTAAAGAAAATAAAAAAATAAAGCACAGGAATTGAATGGACTGGTGTGAACCGTATGGGCCATTTGAAGATGTCTTGGGCCTGCCATATCTACTATGCAATGGGTCGTGCAAACGAAAAGAAAAGACGTTGTTTCCGAAACGGCCTCTGCACGATTAGACGTCCCGTCGCGATTGGGGCTTTCGTTGTTCGGATGCGTAGAAGACAATTCTGATGGGCCCTTACGTGAAAATGAAAAACGCGTGAATCTCTGATATGCGGACTAATTAATAAGAAAAAAGATTCATAAAAAGAGAATATTCAGTTTATTGATCTGAATAAAACTGGAAAACAAAAAATATATATATCAGCTTTTTTGGGTCTCTTAATGGAAACGTTTCAATCAGACTACTTAGCGGATGTTACAAAGTTTAATTATGTTGGCTCTGGAAATGCTAATCTCTTTTGGGAAGGAAGCTAATAGCTATGAGGAAAAGAAGCCTGGACCGTCAAATGAGAAGTTGGGGTATAAGTTTTGATCAGCCTGACCAAATGGGAAACCCAAAGCAGCAGGAGAGTTGGTTGCTGAAGTAGAAGACGAAAGAATCTCTGCAATCTCACACTCAACACCCTGAAAACCTTGGCTGCCTCCTCCAAAGCCCTGCTCTGAAGCTGAGAAATACTGTGTTCCAGAAGTTGCAGGCCCCATAAATGGAGGAGAAAAATTCCCCACATAGTTGTGGTTCAATGGATTGTAGGGAAACAATTCCTGATCACCAGCGTCTAAGCCTTCAGTTACTACTGTAAGGCCTTGTGGGATGGCTAAGAGCAAGTCTTGTGGTTGCTGCTGATTCTGTTGAGGGTCCACTATGTCCATGCTGTTCTGTGGAGGAGGAGGAGGAGGAGGAGGATGAGCACTGGTTGTGCTGGTGGAGGCTTGTGTACATGTGTGCCTTCCTCGGTAAGTAATTTCGAAGACTGTTGGGTCCTCATCGGAGCGTTGCACTTGCTTTGTGGCCAAACAGCATTGAGCATTCCGATAAGTGCATCTGTAATAGCCTCTGCCAAGATCAACAATCTAATGTTAATATGCAAGTTACACATTGGTTGAGTTGACCAAGTCACAAAGGGATTCTTTAATGAAAATGTTCTGCCTGGCCTACCTTGGATATTTGGCTCCGAGTATGTCCTTTTGGCCATATTTCCTCCAGCTGAAGCCATCATCAAGAGGCCCCTCAAGCCCTATACCTGATGTAACTCTTATTTGTTGTGTCCACCTTGGCAGAGTTTTCCTGCAACATTTATGAAAATTCAAAAATAAACCACCACAGAATTATCATCTCAATCAAGTACTGATAAACCAACAAAACATTATCATGACAAACTACCTCTTCCTGGACGACTCTTTGTTGTCCTGGTCCTTGAATTCGCGATCCGAGTCTTCACTATGGGGACTTCCATTGAGAGAAGGTGGGGGGGACTCAATCATTCGAATCGCAGCATGACCTGTGGGTAGTTGTTGCTCTCCCCCTGAGGCTGGGCTGCTAGAATTGAGCATGGAAAGCGCCTTTTCGTATGAAACTATGATTTTTTGAACCAACGATTCCCGGGTTCCATGAGAGGAAGACGGAACATTGAGATGGATCTGGAGTTGCCTAGCTAGCTCCCTGCCTTGTGCGAGCTCATTTATAAGACTCATTTTCTCCCCATGCATATTGCAGTTCTCCATTTGTTCATACACTATATTAATGGACGCAAACAGTTTGTGATCAACTAGCAAGCAGCAAAGACCTGAAATCTTAATTGCAAAGGATATGCTAAATTAGGTTATGTGGAGAAGCATGAGAGATTGGAATGAAGTTATATTATGACCAACCAACAGAAAGCATGGAAATTTAACCAAAACAAGAACTGGGTTTTCAAGAATTGCAAGTAAAATGTGTTTTTCTCCCCCTCTATAACTAGAAACAGACTGAAAATCAAAGGTTGATTCAAAAACTACCCAAAAAGGAAACAGAGACACGGATTTCTAAGAAGGGTGTGCTTAGTTTTTGTGTGTAATTTGGATTATTTAATGTAGTTAGCAAAGGAGCGAAGATGGAAACTTGATGAGGAAGGAGAGGGAGAGATGGTTATGGGATTTTAAGGGAAGCTCTGTTTTTGAATCTAAGAAAGTGAGGGAAAGAAAGAATAAGAGAAGTTTGACTGAGAAAATATGAGAGGATACTTTCTTCATGGGAGACCAGTCTTTGGTCATAGAAAATGGAGTTTCAAAGGATTCATAAGAGTAAGAGGTCCAATTGCTGACCATTTCAGCCTTTTGCTTCTCCTTCACATAAGCCAACAATAAACATCAATATTATTGCTCTCTCTCTCTCACTTTTGCATCTGATTACTGGAAAAAGAAGAAAGTCAACTATTAAGCAAAAGAGGTAGGAGACCAAAGAATCTTCAAACTTAGCTCCGCGTGTTAGAGCATCCATAGTGGGAGGGTATATTTTCTGGAGTGTAAAGCCACTTTTCCATATCTTTTATACATCGGGGGGTTGTAAATGTGATTTTTGCTCCAATAAGGAAGATGTAAATCTAAAAATGTATAATTGATTTCTTTCACTTTTTTTTAGCTATAGGTCCCACTTTTATCCACTTTTTCTCACATTTTCTCATATAGGTCCCACCTACAAGATATGTAAAAAAATATGTATATGTGCATCTAAATTTGCATATCATGGTAGTGATGCAAATTTACACTCCTTTACACCTCTCCATTGCGGATGATTCCGATCACAAAAAATGTATATTTAATATACACCTCGTTATACACCCTTCCATTATGGATGCTATTACTAACTTACTACTAGTCCTCCTACCAGCCCTACCCCTGATCTGAATCATCTGATGCCACTAAAAACAAGACAGATTTGATTTTACTGAGACGAGAAAAGAAGGCCATGACGTACTGTTGACGTCAGCTTCAAAGCTTTGCATACGTTAACGGTTCAAAGTGGATTGGATCTCCTATGTTTATTGAAGAGGAGACAAAGTGAAGAGGAGACAAAGAATAGGCTGAGTCAGACCCAAAGCCCAACGAAGGAAAATGATAATCTAGTAATTATTTGATTAACAAAGTGAAAACAGTCGGATTGTCACAGAACTGGGTACCGTATTTTGCGTGCCTTATTATTGGTGTGAAGAACAGTCGGTCATGTGTGTCAATCTCAACTTATAATATTTCCTTTTCTTAATTTGTGTTTCATTAACATTAATGGAAAGCGAGCATAACATAGTTGAAACAAAACAAAGCGGTGCTAAGTGCTCCAGTCTCTCACGCGTTGTAATTTGAAACACATGGTTATTATTTTTTTTTTGGTCTGAAGAAACACATGGTTAATTGAACATCTTCTTTCTATACTATTTGGGAACTTAATCAAGTCTGATGCATGCACAAACTTCTTTTATTTTTTATGTTTTTTTTTGGTCGAATTTTGTTTTGTATGGTTTAGATTCTCTCTTTTTCAATTTTACTTATAATGAAGCAAATAGTATTGCATACTGACTTGCTCGATTTGATTTGCATAATGTGGACTATTTTATTTAGTTGGAGGTGCCCTTTAATCTTATTCACAACGTCCTATTATGGATGCTAAATTGTACAAAACTATTATATATATATATATATATATAAAAACAGTATCATGTTGGTCCAAACCTTGAACCCTGTTCTTATTCAATATAATGACTTTCTGAGGGTGGTAGTTAAAATCCACTCTCAATTTACTTTGACCTGATGATAAAGTGAGGAGGGTGACAATCTAATTAAAGAATTAGTAAGCATAAGACCTTAAACAATTTATATATTATATGTCTATATACATTAATTCCACCGAGTGTCCTGCTTTTTCTTCAACTGACAAGGACAAGAATGAACCCATAACTACCGACGTACAATGTTTAATTTTCTTTTGCAACATGTATACAGGAACCATTCAAAACAAAAATTTGACCAGTTCAAAAGGAAATTCAATGATTGGGGCTTAGCTAGCTCTATGACTCTATGAATCTGTGACTATGCGAAATGGAAGAAGGAAAGGGACTCTAAAAGTGAGGCTGAGTGTGATGCCCCGAAAATGGAGAGAATTTGCAGTGCACAAGTCCAGCTGATACGTAGCCGCAAACTCATAATGTCTCTTCTACAACCTCCTTCTAGAAGATGAACTTCATACGGCCAAGTTGTTGACCGAAAGATTTTTATTAGTTTAGCCGCGTGGAAATAGTAGGACCGTCCCATGTGACTTTTTCCATTCCAACATTTTTATTATTTGAGTCAAAGGGGGAGGTTTAGGTTAATTACTATGTTAACTTGTGAAATCTCAGTAATCAACGTAACAACCTTGACCACTTAGTGGTTAATAGGATGGGGAAGATTAGGACAGCCTAAGTGATAACAAAAGGAAAGAACAAAAGTGCGATAGGAAAAGTTCTTTGATTGATGATGCAGAGAGATTACAAATGTATCATATATGAACAATATTATTCTTTAGTCAGGGGAATTATGATCACTCTCGATCGTCAATGGTCGGCTCTCCGTTTGCTCGGATTAGGTATGCGGGTGATCGGCGTTTTAGTCGCCGTGTTTAGTGGTCGAATCACAAATGGGTGATCAATCGTTGGTTTGGCCAGAGTTCCCATACTCTTAATTGAGTGGTTGGCTTTCTAAGGTGTGCTATAAAGTTAGATCCTACATTGTTGTGTGTGTGTTGGGTAGACTGGGCTCGGTTATTTTCTTATGTCAATAAAATCTTTGATTTTTTAAAGTTTTATAAGGATTCTTAATCTTTCTTCCGTGACTAATTGTATTGGCATATTCTCAAAAATTGCGAACATCACCCTCTCCGGCTCTTCCAATGCACATTAACGTTCAACTTGTGCAATTTGCGTTAAGATTATGAACAACACACAGCCCACCCCAAATACTGCCTTAATTCAAAATGTGCAAGATCGTTTGGAACTGGAATTGAGATAGAGGCCCAATCCCGTTAGTCTAATTTTGGGCCTCTTTTAGTGAAGAGGGGGCCGAAGCCCAAACTCATTCCTGGGCCTTTTCGTGATAATTCAATTTTTCTTCTCTCTCTTTTTTTATTTTATACTTTTATAATTTCGAAACTAAATTAACTAGTATACTCAAGTAGTCAAGAGTTGTTCCTCTACACTCGAGGTCCTATCTTCAAATTTCACATTTTCATATATATTATCTTTTATAAATTTTTATAAAAAAAAAAAAAAAAAAAAAAAAAAAAAAAAACTACCTAATATTTCTGTTAAAAAACAAGTAGTATATATATAGTTTATTTTGAAGATACAGTATGGCTGATATTGAGCAACGTAAAGATGCTGAAGACCACCACACTTAAGTAGGTCCCACAAATTACAAAGAATACCACATCGAATAGGAACCAGCCCATGTGTTACCAACTTCATCCACAGGCTTCCGCAGATATCTTGTCGTCCAATAAGGACCCGCCACGCCAGAGCTTCACAAAGACCATTCTCTGCTCCAACACCACCCACGTCACCATACCAGCCTTGTACGATGTACGTGTGCAATTGTCTGCCGTGGCGTTGAAAGACCAGTAAAGTCCCAACCGTTGATTCTGCAGAGTTGTAATTTGTGGACACCGTAATTCGCGTGTTTACGTTACTTAAGTCTCCAACTTTCGTTGTTACCAAAAAACAAAGTCTCGAACTTTCTTAATTCTTACTCCGAGATTCTCCCAAATTCTCGTCACCGGATCGTTCGGGCATTGTTTTCTGCAACAGAGGTATGATTGTTTGCAGTGGGTTATTTTTGTGTTCCTAGAAAAACTATGATACAAGGGGTTTGACACTTCGCCTGCATTTCTTTGTGTTTTTATTTTTATTTTTATGTGTTTCATGATCAGTAATGTTCTGAATTTTTAGTTGGTTTCTTTTCTCTTTTGTGCTGATTTATATACTGCTTCTTAGATGAATTTTGAAGTGTCTCTATCGCACGGAACAATGAGTTTTGATAGTATTGGTAAACAAATGAGTCTAGTTTAGTACCTCACTCTCACTGTGAAGTTTATTCAATCAAAATTTATATGCTTCCGACTTGATGAAGAGATCGGAATTAGGAGGATCAACTTGGGCTTATTAAGCAGGATTCACTTCTTAAACAGTGTTATTAGTGGGCTATAATATGAGGAAAGGTCATATTACAGCTCTGCTAACAATATGTAACAATGAAGAGTTTATTTGTTTATTTGCATATTTTTAGTAATTGTAATGTGCGTTTGTACAAGAAAGGGGAAGAGCTTAAAATGGCTGCATTTCTTTTTGTGTGGTTGCAGAATTTGTGCATAAAGAAAGCTCTGACTCATCACAAAGACTTTTTCTGAGGCAACTTGGCATGGGAGTTGTGACAGTGTCTAGCTCAGCTTCAAGGACTCCGTTAGGATTGAGCACGAAATTGACAAGTCAGAGATCTACGTTGAGAAAGCCATTGATTGTTGCATTTAAAACAGATGAAGCAAATAAGACCGCCTTGGTTGCACCCCAGGAGAAAATACCATTGCCTATAGAAACACGAAAGAAGCACCAAAAGAGACTAGGGAAAGCTAGGAAACTTGCAAAAAGTGTAAAGTCTGCCACTACAGATGTAGCTTCTCCTTCTACCTTGGAAGTGGATTACAATGAAGCTGCTGCCAAACTGGAAAACTTATACAAGCGTAGCCCCGAGATTGAAGCCAATTCAGATGTGGAAGATGTAGATGGCTTGATGAGAAGAGGTTGCAAAAGGAGGAAGAAGACAAGTGAAAGTGATGCTGACAAAGAAGAGAACAGAACAAGTAACACTGTGGTTAGGAACAGGACAAAGAAGGCTAAAAGATTGAGTCTTGATAAAAGGGTTACATTGAAATGGAATAAGGATGAGAAAGTGATTGCTTCCATAGTTAGAAAGAGAAAAAGTAGAAAGAACGAAAATGAGAAGATTGAGGAGCTTGTAAGGGAGTATTCGGCTTCAACTGATCTGGTTAGTTTGGATTGGAAAAAGATGAAGATTCCTCCAGTTCTTACATCCTCAGAGCATGCTTGGTTGTTCAAGCTAATGCAACCTATGAAGGTGAGCCTTCTAAAGTTTCCGTTTTCTGGCTGCAGTCTTAAAAATTGGCTTGTAGCATTGTACATGTGTTGTGTTGGGTGAGTTGTATTTTGCTGCCGAATAATTATGTTTGCCGCCGAATAATTATGTTTGCCATGATTTAGGGTCTTCTTGAAGTGAAAGAGAATTTGCAAAAAGATTTGGGGAGAGAACCAACCAATGGTGAATTAGCTGAGGCGACAAATATGAGTGTGGTTCAAGTGAAAAAACATTTGGAAGTTGGTCGAGCTGCACGAAGCAAGCTCATCAAGGCAAGCATTGTCCTGCTTTCTATCCACTTTATGTGCAGCGTTACTTTATCTAGTCTTGCATACTGATTAAGAATTTGTGGTTTCAAATGTGAAGCAGAGAATCTAACTTGAAATGTTGATATGTGTTGCAGCATAATCTCCGACTTGTGTTATTTGTCATGAACAAATATTTTCAAGACTTCGCAAATGGCCCAAAATTTCAAGACCTTTGCCAGGCAGGAGTGAAGGGACTTATTACAGCAATTGATCGCTTTGAACCAAAAAGAAGTTTCCGGCTTTCCACATATGGTCTGTTCTGGATCAGGCATGCCATCATACGCTCCATGACACTCTCAAGCTTTACTCGTGTCTCATTTGGCCTTGAATCAGTAAGTTCTTTCTCTAACTAAGCTGGGCTATGGTTATTTTTGTTCGCAATTGCATAATCATTGCCATGAATCACTTGACAACAATCCTACATAAGCATGAACATTGGCTATCTTAGCTCGCATAACTGTTCCTATGCTGCAGAGCCTTGCATACTAGAAAAAAAAAATTGAACTTAAATACAGGATTCAGACTTTGTCTGAATTGTTGATTCAACCAATTTCTATGATAGAGGGGAAACGAATGGCAGCATTATACTACTAGGAACTGAATTTGCACCAACCAAAAAATGCATGTAATGGTAGTTTAGTAGGGGAAAGGAAAAGAATGAAAGTTGCAAATATGGAAACTTACGGTTTTCACTCTTCCTTTATGCAGGTTAGGGCGGAAATCCAAAAGGCTAAGCTTGGGATGTTGTTTGCGCTTAAAAGAATGCCAACAGAGGACGAGATAATTGAAAAGGTTGGAATTTCCCCTGAGAGGTACCATGAAGTAATGAGGGCGTCAAAACCTGTTTTCTCTCTTCATTCAAGGCATACAACCACACAAGAGGAGTTTATAAATGGTATTACTGATGTTGATGGTGTAGAGGGTGATAACCGGCAGAAACCTGCTCTTCTCAGGCTTGCTCTTGATGATGTGGTATTTACTTGCCCTCTCCGATAACCTCATATTAACACCGCACCGCTTTCTCTGTTTGAAGATTGATTGTTAGCTAGACATTTTCAGGATTATTAAGCTTCATTTTAATTACTAGCTAGAAACACAAAGTGACATGCACAAACCATTTAGGCATTTTGTTGACTTGGCTTTAGCACCTGTCACACTTCAAGAGCTCTCAAAGTTTCAGGTTGTTCATCATTACTGATAGTGGACTCAGGTCCCCTTGTAATATACTATTAGTCTACTCTTCCTAAGTTGCAGTCTACAATTGCATTCATGTGGTAGCTAATCCTTTCTCTGAATATTCTCTCACCAGCTTGATTCACTGAAGCCCAAAGAGAGCTTGGTGATCAGACAGAGATACGGGCTTGATGGTAAGGGCGATAGAACGTTAGGGGAGATTGCTGGAAACTTGAATATTTCGAGAGAAATGGTTCGAAAGCATGAAGTTAAGGCTCTTATGAAGCTGAAGCATCCAGCTCGGGTAGATTATCTTCGCAGATACGTAGTATAAAGCGGTCAACACAGCATGATCTCCTTAAAAAAATCTTCTACCTTTGGATATTTGAAATGCTGTATGCTAGTCATCTGTACCATAGGCTTTTAACTAGGCCGGCTGTAAGAAATTTCAAAAAAGTAAAACAGTAAACATAGAGTTCTCATACCATCTAAATCCATATGGATGACAAGACTTGAGATTCCGTATATACCCATGTATAGATGATACATGAAATGTAATATTTTTCGACCCTTTATACGATAATACTCCATACAGCTACAAAATGCAATTTTAGCACACTGAAACATCCGACTGCTATTTGCAAACTTATGCACACAGAGATCATGGTTGCTTTGCTTTTATGTGAAATCTTGAACTTGCTAGCAATTTTTAATGCAAAATATTTCATGTTCATCATGAAATTCACCTTGCCACGCATTTTCTTTTTCTTTCTTCATTTCTTACAGCCCTGGCTCAGGAGGGGTTCCTGATTCTAGGGAAAGAATTTACTTTCAGAGTTTACCTGAACACAGAAAGAGAGAGAGAGAGAGAGAGATAACTGCAAGAACTAAACTACTGCACAAGAAACAGACAGAAGCCAAGCCACAATAACCATCTAAGACGAAGACAACTACTTGAAGCCATTAAACATTCGACGACCAACATTTTTCAGAGTTGTCTTGCTGATTTCTTTTGTCAGCAAATGTATCACAATGTCTCATGATCCAATACCTCTCTAATTCTTCTGGTTTTCGACCTGGAATCCGACCAGCTATTAAATCCCACCTGAAACCAAGACAGCGAAAAGATAAAAACAAAGTCACACCATGGTATTTGTTTATGCAAACCTCCATAACATTAAAATCCAAGATAACAACAAATATTGTTACATCTCCAGATTCAAGCTGTAGAATTCATGCTGGATAGTTTCACGTGACTTGAAACACAACTGTTTCAGATATCTTGTTTTGCAATAACTGCAAGGAGATAATTAAGGACACTCTTGTATATACGGATCAAGGATTTAAGGTCAACTCTTCTTGACTGTTGGACACATGACGGAAATATTTAAAGGTAGCAACGTGGAAGGCAGCTGGGGTTTTAGAGTACAATTAATGTTCGGAACAGTAAAATCTGAAAGACGAAGAGACAATAGAAAAGACAAACTTTACAACTTGAGATGGAAGTAAAGTTTGGAATCTGGGATGTAAGTGCTTTTCCTTTTTGTTTTTTCGATTAACCATGTGCAGAGTTTGCTGTGCTGCATGCTATCAACTCCATATTTGTGTAATGGCTTTGATTATTATTATTATTATGTATTGATAATGAGAAAAATAAAAGATACTAATAATTTGGATTTGGAAATAAACAAGTTATTACCTGGGCCCAACGAGCCTATACATTCTATAGAGGAGATCTTCTTCTTGTTCAGTCATGTTTATGAATTCCCATTCATTGCTAATAACCTCTGCCCGAGTAGATGGGAAAAACAAAAGGACATCAAATGAAAGTTTCATCAAACAGACAAACTTTCTTACAACTAAAAAAAGAAGACAGACAAACTTACTTAATTAGAAATGAAAGTTTGTTGGAAAGGGAACATAAAATGGAGAAGGAATGAAGCACCAACCGTCAGACTCAGAAGTGGCGGTTTTGGGTCGTTTTCGACGACATCGGTCCATGGTCTGGGTTAGAAACCAGACTAAAAAAGAAAGGGAAATGGAGGAGAAAGAGAGGAATGGAATAAGGAATGGGAGAAGTGTAGTAAATTGGGTTGCGCTTGTAACTTGCTAGTATTATATATATGAGTGTGGAATTCAAAGAAAGAAAAGGGAATATATATCTCTTTGATGTGGAAGCCACAACCACAAGTTGCTGCTGCCCCCAACAAACTACAAAGTGTGTTTGTTGACTCGTAGGCTTGTAGACTTGTAGTTGACAACACAGAGCTTAGAGAAGAAACAAGGAAGAAATGGCAATGGGGAAAAAGCCTAGCTATATATATAAATATATATATAAACTTGCCTTGCCTATCTGCTTTGTCTCCAAAAGGCTCATTCATCTCTTTACCTTTGTCATCATGCATGGATGATGGGATGGATGATGGAACACTTCCCCTCTTATTTACTATTTGTTTAGCAGCTCAGTGAGCAGCCAACAAATAAGGTAAAATTTGCATTTTTATTCTCTCTTTTTTAAAATTCCTTTCTGAAAAATAGAAAAGGAGATTTACTATTCTATCCTTGGATCCATTCCATAGCAATAAATATTAGATATATTGGGGCCAATAAAATACCATAATTTAATTAAGAGCAGTGTGCATTTGAAATTTTTGACGTGAAAAGTACATAAGTACCCAGAGGTCACTTCAATGGTATTTTAGTCCTCACAATAATGTTGTTTGTTTTTGGGTCACATGCATCTTCTTCAATAATTCACCGTGACTTATTGTGCACAGAGGAATTTTCAACTTTTGTCCCTACACTTTTATATATAAAGTATAACGCGAGGGAATTTCGAATGGTTAACAAAGAAAGGCAAAGGTACTTGCTTGCTGCCAAGTTTCCATACTGTGCACTTCGTACTATATACGACAGTGCAGACCAGCATCAACATCCATCTATTCTACGACAACAATTCCGACCAAAACTCACTAAACCCCTTTCTAATGTTCATTCCTGTTGATCAAAAGTGACTTATTATTCCCTTTCAATTTTGAGTCAAAGGGTCAAAGGGTCAAAGGGTCAAAGGGTCAAGGCTCAAGCCTAGTGTGAGTTGGGTTGATTGGTCATTGAGCCCAAAGTTTTGTGGGTTTGGGCCCAACCACAGCCCACAACAACAGCAAGGTTTGTTTTTCCTTCTTTCTAAAATTGGAAACAAATTCTAGACCAGCTTCTGGGTTTGTTTTGTTTGGGAATTTGCCTGTTTCTTAGTAGCACATAAAAAGGCAAACACCAATGAACAAGAGAATAGGCAGACATTAATAATCAGCAGTAAGCAGAACAATGAAAGAAATTGCCACAGGTACTTCAAAATTAAATCACTGTTTTGCACAGCAATTACCATTTAACGTCAATAACCCTCCGACTCCGAGGGGTGGTGAAAGCAGCAGGTGTTGCAAAACAGAGCTCTTAATTGTTGCCACACAAATTCTTCTGAATTCATACCAAGTGTGTCAACTGTTTATGCAGTATCTTGAGAAGATACTGATGAATTTCTTTTCTTATCTAAGCCCCTCTAAATCATGTCCTGTATCACTTGAAGAACATCTAAAATTATAACCGAGACTTTAGCTAGTCATTAATTTTACTTTTTATTGTTTTCAAGGATCCAATTTAAAGTTAAGCAAAGAAAGAAAAAGGACAGACAGTGTGAGTTTGGTCAATGAGAGTATGTTTCATAAAGACAATCGAACTGAACAATAGAGTTTATATTTGCTGTCAGAAACTCCAACGTTTCATAAATCAGATTACAATGAGGATGGGTATTGTCTTCTACAGAGAACACATGAACTTTCCTGTTCAACTCAATCCAACTACATCCAGGATCCTTTTTCACTTCCAAGCTTCTCAATCTCTTCCTTGCATTCATCTTTGCCCCCCACTTTCCCAGTACTGCACATATGTTAGACAAAATTATATAAGCGGATATTGGCTTGGGATCCAAGCTAAACATTTTCTCAGCCACCTTCTCACCCAGTTCCATGTCCATCCAGAACCAACAAGCATTTAGCAGAGCTCCCCAGATAACCCCATCTGGTTCCATTGGCATCTCATCGATAAACTCCATAGCTTCTCGTAGACGACCAGACCTACCAAGAAGATCCACTATGCATGCATAGTGTTCAAGCGTTGGGTTTACTCCATAACTTCCTTGCATCATGTGGAAAATTCTCATCCCTTCGTAGACCAGACCAGCACGACTGCAGGCAGACAGAATCCCCACAAAAGTAGCAGCATTAGGGATGACTCCTTGCTTTAACATTTGCCCAAACAGCAACATTGCCTCAGAGCCAAGCCCATACTGCGCATACCCGTTAATGAGAGCTGTCAAAGCCACCACATTTGGTGAACGAATGCAGATAAATGATGTTTCAGCATCAGTGATGCTTCCACATTTTGAGTACATATCTATTAGGGATGTTCCAACATACACATTCGATTCGAATGGTGTCTTAATCAACTGGGCATGAATTACTTGTCCCAATTGAAGAGATCCAAGGCATGAACAGGCATGAAACAGAGCAGAGAATGTTGATCTTGTACGGTCAATTGACAATCTGTGCATTGTCACATATAGTTCCAAAGCCTCCTCATGCTGATTATTTTGAATGCGACCCGAGATCATGGCATTCCATGTTACAGGATCCCTTTCTCTTTTCGTTTCTTCAAAAAGTTTAAAAGCCTTATCAATGTCCCCAATCCTAGAATACACAGAAATCATGGTATTTGAAGAGATTATAGTTCTATGCTTCATATTCTCAAACAACCTCTTCGACTGATCAACTTGACCACTCATCGCATAACCTTTGATCATCAAATTATATGAAACTGGATCCTTTTCTTTTAGTCTACTAAAAATTATTTCTGCATCTTCAATCCTATCCATCAATACAAGCCCCCCGATAAGCGAATTTGAAGCATTTAAACATGGGTTTTCTAGTCGATCATAAACTCTCTTGGCACAATGAACAGCCTGACTATCACAATAAAATTCTATCAAAGCACCACCAATGGATTCTTCAGATTCAAAACCATACTTAATCAAAAGTCCATGCACAGCCTTCCCTGCACACAGCACTCCCAATCTCCCATAAGCCCTTATGACACAATCCAACGTAAACTCATTAGGAACCACCTCACCACTCCCCCTCATCCATTGAAACAACTCCAAGGCTCTCTCACACCCATCCTCGTTCTTAGCGTACCCGGAAATCAACGTAGTCCATGCCACAACATCCCATTTCGGCATTTCTAGAAACAATTCCATAGCATCACCCATCAAATTACATTGCACGTATCCCACGAGCATTAAGCTCCACAACAACTCATTTCCACCACGCAGCTCATCAAAAACCCGCTTAGCGTCCTCAATTTTAAGGCAATTAGAGTAGAAATGCAACAGAGAACTCCCCACTAGCTCAAAACACTCCGTCCCAGTTTTCAGCACCGAGCAATGCAACTCTCTTCCCTCACTCAAAGACCCTGAACGCGCGCAGACGCTAAGAGTTGTCAAAAAGGTCGTTTCATTGAGTCTCACATTGCCATGATGCATAATTGAAACCAAAGATAGAGCCTCACTGAATCTTCCCCACTTTGAATACCCCGAAACCATGGCGTTCCATGAGACGACGGTTCGGATGGGCATTTCGTCGAACACCTTCCGAGCAACATCTAGCCGCCCGCATTTGCTGTACCGAGATATGCAGACGTTGGTGGAAACTATGTCGGAGACTAGAGTTTTCGCAGGTTGATAAAGGGTCGACAACTGTTTAACGTTCGGCTTCCATCGGCTGCGCTTCCATGTTCCCACCATCAACATTTTCAGTTGAGAGAGAGGTGAATGAAGCTCGACGACGTCGTTATACTGTAACTCTTCTCACGTTCTCTCTCAGTTTTTCATTTTTTTCTAATGATAATGATCAGCAAGTGATTGCATGATTCGTATGAGAACCTCGTGTCGATCTAAGTTCAGTCCCCAGCTTCCACGTGTCATTGATGCATTATATTAGAAATTCCAAATGCAAGCGCTTCATGCACGAAGACACGTGCCCCCTTGTGATCTTACCACTTAAACAGTTTCGCTCTCGAATCCTTTCACTCACTCGTTCTCTCGGTCTCTCAACCCAGAAAACAAGAAGCAGAAGAAGAACAAACAGAGACGAAGACTCTTTTTTCTCACATCACACGAATTTCTTTTCTTTATATATATCTTTTACTTTCTTTTAATTAATTTCCTTAGTTAAAATGGTGAAGCTGGCGTCGGCTCGGGAGGTCCGAATGTACGGGCCCCGGATGGACCGGAACCGAGCCGAGTACATAAACGCGGGGCTCTACGTGTTCGCGACGGTGGTGCTGCTTGGTGGGTTTGTGGCTCAGCTGTCCAAGGAGCCCAAGTCAGGCCTGGTTCTGATGCTCATAGCCTTGGTCATAATCTTGGTGGTGAATTTGCATGATCTGGTGGCCCACCTTGCCATGTTCGACTACTCGATGCCGTTGATGGAGCTGGACCTGCAGCTGGCGCTCGTAGAGTTCGCTGTTCCGGTGATTCAGGCTCTGGGCTCCGTCCTCTCATTCTTGGGCATTCTTTTCCTTCTAATTCAGGTTTATACATATATAATTAATTGTTAATCATTTAATTAAGAATGTGATGTGGCATTAAGAGTGCAGAGAAATGTTGCAGGCAGAGGAAGGGTATGGCTACTCTAAGTTTGAGAGGCATGCGCAGAACATGCTTATTGCTGGCCCTGTTTTGTGGTTGCTGGGTTCGATCCACAACTCTTGCCAAATCTATGAGAGAGCGGATGGGCATGTCCAAATCCTGCAACAGAGCGTGCACATCCCCTTCTTGATTGGCAGTGTGCTGTTCACAGTCGGTGCAATTCTCAACACCCAAGAACAACATGGTTTGTTTCGTCATGGCCTGCAGCTACTGGTAACTGTTTAACCTCGTCAGTAATCCATTAATCATTGTTATGTCTAAGTAAATTGCGGTTATGAAATTGGGCCGGTTTGGGATTGCATTTTTAGGAAGCACTTTTGCGTATAATCACTGGAGTTGCAAGAACCTTGAAATTTTTTTTAAAATTGAAGTGACTCCCAAAAAGCACTTTTGGTAGTTAAAAAGCGCTTTTAACCATTATAGAAGCACGCCTAAATAGGTTAATTCATTAATTTGTGTGTTTGTGCGTGTGGGCAGGGTAGGAATTGGGTGTGGTTGGGGACCGGTGGCAGCCTGATGTTCCTGATTGGAGGATTGGCAAATGTGGTGAAGGTGTTCAAGATGCAACAGATGAGTGATGGGCTGAGGCTTGAGAAGCTGAGGGGAGGGGCACAAGAGCGGCTAGTTTATCAAAGGGAAGGCCATGTTCCCCTGATCCTAGAAGATCAACGGAGGAGATCAAACAGACCACCTTATCACGATGATGATCATCGTCATGTGGAACCAAGTGTAGCACCACCAGTACCTCCCACCCCGTACAAAGATAGTCTTGTCGGTCCCACCGCTTGAATACATACTTTATACTTTATAGTGCATGTTGGCTCTTGTGCGTCAAAGTTTTTTCTTTTCTTACCTACTTTTTATGTCATATCTTGTGCTCAGAAACTGCATAAATTCAGTGAAAAGTGAAAAGGATACTGCCTACCTTCTTCCTTGGAAATACTTTTTCTTCGTGTGAATCACAATTTGACACTCATGCAAAAATAACTCATCAAAAATACAAAAATAATTTTTTTTGCACACACGTCACACTATTATTAGTCTATTATTAGTGGGAATGTTTAGGAATGTTTGAGTTTTGAAAATCTCAAATGAGAGGTTACTGCTAACAGAATGGAAAATAGGCAGACCAATATTCCAACTTATGACACTTTAGCAGTGTGTGTGAGAAATTCGTCTCCTCTTTTATAGTTTGGACTATCATTTCTATTTATACAAAGACCTAAAAGTAATAAATGGGCTGCTTGAAGTCAAGGCCCAACTAAAATTTTGGCAATCCAGAATGGGCTATGAACATATTTAAAACGTTGGGCTATATCTTATGGCCCAAAATCTCAAATAGCCCCCACACTTTTTTTTTCCTTCTCAATGCTCTTACCAATAATTTTACCATAAAAATTTACTATATTTCTCGAGGTAATATATCGAGTTTTCAGTTCTCTGTATATCTATCTTCCTTCTCCTTTTTTATTTTATATTTTATTTGTACGTTGTACTAATTTTAAGCGGACTGCGTAACACGCGTGCCCAGTCTCAGGAGCCCTTACGGCCCTTACGGTGATAAGAGGAGAGCGAGCCTTTTGTCGTCTGTCTCTGTCAGCCCTAATTTACTTATTCACAATCACAACGTTCGTCTCAAACAATCGAGGTTTGAATTTTTCAGGTAACCATTTCCTCACCTATAATCCTTTCGATTTTGGCACCTATTTGCCCCAAATTTTAATTTTCTGTCTGTAATATGCTTCTGTCCATTTTGTTTCAATTCTCTATTGCGTCTTCGATCTCCTTCCCTCTCTGTATTGCAGAAACGCATATATTTATATGATTGTTTGCTTTTCTAGATATTTATGCGCTAAATTGCTGTATCTTTCGGAAAAATTTACACTTATTTTTTACATATTCTCGTAATTTTTTTGAAGACATAAGTGTCATTCTCATGACGGCAATTTCCCTACTTTGATTTGCTTACGCATATTATTTGTATGCATTGTGTACACAAATTAAAACTTGCCTATTCGTATTACGTGCATTCAATATATATAATAATATATTCATCATATTTATGTCGTAAACAATAATATGGGCATGAAGTGTAGGTTTCCGTTGTGTGTAATTAAGATGAAGATATATTGAGTTTGTGCTCTTGTGAAAGTGTGGTAGATTGAGGGACTGAATATTTGTATGGTGTTGTTCTGTAGGTGAAGGGTTGGTTTACAGAATGGCTTCTGTGTCCAGTCAGCCACAGTTCCGTTACACTCAGCCACCATCGAAGGTTCTTCATTTGAGGAACTTGCCCTGGGAGTGCACAGAGGAAGAACTGATTGAACTGGGAAAGCCATTTGGTAAAGTTGTGAACACAAAGTGCAATGTTGGAGCAAACCGTAATCAAGCTTTTATTGAATTTGTGAGTGTAATTCAGTTTTTATTTTTATTTTTTGGATCCATTTTGCACATTTGTCATATATTTTACTGATAGACATTTTCCTTCAATGCTTGTTTCATGAATGTTTTTAGGCGGATTTAAATCAAGCTATTGCGATGATATCATATTATGCCTCATCTTCAGAACCTGCTCAAGTAAGGGGGAAAACTGTTTACCTACAGTACTCCAATAGGCAAGAAATAGTCAACAACAAAACTGCTGCGGATGTTGCTGGAAACGTACTGTTGGTAACAATTGAAGGTGATGATGCCCGCCTTGTCAGCATAGATGTTTTACACCTGGTAAGCAATGTGCCTGCTTCCCTGTTTTAGTTAAAGAGGTAAACTTGTCAGTATAAATATGTTAGCGTTAAGGTATTGTGTTTGGGTTGTAATTTGTCTTGTTCTGGGATGTTTTTGTTTGACATAAATGTGAATGGATCAGCAGGCCCATTTCAAGAGAAAATCTTCAATGGCAGCTTAGTGCATCGGGAGAAAGAGCACATGTGTGTTTGTCTCCTTTCTCCTTTCTTAACACTGCCTCTTTCTTCCCTAATCTTCCTCCTCATGATCCTGATCCTACCACTCTAATAGTTTAGAATGTTTTCATTTCTTCTCTTGTGCATCCTTCTATCCCTTTTTTAAATTTTCTGTTGCTTTGTTTCATCAGCATGATTGTCTCACACTTTTATGTTATACTACGTCTCAAGTGTTTAATTGCACTCTGAGTGTAAGTCTATCCAGCATGGATACTTTTAAGTCTTTATAGAAAAGTGGATACTTGGTTTAATGATGCCAATTAGAAGATTAATGAAATGGCTCTTATTCCTTTAACTAAAATCTGGAATTATACGACCCCATAGTTATCCATATAGGATTCCTCAGTAATTATATTAAATTATATTTTGCAGATAGGATAATGGTTTTACAGATACGTTGGTTGAAAGATTAAGGTGCCTCCATAAAATCAAATATCATTCTTGCTTTTTAATAGCTAGAAAACAAGTTTTTCTAATAATCCTGTGTTTTCTTCATTTGGGGACACCCTTTTCACCCCAATAGGAAGTCCTAACAAGCAGGATGTGGTTGGAATATTTAAGTCTTTGGATATTCTGTAGGATTTTTGGGCTTTTTTTTTGGTCTCTTTAGTTTATTTCTATAATTTTCTACTAATCCTATGTCTTCTGTGAGTGGGGATACACATTTCACATTAACTCAGCACAAGTTTGGTTGATCTTGAGCAGGATAGTCTAAGCATCTCCCTAGTGGCTCTGAAATTTTTAGTTAGTATATTCCATTAGTATGTTGTATCTTTAATGTTAATTTGTAGCTTCCATTCTTCTTTATTCACATGTAAAAGATGTTTTTCGAAGATAATGTAATCTGTTTCTGTTAGATGTTTCCATAGTTCCTGGAAAATGAAATTTGGAGGTCTATTATTATCCCATAATGATTCGTAGAGGGATTATGTTTGAAAGTTTTTTTCTTAAGTTTGTAAAATGTATGGCTTCTGTGTATCTTTCTGAATGTTTACTAGCGATGCAGGTATTTTCAGCTTTTGGGTTTGTGCACAAGATAACTACTTTTGAGAAGACAGCAGGATTCCAGGTCTATATCAGTTAATCTAGTTCTGAATTTCTAACTGGCTTCCGTTGGCCTTTGGAGACAATCTCATTTTGTATTATTCTTCAGGCATTGGTGCAATTTTCAGATGCAGAAACTGCCACTTCTGCAAAAACTGCACTGGATTCAAGAAGCATCCCCAGGTGACAGTTGTATTAGTTGCTTGGCATGGTTTCAAGTCTAAGATTAAGTTTTTCGCATATGTAGGAGCTAGGCACCTGTTGGTTATTAGGGCATGAGTGTTCTGTCAGAATTTTGACAGAAATTTAAACTTTCTATGCATGTTCTTGTACTATAATTTTTAAAAATAAAGCAAAATAGTTCTCGCAACTAATGCCTCGTTGCGTGATACTGCTGAGTTAGGCCGTTAGATGATATTTGGTGATGATGGCACACTTTCTGCTTGTATTCGTTTTTATATGCGTGCAATGTGCCTGCATAATGATCTTCTAACTTTTGTTCATTCGGTATAGGTATCTTCTACCTGACCATGTGGGACCGTGTACTCTCAGGATAACATATTCTGGACACACAGATTTGAGTGTGAAATTTCAGAGCCACCGAAGCAGGTAATCACATGTTCTTTGTTCTTTTCCTTGGGAATTATACCTAATGTTATGTTGCAACCCTCTATGTTTGTATTTGTTATATTTCCTCTCTTGTTGGTTATTAGTAAAACCATGAGTACCTTTCTATCAAGAAAATTAAAAAATCTGCTTTTTAAGTTTTACTTTTTAGACTGTCTTTGTCTCTTTGTTGGCGACTACTGTTCTCACTTTTTTCTGATTCAGGGACTACACTAATCCTTACCTGCCTGTTGCTCCATCAGCCATAGATGGAAGTGGTCAGGTAATGCATTGAGGGGGAAAAAAACTCTTATTAGATTATTCATGTGGCAGGCAGACATTTATGTACCAAGGCCCCCTTATTGATTGAGTAGCCACTTCCCAACCTTGGCATGCATGTAACGTAGTAATGCTTTGTATTTGTATGAGGTGTTTTTGTACTTATTGATTTATCATTGCAGATTAGCATGGGCTTGGATGGGAAAAAGCTAGAACCTGAGAGTAATGTGCTTCTTGCATCTATCGAAAACATGCAGTATGCCGTCACCTTGGACGTTTTACACATGGTATATCCGATTAATTTTCTCCATTGATTGTTTTCTTAGTTGACCATGCTCATTTAGTTAAAAACTGATCTTTATTTTCTTTTTCCTGCCATTAGGTCTTTTCTGCTTTTGGGCCCATTCAAAAGATTGCCATGTTTGATAAGAACGGAGGGGTTCAGGCTTTGATCCAGTATCCAGGTACCTTTCTGATTACTCTATTTCATGGTTTTCAAAATTGGACTGGATGGGCTGGTCTTACCTGGTTGATCGGTAACCAGCCAGCTGGCACGTCCATGGTTGAACTTAAGCCTTACTGATTTCGAATTTAGGCCTTGATGATTTCAAACCTAAGCCTCAATGATTTCAAACCTATTTTTAAGCCGTACTGATATCAAACCTAAGGCTTACTGATTAAATATAAGGTTGTTTATCACCAATGTACATGGTGCCAGATCTGCATGGTACTGAGTTGTACAATTCTTATAGAAGTAACTGCCGATGATATATTCAACTAGATAGTAATTTAGGTAATAATTATGTTATGGCGTGCAGATGTTCAGACAGCTGTAGTTGCCAAGGAAGCCTTGGAAGGGCATTGCATTTACGATGGAGGGTTTTGCAAGCTTCACATCTCATATTCACGCCATACTGATCTCAGCATAAAGGCAAGTTATTTGATTAGTCATTTGCACTTCTATATTATATTCCACTTCTCTTAGGGTTTTCTTTTTTCCTTCAACTTTCCCCATGATTCCGGGAGACAAGCTCTGCCTAATGTTCTGTGCTTACTGTGCTGATTACAGATCAACAATGATCGGAGCAGAGACTATACAATCCCTAACATTCCAATTGTGAACCCACAACCCTCAATTCTAGGGCAACAGCCTGTTCAGATGATAGCTCCCGCAGTGCCTCAGTATAATGGAGCTCAATTTGCTCCAACCGATCAGGCTGTGATGCCTCAACCTTCTGCAGGGTGGGGACCGACGGTTCCAGCAGTTCCTCAGTCTGTGCCCCTTCAGATGCATAATCAACCTTACATGCCACCTGGAACTTTACCTCTACCTTCTCAAATGGGCCCTGGCATGGTGCAGAGTGGTGCACCGCCTGCAACTTTGCCTCCCTATCACCGTGGTCATGTGCAATAACGTATCCTCGTGTATTGAATTTTGGAATTCGCTGTCTTAGTTGTCATCTCACCGTTCAATGGAACACGCCTCTGCATATACAAGGAGCATTTGAATGAGGGAACTGCTCATCTGTAAAAGCAGCAGCCCCTTTTCATTTTCTTGAAATTTTGATAGTGAGATTCTGTAAAATTAATTATCTTCTAATACTTGATTTAGTCCCATGACTCTGTTGCTTACTCTCGGTCACTTATGGCACTCTGAAATAATATAACTTATTAGTTTTAATTTGGTTGTTCATGAAAACAATTTTTCTGCAAACGAAAAATATATGTATTTACAGTTTTTCTCACCAGAGTGCATCGTCCTTTATCGCTTATTTTAGTTCTGAATTTTTCGTCTTAAAATTAGACTGATGTTATCTCACATGGAGGATCTAAACCAGACCTAGGCCATTACCCAATAACTACGAGTTTTATTTTTCTTAATACAAGTTATAGTCTAAATTAATTTGAATTTTGAGAGGTATGGTAAACCATTCGTAGTAGAAGAAGAAGACATCTTTTCTTTATTAATTTTTTCACAAGTTGTTAACTTTTCTTTTTGTTTTTCAATCGAGAATTGGCATTTATCTTTATTTAACTGACGTGGCAAAGATCTCCATCTCCTGTCCGCACTAGGATTAAGCTTAAACACCGACCGTTACCAAAAAAATAAAAAATAAAAAAATAGCTATTAGCTTCTATTTCCTACTAGAAAAAGATAACAGAGGCGCTTATGTATAAATAGAGGCTTGGAGCTTTCTTTGCTTTGCAGTTTGCATGCGACAACGCATACCATATACCAACCCCTCCTGCGGCCTTTCATCTCTGTAAGTTATTAATGAAGCTCTAGATCAATCTAGGCCTTCAATTTGCTCTCTTCTTTTCGTTTATCTTTAGTTGTATTGGTTCTTGTCTTGATGTTCACAAGAAACTTACTTTCTGTATAAAATACTACGCTAATGGTTGGTTACCTTGGAGACCAAGAAACTGATACATCAATTTTCTACTTCTTTGATGCTTTTCTTGTATGTCTGTTTTTCATTTACTTGTTTTTGTTACTACATGGTTTGGAGGGATTTTTTTGTATCCTCGACTTGTGTCTTTAATTTTAGCCTTCTTATTAGGTTTTCAAGTGTTAAAACTATTAGTCAGAAATCTCCATGGTTTTCTTTTTCTTTTTAGTACAATGGAGGCTAGTATAATATGTTTTGATTCTCTTCTTTTGTGTAAATTTTTCGCCTTCTAATTGTGCTTCCACCATTCTTTATAAAATCTGTTGGTATATATATTATCGAACAGATTAAATTCGAGGAAAATTTGTGTTTTCGGACATTCTGGAAGAATGCATCAGGCAACAACTTATAAGTGATTATTAATATGTTCACGTTTAGCTTGCATCAATCCAGACTAACATTTCTTTTCACTTTTGGCTTGCAGGTGTGTGAAGTGAAATAGTGGTTTTTAAACGAGTTTAAGTTCAATATTAATTAGCAGTTTGGGAAATATGGGAGCGCTCAGTGACGAATTGGACTTTCTTCAACTAAGGCAACAACTGAAACAACGCATCAGAAACAATCATATGAAGGATTTGGGTTATGCTTCTGAATCCTCGGTTAATAAGAACAAATTACTTTCCGACGAGTAAGTTTCGGGTTTAGTTCTATATTTCGATTCAATACGATGCCTTTTTTTTTTCCTGTTAAATTTATGCATATGGTGCATTTATCTTTGTAGTTTTGGATATTTCTTTGGTCCATCGCAATCTGTTATTGCGCAAAGAGTGATTGAAGAAAGCAAAGCATTCATGCCAGAGTTGAGGAATTTGGCATCTAAGGTCGGAAATTCCCATGATAAGGTATGTGTAATAGAGAAACTGATTGCCACATTAATATTATGCAAAAACCTGTAAAACCATGTTTCATGTGTGGTTTTTCTTTTTCTTTTTTACCAGGGTAACAAGAAGCTAAAGAGCCCTGTCTTAAGCACGACCAACGCAAAGTCTGGTTTGATATGTAAAAACCTTAAGGAGTCCCGGGATTATTCCTTCTTACTATCGGACAATGCAGAAATTCCTTCAACTTCAAAAGGAGGAGAGCCTCGGCTTGTGAAAAATTCTCTCTCCAATTCAAGCAATAAACGAAATCCGGTTTCTGTTATACACAGAGCTTCTTCAACAAATTTGAAATCCGTAAAGAGGCAACATTTGGAAGAGAAAGTTCAGTCACTGCCTGCAACAAGGAAAAAATTGGAACAACCGAAGAAATTGCATCCACCTAAGAAAGCAAAATTGATTGCAGACCGTTGCAAAACAGCCTTGAAAACATCACAATCTTCAACAAAGCCGAACATAAAACAAGCAAAGCATTGTCTTGAGCCCGAGAACACAAAAGTAAAGCCAGAACAGAAAAGCTCTTCCTTGAAAAGATCACAATCTTCAACAAAGCAAAACATAAAACCAGCAAAGCAATGTGTTGAGCCCGAGAACACAAAAGTGATGCCAAAACAGAAAAGCTCTTTCTTAAAAAATCAGGTTCTTCCTCGCTCGCTCACATGCATTTAACATTAATTGTCCACTTAATTATATTTCTTTCCATTTTCTCTGTTATGAAGCTCTGTAACTAATGAATACATTGCCTTTGTTTGCTTTGAATTTATGTAGACCAAACGCCATGTGGAGGATAGTTATGATGATGACAATCTTGACATTTCCTCTGTGATCAAAATGTTTGGGTTAGATTTCTTCTCTCTTTAAGCTTTGATTTGCTTTATCAATTCAACAAAAAATAGGCCAATTTCATTTATCTAACATAATATGATGGTCGTGATTTTTCAGACCTAAACGCAAACACACAGAAGATGATGACGACGACGATGGCAGTGCCATGGTCTCCAGCTTTGCTGATATTATGAGAGAAGAGAGGAAGAGGTGAGTCACTGATCAAGTTTATCTGCTGTTTACAAATTTCCCATTAATTTATGTCGTATATATGTAATTAGATTTGGTCATGCTCATGTCAATATGTACAATAGTCATGTTTTGGCATGTTTAAGTGCAAACCCTAATTCAATGCGGCTCCGTTTTCACAGTGCAAAAATTGCTAGGAAGGAGGATGAAATAGAGCGTCTCCGGCTTGAAGAAGAAGAGAAGCAGGAGAGATTAAGAAAAGCAAAGCAGCAGAAGCTGAGAGAGATTAAGAAAAACTGATATTGCATTCGGAGTATGGGATTTCATATTTGAAGATATTTGGATTTCTAATTCTTAATGTAAATTGTCTAGTTGATATAAGAATTGAGACGTATTAGCTAATTCAAAATAAGATGGTGAAGAGAAGTGAACTTGAATAAATGCAACTAGAAGCAAATATACAAACACAATCTCTCTATGCACATATACACAAAACCAAACTCACATCACCAAGAACAAAAACAAAACCCAGGGATTCACATTGAATAGAACCTAGTCCCTCCCTTTTTTTTCACTACTTTTTCATTCCTGAAAGGGTTACAGAACATTTATGACAGCTGTGGTTTTAGAGCTCCTTAAGACAGGAAACTTAACAATATAATTTTGGACTGACAGAGAAAAAGGCAAACAAAAATGAAACATGAGCATGTAAATGTACGTGAAAATGGAAGTGTACTACTGCCTGTCCGTCTCCAAAACCTCCGAGATACGAAAGCCTCGGAAGCTTCATCCATGGCAGCCTCTGGCTTCCACCATATGTTCTCAGTTCTAGTTTTCAGAGCCGATCGATTGGCTCAGTGCGGTCCTGCACTGCACGCCGCTCTGAGACATCACAAAGTGATTTGAGATTGCACTGGATCAAGGCTTCCACAAAGTAGCAGGTCTCATCCTTAGTGTTCCCTTCAGGCACGTCAACCACAAATGACTCGATCACCACGGTCCCTGGTCTTCCATCAATGATCTCTGGATGAAGGGAGATGATGGAAGAGTAGTTCTGAGGAAAAAAACCCGAATAAGAATTCAAAGACAGCGTAAAGTATGTTTATGCTGATTGTATAAAAACAGAACAAAACAATCAACAGCCAGGAAGAAAGCTCGATATCTGCCTACTAAACTCCAAAGACAAGGACTTCAGTCATGTCAAGTCAGGAGATCTGCTGATAGCAGGATCAGCATTTGTCTCATAGGCTTGTCAACAAGCCCACTTTAGTCAACATGGCAGTGCCCTCATTGCACATATCGTGAGGATGGAATGGTTAAGCCCTATAATTACAAGTATCAGAACTAAAATCCATAAACATCTTTTAAATGTCATTCATCGAGCCAATAACATTACTTCTCAACTAATCATATTTACTTTTGATTATCTGAAAAATAGTTAACTTGTATGACCACCATAAAGTGCCCAAAAAAGAGAAAGGTGATGATTCCAGAATAGGACAAGATACTTGAATCAGTAGGATTAATGTCAATAACTGGATGCTAGGTACCAATTTTCAGAACTTTGAGATCGATAAATGAAATCATCAAGATACATGTTAATTTTAATCTTGCAGCACCAAAATTGAAGCCTGGTTTTTGGAAATCTCTTTTTTTCTCTTTTTCCCTGAAAAGTTTGATCTGATTAAGTCCGACAGGGCCAGAAACTTCATATTAAAACTTTGAGAATGAGATAATCTGTAAAATTGTCTGCTCAGACGCATGCAATTGAATAAAAGGAAAAGAGAACTATGTGCAAGATTATAACAAGGAAGAGTCTCCATACCCTAAGTCTGTGATCCCCACCGATAATTTTAATGCTAAGAATATGTTCATCATCATCAAGAAGTTCCAATCTTTCAGTACTAGTAGTGGCAGGAAGCCCAGACTTAACATCAACTTCTCTGAGACTTCCAATCTCAAGATTCCCCTGCACCACACACCTGCTGACAAATGGCTTATACTTTTGCGGTTGATCAAATCGTCTTACCAATGACCAAACCTGATGAGAGAAGAAAAAAAAAATTTAACTCACATTCTAAAAAGGGGCAAAAACTGCACGAATATACTGCTAATAAATATTTACATGTCAAATCTCCAAAGAAGTAGCATTTGCACCCAATATCTCTTATGGAAAAAAAAAATCACTTTCGGTTATCCCTTGTTTCGCAAACTAATTCTCAGTGAGGATGCCTCTGGGGCACACCCTATGCGTCCATTTGGTTGGAAACAGAACATTAAGGAGAATAGTAATAAACATTTCTAAGCTTTCTCTAAGTAAGCCAACTATTGCATGTTAATAATAACAAACATCAGGAACAGTGATAACAAGCAATTCAAGTTTTCTTTCTTGTTTCTATTTTCTCCTCTCAAGTTTCTCTGCAACTGCGTACAGTTAGAGACAGTGACCTCATCGATCTACACCATGGATTAGTGTAGGCAGACACATTAATGACCAAAAGAAATACCACAGATCAAAATCAGATACACTCGAATCCAATCACACATGTTAAACTTTAAAGAACAAAAACAGCAAACTCCCAATTCCTCGTACAGATTACCCAACATCTAACTGAAACCACAAATCCCTAAATATACGAAAATCAACAGATACATACGTGTATAAACACACAAATACACACACACCTCCTCCCTATACGTGACATATATGATATTAACATATCACCAAACGACCAATCTCAGATCAAACGAATACAATAAATCAAAAGACTGGAGCTTCATAGACCCACATATAAATGTACAAACGCATATATTCCATACATATATGTGTAGAGAGAGAGAGAGAGAGGTACAAGATGAACAGGGGCTTTGATGTGCCTGACGAGCGTAGAGGTACACTGATGGTCTTTGGGGTCGTGCTTGTGATGCCTTCGAATGTATTCACCCACAATCCCACCAAACCCTGCTCCTCCTCCATTCTTATTCCCATTCATTTTCTTCTTCCTCTGCTTCTTCTGAAACGATAACAATACATTCAATTAAAACAAACAAAAATGAACGACCTTGCCAAGAACAAAAAAATCAATCAGAAATAAACTGACCAATCAAGCGCAGACTTAGCTCCACCTTTCGTTTTCCGTCTGCGCTCTGCAATTAGGAGCAACAACAAGAAGAAGCAAGAGTACAGCTGAATACGGATTGATTCGGAGAGAGTCAACTCGGTTCGACTCGGTCAAACCTTGTAAGTGTGAAAGAGAGAGTTAGGTCTCTGAGAGAGAGAAGTGTATGAGACTCACTGCCATAGAAGAAGCACCTCACCTCAGGCCTCCCTATCATCCTCATCACCTATCTCACCTTTAATAATTTATTATTACTTCAACCAAAAAAATAGAGAAACAAAAAACTCCCCATTAATTAATTAATTAATTTGCAATTTGTAATTACTTTTGTTTGTTATTGCAATTTGCTGCAATAAAATATATTTTTCCTGTCTAACAAATGCCCTTTCTTTTGATGCATAACTATGAACATGCCATTCACCTGTCTGTTTCTGCGGATTTTGCGTTTTTTTCTAAATTGTCACTCCGCTGCTGCTTCATTTTACACCTACCACCCACACAACCGTTTGGATTAGAGAGGGGATTTTGTCATACTTGCATTCTTGACCGCTTGAGTTACAATTCTCTTGTCCATTTTGGAGTGCTATAAATTTAATGATTTATTGTTGGTTAATGTCTTAAATGTGAAGGGCAAAATAGTATTTATACAACATTTTAAGTTTCAATAATTCAATCACCTCTCTCCTGATTCAATTCATCTTAAGTTAAATTAATGCTTACTGTTCGATTCTATAATTAATTAAGGGAGGTGATTTTCCAACTAATTTTTTCTTCACTTACACTCTCTTTTGCATTTTAATACTTTTAAATCAATTTTGTTCTCTTTTGTTATTTCTCTTTTGTATTCTACTATTACCCTGCAATTCCCTTTAATAAAAAGACATGTACAATAACTTACTAATATTATGGAAGAATAAAACTCCAAGACTATTATGCATATCTAAGCTCTTCACTATTAGTACATGCTCAACACTAGCCATGATCTTCTTTTTTTGTTTTTAACATCACAATTTCTGTTTGTTTCAAAATAATTAACCATTAGATGAGTTAATTTTGACTTTTTTTTTCCTTTCTATAGGGGAGTTTGACTTTGGAATAATATTTTTGCGGTTTCTTTTCTGGAGTAATCAAAACTCAAAAGAAAGACTTGAAAGTCAAGGTACGCTTAAGAGCAGTATTAAGACTTTTTTTTTCTTGCGAGGTGTTTTTATTTATTTAAGTAGTTGCTCTCGAATCTTCTGTATTATCGTGATTTGTTAATAAATGAGATGGGTCCCGCGGGGCCCAAGGAAGGCCGGCCCTTACGCACGCGCTTGGTAGCAGGCGTGCAAGACGCTCTAAAATGGCGGTCCCCGCGGAGCCGAATTTGTAGATATAAGTGCACGTGGATTCATATAGCGTACAGCGCAGACTTACCTGAAAAGGGCGGGGGCTGTGGAGTCTGTCTGGAAACGGCAAAGCGCAAAAGAAAGAGGGCAGCATGCCTCTAAACAAAGATTCGAGAGTAACACTGACGCGCTCACGAAGAGAATGCGGAAGGTTTTCTTTCTGGTTACTCGGGGTCGGGAAAGTGTGCGTAGAAGGTCAGCTGCATCCTATGCACGTGCACGTGAGCAGAGTAGAAAAAAAGCCAACTGTGTATTTAATTTACGTGAAAAAAGTTGTCAAGTGTTGAAGATGGGTCATGGGCCATGGGTTATGGATCATATGGAAAAGAGAAGAAAAGAAAAGCGACAAGTGTTTTATTATTTGGCGTGGAGGTTCATATGAAAATTTATTGGGTTGGCTCTTGGCTGGCTTATTCTCTTCAATTCAACCCATTTGTTTTTGTCGGTAGAAACTAAAACGACCTCGTCTGACTTTTTGAACTCCATGTCATTCTTAATTAGGCTTAATTTTAAATTTTTGTATGAAAATGACTTTGACACAAAATGATAAGGCAGTAAACAAAAGGATTCATCAAGAGAGAGAGAAATTTGAGATGCTTTGAAGTTAGTTGGCAGTTGGCGGTTCGGGGTTGGTTGCTACGGTTGCAATTATTAAAAAAACATAAAGGATGCCCAAATCAGGTTTAGCAAAGGGGATAAATTCATGGTCATTATTTTCATGGAATTATTGTCTTCTTGTTGCCAATACGGCCTAAGCAACTTGTGCAAACAAAACCCTATCCTATATAAAATGGTGTTGTTAGTATCCTCCTTCCTTCCTGCTTTCTGGCTAGCTAGTTAGGCCAACATATTGGTACATCTGTCAAGGTTCTGAATTCCATAGTAGTAGTGTTGCCGCCGCTAGGACATCTGTCAAGCATGCAGCAATATTGCATCAATTATTGAGCAACGCAAGGAATAATTTCTATTGACTCACTCGGCACTAGCTAGTAGCTAGCTACCTATAATAATAATATTGAGCAACACAAATTATGCTATGAGATGGATCCGTTATGTGCGATATTATTAATTCTTGCATGGAATGAGGAATCCAACTTTAAAAATGGACACGTACGTGTTTTGGTTAACTAACCTAATTCACGTCTACATGTATATACAATATATAGCTCCACGAAGGTGACCAACATATCTAGATGCTTACCGGCAGAGCTAGTTTTACAAAACTAATTCATTTTAGGCAAATAAAGAATGTGGAATATAAGATTACGTACGTTAATGTTGTGTGTGTACACCCCTGACCCAGCAATAATATATAACATGAATATGTTGTAGCTGCAGCCAATGAAAATCAACCATGGTTGGAAGCGATCCGTACTCTCACAAAGGTGGAGTATCAATTCTTGGATTTTTATAATATCCAATTATGAATTGTTAATGAGGAATTATTGGTATATATTATATATATGCAGAGTGACAATTAATAATAAATTATATAATTAACCAGTCACACAAGTGCATCAAGGCAGCTTCTCCACTGCCACCAGCCCACCACTAAGACAGAGATAATAATTTTATATAGGTATTCATATGAATGCCTATTGGTGCAAAGTGCAAGGCTGAGACCTTTTCTAACTCGACTCAATTTTAATATAGGATAGGAGCTTGCTTTTCTAACTTAAATCAGTTTTCCCAAGAAAAGTTGCACACACTTTTTATTTCTCTCTCTTTATATATGTCATCAAAGAAAAATAAAAATAGGGTTTGGTGTGGCTCATGATCTAGGACTGCTGAGTCGGGTCCCCTGTGACCTGTCCAACATCAATGTCTAAGAAATATCAGCCAAAAGTAAGTTTGTCGACAGAGAAAACTTGGCAACTTAGATGCCACAATTTAAATCAGCCAATAATTATTTCTGCAAGAAAGAAGCTTAATTTGTCGGATAAAGTTAATCCAAACTATTAATTGGATCATTAGTTCAAAAGTTTTACATTATTCATCCAATTATACCATTAGAACAACTGTTGGCTGCCTTATAATAAAGAAAAGAAACCATAGTTGTAAGCTACCCTGAGTTATGTGGAAAACGACTTGATGAGAAGATGCTATAAGGCTGCAGCAACATTAATGTATCCGAGAATCTAGCGCCAATTGACGTGACAATTTCTGAGAAATTAGATAAGTTACTGACTGATTAGCAGCTGCAGACCAAGCACAAACTACATATATATGTAATGGGGAAAATAATGAAGTAGAGAATTGTGGCGGATTGCATGCATGCAGCTTCCATCTTCTTCAAGAATGAAGGCTTTTTTTTAATCCCTTGATTGATCTGCGTAGCCCAAAATGGAAAAAGGCGAAACAAAACAAACTCAAATCCTCATCTACACGGCACTTGATCATTGACGAGGAGTGTTGACTCTTGACTATTGAGCAGCCCCTCGGTTGATCTGGACATACAATTAATATTGGCATTATTATTAATTCATAATGTTGAATATTCATTGGAACATAATAATTATATATATATATATATATATGCAGCTGCAGGTAAATGCGGAGTAAATAGATAGATGTGTGGTTGAGAATGAATAGATAGATAGATAGATGATCTACAACACGTTTCTCCATCTATCTTCAAATTAAGTCTCATCTTGTGATTCCATCTTATCTTCTGCTAGCTTTTGGTATTGGCCCGTGACCTTCAAACTTTGGACACGGAACAGAACAGAGCTGCTTGGAATTGAATCATCTGCTGCTACTAGTCTAGTACTACTATTGACTCATGAATGATGAGCAGCCCTCAAATTCTGGTATTATATTGTTATGAGTTTGGGTTTTGAAAGCAAAATTCCTGTTGATTCAATTCAATACTCACTGCTTCTTGCTTGTTTATGAAGCCCAATAAACCTTTCGAATCAAGGACTTCAAATCTCCAAGCCCAACTCATTTTACACATGAATGAAACAAATATCACATATCCACATCAACAATGTCGAAAGTAGCAAAAGGGCTTTATGCAAGCTCCATAATTGAAATTGCTCGGCACCAAACACAAACTGTCTTTCTTTTACATTACGTATAATATCTATAGCTAGAAAAAAGAGCTGGAAAGCATATGCGCTGCACTGCACGGGCGGCACCAGTTTCACTGACACAGACTAAAATAACAGTGAAACTCTCTCTATGCTTCGTTTTCTTCCTTCTTCATCCCTACCAACCTCTAACTATATATATATATACACAGAGAGAGAGAGAGAGAGAGAGAGAGAGAGAGGGTACTGCCGTAAGGCCATAACAAATACTGGCCTTAATTAATTTCCCTAATAATTCTTAATTATTATTTATGCACAAAAGCTAGCTAGAGGTAGCTAGCTAAACTGATCTATGTAAGTTACTGCCAACACCCCAAATTTGAGCGAGTGACCTGCTTGAAGAAGAGGCTTTTCTCCACCGGGCGAGCCTTAACAAGAAAGTTAATACTTCCGAAGGGTCATGCAAAGAATAACAAGCTTTGGTGTCCTCCTTTGGGGTTGAAGACACAATTATTGGAAACCCTTGTCCTCTACTTCGTATCACCTGCATGCATATACAACTAATTAATTATTTGATTATCCACATAATTAATTAAGGATGAAAATTAAATTAATTTATTATACCTTGAAAGCATCTTCATCAGTTCGATCGTCCCCGATGTACAATGGGAGGACATCGCTGGAATTGCTGAAGCCTAGAGTCTCAAGCAAATATTCTAGCGCATGACCTTTGTTCCATTCTATGGATGGTCGTATTTCCAACACCTTTTTACCCAACGTCAGGTGAAATTCCGGATACTTTCCAACAACAGACTTCACCTTCTCTTCTAAAATCCCATAATCCTGCAGATCGGATCCGATCCATATAATTAAATGAACAGTCCTTAATTACTGATTAGCTTAGCTGGACCTTGCGAAAATGTCTCATGTGATTAGCTTAATCCTAAAAGAAATTAGAATTTCAAAGATTATTCGTAAATATTACCTCTTCCCGGACCTTGCGAAAATGTACAGAGATACAGAATCTATTGTCCTCTACCCTTGCACCCTCTACTTTTCTGGTTATTTCCTCCAACAGTGTTCTTATCTGCAGTGCCAATTAACCACATTAAGTCAATCTTTTCAAAACTAAGGCTCATCTGAACACTCGTACATACATTGCAAAAACATGAAAGCTAACCTCTTGGATTGCTGGAAGAAATCTTTTAGCAGGTTGAAAGAGAACGTCACTGCCCTGCAAGATTAATTTGTCATTATTAATTCAGGCCATATATATATTAATATAAAGCACCCCAGATAATAGAAGAGCAATTGACCTTTATATCCATGGCAGTGGTGTGGTTGTTGGCATCACAGGGCCTTAGTGGCCTTGGAGGGACCATTATGTCCATCCCATGGCTGCCAGCGTAATATACATTACTTAACTGTACAAATTCTTTAACCTGCATATTTAATTTATCACCAAATTAAAATGATTATTAAAAATTAAATAAAAATTACCCTGAGCTTAACACATTGATAATTGATTATCGATGATGAACTTTTTTCATTACCTTATCTCTACTCCTTCCACTGATCACTGCTGTTGGAAAATACTTGGCAACTTCCCGTACCGCTGCACGCATCTGCAGTACCGTATTGTAAATATAAGGGGGATTAATTGGGTGTGTATATGTATTATGTAGAAATCTAGTTGTGATTGAGAAATCAAAAACTGTATTACCTCATCAGACATGAAGGCACGGTCAGGATCATCAACAATTGGTGAAAGGGTCCCATCGTAGTCTAGAAAGACAACAATCCTCTTCCATTTTGCTGCTTTCATCATCCGATCAAATGAGCCTAATGCAGAAGGGTGCTCGACCTAAACATTTATAAACCCCGAAAGAAACAAGGACGTTAATAAAAACAAGGACAGTGATTTATACTTGCTATACAGATGAGCCAAGTCCAAAATGTGAATATGGTTTTTTGTAAATGATAAAATTTATGGAAAGTAAAAAAGAACGTACCACCCATGAATTATAAGCTAAATCTGAGGGGATAGGTTTATTAGGGTTAGAAATATCATGCAGATCTGAGGTGATCGATGCTAAGGAAAGATCACCACTGTTCTCGTCGTTCTTTACTACTCCTGTGATGGGTTGCACCTTTTGCTTACTAGAAGCTGATGATCTTTGGAGTCCCAATGCCTGGTTCAGCCTTGCAAAGTTTGTCATGATGATCAGCAACTTGTCACCTTGTCCTTGTGCTGCTTCAAATTAATCAAACTTCCCTTCCCTGCAACGTATATGTAAACAAAAACTTGATCAATTCTTACAATTTTAAATTGAAGAAATAAAATAACGTTTAAATCTACGGTAACACTTTACCAGTCTACCTGATTAGCTCTGCTTCTGGGCCCAGAACCCATTACCTTAGCTTCCAATAAAATTATTAAGTCAAAGTCGTTCACGTTATCCTCCCTCTTTATTTATTTATTTTGACATATGACAGGACTTGACACTACCCTGGCCCCTCCGGTTTATCAACTAATTAAAAGCTTTTTCTTTTCACTTTTTTAATGCAGTTCATAGCAAATGATGTTGTATGTGGTTTGGTCCGTAAAATGGACTCACTAAAACATTCTAAGATTCAATGTTTGAAACTTTGAAATCATTGTTTTCATATGACTCACTAAAACATTAGGAATTGTCATTTTCACAGATAAAATAAAACTGCGACTGTAAAATTGGTGAAAACTGTATTCTTATATGATTAGGCCATAGACTTTGAAGAATTAAGTATTTTAGTGAATTAATTAAGCATAATGGAACAAACAGAGGAATCAGGATCCGATGAATATCAAAAGTTAAGGTCGTTTTCCGATAAAACAACTTTTTTCTTTTCAAAAGGAGATAATGTACTTTTCCAGATATATTTCAGAGTGCAATAGTTGACAGAAGCAACAACAAAACAAGAACAAAGGACACTTCGCCATTTAATTAGTGAGTAATATTAGATTTGGTGACTCGACATTACATGTACAATCTACGATGGTTTGTCTCAGGGGGGAGTCATCAATCAGGCTGATTCAGAAGACAAAGACATCGCTATCTCTAGCAACGACAGACCTGTTTTTCTGGGCCTACAGAGTCAAACTTAATTATAACAATTATTATACAAAACATATGGTTGGCTTTTCTGAGCCTACCCTAACTACCCATCTAGCCTCATTCCAACTGATCAATAAACAACTAATCAATGAAACTGAAACTTAATTTTTAATTATCTAATCATAATACAATTACTCTCTCTCAACAACAACACACCCCCTGAACCAACCAACATACATGGCCCTAAAGAACAAGACAACCAACGTAAACTTCAATTCAACAGTGAAAGCTTCAGAGAGAGAGAGAGAGAGAGAGAGAGAGAGAGCAGTACTAATGTTACCCATGAAAGAACATGCATGCATGAATATAATTAAAAAGAACATGCACAAATTAGTTCTTTGCTTCTTTTGCAAAATAAGACCACCTCCTCCTCCTATGTTAAAACAAGCAACAGAGGCTGTTGGATTGGACCTGTACTTCTCCATTAATTTCCATGGCAGCGGAAATTAAAACAATGGGAAACAGCCCACAGATACCAGTGGCACACTTGTATCCAAAGAAGCCACAAATTGACCTGTCATTTAAAACTTTCATGACAAATTAAAAAAAACCATATGGCAATTTTTTGAAAAACCTTGAGCCCTTGACTTTCTCAACCGAAAGATCAAAGTGTTAGAAATTTGGGGAAAGCCATGGATACAAAAAAAGAAGTGTAATTAATAGTTTGATAGGAACTAAAATAAGTATTATAGAAAAAAGTAGAAAAGAACAAATATAACGTGTCGATTGGGGAAGTAGTTGATGGACAAGCTTTGTTTGTGTACACAAGACACGACACGTCTAGAGGCACAGTTTGGATTAGAGAGGGAGAGGAAAAGGTACCACGAAGGAAGTACCACGAAGTGAAATTAAGTGCGGTATAATAATGTTTAATCACATAAATCATACTTAGACGACAAAAGAAGCAAAAGCAAAAGCAAAAGCAGGGTTGTTAAAGTGAAAAAGCACTGGTCAATTCATATGACTTTGTGAGTAACCCTTTTTGTGAAGGTCATATGATCTGTGTGTTTCTTGTTTTATAGTGAGAGGAAAAGGAAAGACAACAGTAATCACAACAATGGGTTAACTGAAATGAAATATTCTACCATTCAAACCAGAAACTTCGCCTGTGGTAACTGTCGAATAATTAAGAGATAATGGACCGACCAACCTTATTCTATTGTTTATAATGAGTAGACAAAACCGAGCAACTATTTCAAAGGCAGGAAATTGACCCCCCAATAAAAACCGTGACCGGTCGACCAAAACAAAAAAACAACAGAGGTTAACTGTTTTTCAGGTACGAGTCATTTCATGGGAAAAAAGGGCAAAAAGACTCGCTAAAGGGGCCCCCACCGTAACAGAAAGTCGGTGAACCTTCGAATGTCCACCGTCGACGTGGCAGACCGCACCGACGTCGTATACGTGTCGAAACCGCGGGTCCAGAGGCTCAGTCAACTCGGTGGATGGTTGTGATCCAGATCTGTGTGAAACGGTGACCCAGTTTCGTACGTATAGTTCGGTGAAGTGGGCCTATAGGCCCAGTCAACTCGTGGGCCCATGTCGGGACACGTGTGGGTCGAACAAGGATTTTCTAGCGGCTTTCGACAACGAACGCAAACTAAAAGTGGCGCGTGAGCTCACGTGCACCGCCTACAGTGCCCACACGAGCTCAAACTTCGGCGAATCAAAGTCACCTTGTTATGTGTCGCGTTAGAAAATAATAAATTCAATTAGGAGGTCAAATGAAACGAACGACCACCAACCGCTTTCTCGTTTCGCTCGCTGAGTTAAATACCCGTAAAAGCCGAATATTTTTTATTTAATAACAAATTAATTTATTAAGCAGAAAAAAAAATGGGGAAAAGAAAGAAAGTGCAGGAGGCAGGAGGCAAGAGGAGATTGTTCACATAGCAGCAAAAGTACAAACATGTAATAACGAATTTGGTAAGAAATATTTTCATATAGGGGCACAAAAATAAAGGAGATTGAATACAAATTTGGTGCAATCTAAAATATGTAATGAAATTAAAGTAGTGGAAATGTAAGCAAAACAAAAAGGGAACTCACCAGAAAATGGATTGGACGTGGCTGCCTGACTTGAAGCTTAGTGAAGAAATAAAAAGAGTTGGGAAAGCTGGAGAGAGAGAGAGAGAGAGAGAGAGAGAGAGGGTTGAAACTTGAAGGACTAATGTGAGAGATTTTGAGAGAGAGAGAGAGAGAGAGTGAGAGAGGGAGAGGAAAAGTGAGGGAGGAGGGGGTTTAATTTATAGAGGGAGAGAAGGAAGTGGTTCAATTCTAAGGGGACGTGGATGTTTGCCACATGCCATACATGGATTAACAAGTCTCCCATCGCATTACAACTTTTCTCAAGTTACTCAAACAAAAACAAATTACCTGCATGGACCAAAACCGGCCCAATTTGTTTTTTTATATTGCTATGACTGTCCTTCCATTACATCTTTTTCTGTTTTTTTAGTAAAAAATTACATGTTTGAATTTAGTCAATTGGTTAGGAGTATAATGAGCGCGTTCCTTTGCAACCAAGTTTGAACGATCGTTTAATTTAAGGTAATTTAGACAATCGTTTGTATCATAAAAATATGTATTTATTAGGTCATGTTCCTGTTTGATTCCGAAAACTACAAAGATCAGTAAGTTATTAATGTAAAAATTTTACTCAATAAAGTCCTTTATTTACACAGAAATAAAAGAAAAATCACGAGGTAGATTAGAGAGAGAAGGCTTGTTTGTTTAGACGCGTATAGAAATGAACAAGGCTAGCTAGCAATGGCATACACACAACACAAATATAAAAAGAAAAATCAATGGTAATCTTTTCTTTTTGGTAAAACTTAACTAATGAATGAATCGTTTTCATTGTGTATATATGGAAATGAACATTCCTTTTAATAAAATGTGATAATAAAGTGCCATTGCTCACCATAATTTCTAAAGCGGTGATTATTGTCTTGACTGATTGGTGCATTAATGATTAATGTCACCACCATGACCATGTGGTCTAACTTCTTTGTGTGAACTAGCGACTTTCAGAAAGTTCAAGTCATGCTCATGGTGAACCCATCTCCCCTCCTCTCTCTCTCTCTCTCTCTCTCTCTCTCTCTCTCTCTCTCTCTCACTATTGATCCAGACTCAAACAACAGATGGCAATCAATTGAAAGCAAATGCATGCACATTGACTAATTAATTAATATTTCATGATGCATATATGTATGTATAATTTAGAAGATTAATTTTGGCATTCTCCGTGGTGGCTTGTTCATTGTCGACACCAGAATTAAACAGAGGAAAATGTTAATAAATACTGATATGATCGTACATACATATATAATTACAGAAACAGCCCTATGGGCTATGGCGTACCTAGTGTCCCTCACAGTAGTAGACTGACTGACACTGACCTAATAGATTTGATTTGATTTGTAAAGAAACCAGAATGTACTTTGGCAAACTGTTGATCGGTGGCTTGCCTCCTCCTCATTATATCTTGTTCTAGAAGGGAAGAGAATATGAGCAAAGTTCTTTGAATTTGAAACCTGCACATGGTGGAATTTTCGTATGAAACTTCCTTAGACTTTATGTTTCTCAAGTTGCGCGTATTGCATGGCGTTCAAGCCACATGCTGATGAAAATCAAGCCACATGCTGATGAAAATCAAGCCACAATTAAATTGGTCCTAATAATATAAAGATTCTCCGTCTCATGCAGGGCACTCAAACAAACTCCTTCGTGTTGACTCCTTGCATGTTAGTCTCAGTCTCCTTCCTTCCTTACACACCTTGACACAACCACAATCTATTTTTTTTGTTCTCTGTTCTAGAAAATTGATAATTTCCCATGAATTCAGCACACCGTGTATTTGAATAGCAGATGAAAGAATATGTGCTGCTGCTGCATTCAGTCAACATCTAGATGGGGTTGGTAGGGGTTTTTCTTTTTCTTTTCATTTTGTTTAAGAAGCAGAGCAGCATTCGAGGTGACTTCTATTATTGTAGATGGCATAGGTGTCTCTTTCTGCTTGGCAGATCTTTACTTGGTCTCCTGAACAAATAATTTAGCTCAACGCGTATTGGGCTTTTCAAGAGAAACACCTGCTATGCGAATGTGCAACACTAGAAAATGTTTGGGTGTAAGGAAAGATATTTCCACAGAAACAGAGAAAGATGAAATTATCCTCTTCGCCAAATCATAACTAGTTTAGGATCACAAAACTAAACATGTAGTAAATGTTACTCTAGAATGAAATATGTAACTGTTGAACCATCCATCCACATGATGCCAAGGAAGAACCATGAACATTCCCTTCATTTTTCAAAAGCTATATTATAAAACTGATCTTCAGCGAGACCAGTCATGAGTATACAAAAGTTTAACTGTCCTGAGACCCATGAACCTTCTTCACTTTCCACAAAATCCCAAAAAACTCTGGTATCACCTGCTAGACAATTGCTACAAAGCATGTACACTTGCAACAGGCTTAGCAAAAACAAAAAGGGTTAGCAAAACATAATGCACAACCTATCTGGATGATGGGGTATTATCTTCAGCAATGTCCACAATTTACTGGTGGGTTATAGCATTAGTTTCCTTGGCTAACTTGGTATGCACCACTTCCTGAAACATTTCTTTCTCCATCCCTCCATCTACTTCTCTTGCTGAGGCACTTTGAAATATCCCTCCCTTTGTTTTCCCACCATTCTCTGCCATTGGTGCCTCATCAGCTTCTGTTATCACCTGAAGGAGTTCAGACGGGGTAGCTGCTGGATCCAATTCCCAACAACCCTTTGGAGCATTGGGTGCTTCTTCACCTGTAAGCAAATGACTAGGGACCTGATGAGAGAAACGGAACATCTCTTCTTTAGGAATCCACCTCACTTCCTTGGGGTCCATGTGCTTACGGAAAACTGTTTTAAAACCAGCAACCTTACATAGAGGAACAACACACACACCGCGTTCCTCAGCAAAATCATCCAGTACTTCCACCATGTCATATTTGTGTATCACTGCATCAGGGGTGTGCTGATTCCAATCTGGCGACCAATTTGTATATAGTGCCCAAACTTCACTCCTCGTAGGAAATATGCGAATCACTCCTCGTGTGCTTTTTGTCCAACTAACCTTGTTTGAGAAAGAATTTAAAGTGTCATAAATTTCATGTCTGCCAGCCCTGAAATCCCCGCAGGTTTTAGTAAAACCAGAACCCACCCAGTCCATCGGACCCAATTCACTGTTGCTTCTTGAGTTAAGCCAACTAATCCGCATCTTAAATGGCTTCAAGGAAATCACCTTGTGAATTCGAGCATAATAACGAGGCATCCCATCATCATCATAAGCAGCCCAGACTTGGTCATCTCCAAAGGACCTTTCAGTTCGATCCAAGTCAAAATTATGAAAATCAGGATCTGGCACATTGATTGAAACTGGTGGCGTGGCCTCTTCACCAGTACCACTCTTGTTTGCTGTGTCAACATTTACCACAGTCTTCTGTTTCTTATTTACTTTCACCTTCTCTGCTTTAGTTGCTGAGCTCTGCCTGTTGAGCATCTTGCAAATTTCAGTTCGTGCCTTCCAAATCAGAATTTTTTTCATTTCAGGATATGGCAACTCTCTTGCGACATTAGGCCTATCGTATGTACTAGATAAACCATAAATTCTTTTTGTTCCAACATTACCTGTACTTAATTCAGATACACCTCCCAAGTCAGCACCATCACTTCCCTTGGACATTTGATTAGCCATGCCTCCTTGATATCCATTCAAATGTTTATCATCCGTTCTTTTCTTTTTCAAAGAAGGATTTCCCATCAAATTTTTACTCCTCTCCCATTCAGCGATTGATTGTCTCCGCTCTCGGTCTCTCTTCATTTTCTCACTAGCCTGTTGGGCCGCACTCACAGCTGGAGCAGCAGCTTGACCTGATGCAACCGGGCTACCAACACCATTCATTTTGGAGAAAAAGCCCTGTTTGAAGTTTGTCTTATTTAACGAATTAGGACCTAAAGATTCCCCCGCTCCCAAATTTTGAGGTACAGTGCAGTTTCTTCCAGAACTAAATGAGTTACCACCAGCTGCATGGTGTCTTGAATTCTGATGCTGCTGGGAAGAAGAGGTACTGGATGACTTAAAAACACTCGGAGGTGGAGCTTGTTCTATAGCCATGAAAGTCTTCTGACAATTAGGGCAGACTAGAATGTGATTTAGATAAATCCTGAGATACTGATAATGTGTTTGGCACCGATTGCAAAAAGTCCAAAAAGTAGCGGTGTTTCCATATGAAGGTGACAGGGTAGGACCACGCTGCGCCCTAGCATTTGAGGTGGCACTATTCATAACATTTTGACAGGTATTTGCACTGGGTTGCACTGAAGGACCCCTAGTACGGGATAGAACTTCATGTTGAAAACCTCTCTTGTGGTTATATGCTAGTCTCTTAGACTCGTCTGATAAAAAACTCCACGCCTCTGAAACCAACTTAAATGCGCCTTCTGCACCAAGAGACTTGTTTTTATCAGGATGAAGCATGAGAGCCAATTTCCTATACTGTTTCCTAATCATCTCATGATCCGCAAAAGGAGTAACACTAAGTATTCCATACCAATCCACTTCCCCATTAATTTTATTCTCTGCAGCGACGTAAACATCCAGTATTGTCAACATTTGGGAGAGACCCTCAAGCTCAGGATATAAATTTTGAGCCTTCAAGGCAAACTTCTTGGAAATAGCATAATTTTTTTCTATAAACTTCCTCTCAGCAAGTGCCTTAGCCCTGACTGCATCATCTTTATTGCACTCCATATTTTCCTTACGTAAGAGTCTCAGTTCTTCCTTACTTGACTGGAATAGTAAGCATACTACAAGAAAGTGGTCATGCATGCAGATGTTAAGTACCTGATCCAAAGAGAAAACAAATAGATCTCCTCAAATTCTGTAACTAGATCAATAACAAAACATTGCCCAAGACAATTATGTTAAACACCAGAAATTCATATAATAATAAAAAGCATCATTTGAACACCGAGTTTTTGAACCCTCCCCCGGCAACACAGAACAAAAATATGTCACTTTTATAGGCAGAAACAGATAATGGGCCAAATTAGCTTCAAAACTACCAGAGATTGTTAAGATGATGGAAACAGAACAGCAAATTATAAGATTGTGGAGCTCAATTCTCCTCCAAAATCCCTCCCTTTCCACTTGAGCCACACCCTTCCCCTTGTAACGGAACAAAAGGTTCCACTTCATTACAAAGGATAAACATGCGTTTTCATCAAGACACTTAGACCTACAACAGTAGTACTTCCTAACACAACATTTCCCCCACACTTCTCAACAGATCTAATCTAAGAAACTTGTGTACTGCTTGAAGTTCAAGCCATAAGACATTATTAAAACATCCTTCTAAAGCTTGAAACCTTATTACCAGATAATTTATGCTGTGATACTGTGATAAATACAATGACAAACAGGGAAAAAGACAATAAATACATTAACTAGCTTCAACGAATGCACATTTCTTATAGTAATATATTACGAAGGCATATCTCACAGAGAGACATGGCCACAAAATGCAACGAATTAGAAGCCCATCATTTTATAATAAACCCTTCAACATAATCCCAAAACCACAAGAAGGCGAAAGGCCCAAGAGAATAATTATAAGAACTTATCAACTGGGTAGACTCGAAGTTTTTACTTTTATAACAAGAAGTTTGCTGTGGCTTCACAGAAGTAGAGGTTTTACCGGTCAAGTTTCAGTACCAACAACCGTCTGAACTTCTGAACTTTTTTTTGGGTCGGAAAGTTCTGAAATTCAGTACTTCAAAATACAAACCCTATCTCTGTGGCATTTCACGAAATTGAACACACAAAAAAACCAGAAAAGCAAGCGACTTTCTAAGCAAAACTGAATTAAAGAGAAATAGTGATTACCCGCACCGCATACAACAAAGAGAAGTCTGACTTGAATTTGAATCTGAGAGAACCGTCACCAGGTACACTGGCCTATTAGGCAAAGGCCCCTAAAGGGACATGAGAAAATCTTAATTGCTCGACTTAAAAATTGAAAATTAGGGAAAAAGTAAGAATGGGTTTGGTGCCCCTAGTATTGTTTGTATATATATATATATATATATGGGTCTGATTTCAACCCAAAAAAGATTAACTAGGGTTAAATTTTAACTTGAGATTAGGTTTACACTCTCATATCTTAGTTGGAGTGCGTATGCTATGTAAGGAAATTAAAAATAATAAATTAAGAGAGATTCCGAATTTAAATCACTCTTTCGTAGATCTATAAAATAAAATAAAAATATAACATATGTGTTGGATAATTTGATTGTTTTGAGAGAATCTCGATGGTACAAGAGAAATTTTATTAATATCCAAAAAGAAATGGGGGAGACTTAGCACCATACATGTATTACAAACATAAAGAACCAGACAATCTTGAATTTTACGTAGTTGATTGAACTAATAAAATATGTGACTACCATATCATCCTTAATTCTAAAGTTTGTAACATTTTCAAATGCAATGGGGGTACACATAGTATTTTTTATGTAATAGTAGGGCAAAACAAATTATCTTTTCTAATATGCTTTATTATTATTATTTATTGTAAGCTTTCAAGGCAATTCATATGAGTGTAAAAGTCACATGTAACTATATATGTATGATATGAAGAGTGAAAATATTGAATTTTCAATATTGACAAAAATAATGTGTTAAAACTTATATATTCATAAAATATTGATGTTGAGAACTTGATATATATTATTATTAGTATTAACTTTTATTTTATTTTATAGAACTTGAGATGTATATATTATAAGCGCATCACAGAAGTAGAATAAGAATTGTAACAAAAAAAATGAACATCCCCAGCCACAAGCAGTGTACAACATTCAACAGCACAGGGTACACCCAGCTTATAGAAGTATTTCACCCCCATAAAAATACAAAAACTACAAATACCTGAGACTGAGCGAAAACTACAATTTCACTCTTTTTCCCACTTGGTTTTAAATTTCTTCCGCTAAGCTTCATTAAACCCTGGCTTCTTGTTAGCTCCGGAAACCCTAGCAGTCCTTCAAAGCCTTTCGTTTTATGGTAATTCAAAAACCTGCTCTTTCTCCCCCACCCCCCTACTTTTAAGTGTTTTCTGTGTTATTACTCTGTTTGTTACTGCTTCAAGATACTTCCTTTGAGGTATCTTTTCAAAATTCTTAATGATATCTTGGTGTCATGTTTGGTTGCTAAGAAATGATGGAAAGAAAGGAAGAAAATTAGCTTCAAGATTGGCTTTGGGTGCAAGATGTTATTTTTTATTTTTTATTTATTTTCCGTGGGGGGTTTTCTTGGTAACGAATGAAAGGGTCAAGGAGAAGTGATCACTGGGTGTTGGTTTCTGAGGTTTATGTTCTATTTAGGTGCCAAGAATAAATGGGAAAAAGAGAAGGAATTGTAAGTTTTATATGCGCCTAATGCAGTTGGTTGATTTTTCTTGTTCTTTTTAGTTATTCAGCAACCGAAAAACAAAATAGTTCTTTTAGATAATGGATGAGTAGAACTGGTGAAATTATGCTTTTTTCTTGTGTGACATACTAGGCTTAGTTGAAAAAGTGTGTTTGAAAATTATTTTGGCTTCTAAACGCTTGAACAACATGCTATTCCTGTTGCTTCATCCTCATTTGTAGTCATTTTCTGATATTTCAGGTCATCATTCGTTTATATTGGACTCTCTGAATTAGCCATCCAAGAAAGCTGAAGGGAAGATCTCTAATCAAACAAAAGGGCACAGTTCACATGCGTTGAAGTGAAATGAAGATGGTTCAGGTTTTAGCATAATTTACTTACCTTTTCAATTTGTGAGTCATAGTAGACTTTGTTAATGCGGTAGACAATGATAGCACCTGAGTTTCTTTATCATACCACGGCCACCAGGATGAGTAGGACATGCTATTATTCTTTACAAGGATCCTTAAGTTACTCACATTGAAAAAAGTTGGGAGAAGTTGGTTTGGTTTCTTTTTTCATGTTGACAAGCCAGTGTTATTGTATGCAGAACTCTTGGTTGTTTGTTTTCACAAGTGATTTCTATTTTGGCCTACGTATCAAAAGAAGGGGGAAAATTTAGCCATGACATTTGCCATATGACTGATTTGTTTACCCCCTCCTTCTAGCTAACGTCATGAGTTGAATGCAATACATCTATTTCATAAGTCTTGTTTGCTTTTTTGGGCTTTATATCACTAATTGAAAGGAATTTCACAGGATCCACAGAAGTCAACAGAAAAGCAGTTCTCAAAGAAAATATCAAATGACCCCCAGAGTGACCAACAGAATAGCATCACTGAGGTTCCAAGCAACAAGAGCAGAAAAATCACACGTGGAGATATTGAAGTTGTAAGACATTTTCTAACTTATATCTGTTTGAGCTTGAGTATGATTTGTTCAAAGGATGAAACTTAATTACATTATTTTGCTTTGGTACAATAATGAATGTTGTAGGTCCAGAATTTGATTGAGAGGTGTTTGCAGTTGTATATGAACAGAAATGAAGTCATCAATACCCTCTTAGATCGTGCTAGGATTGAGCCTGGCTTCACAAGCTTGGGTATGCCACTATATTATTCCACATAATTTCCTTTGTTTTTTTTACTCTGGATACATGGGAATAAAGCCTACCTCTGACCTCTGCCTTTTCTTTGACATCTTCATAATTTTTCATTTTTCCCAATGCATCATAAGTATCATTAGTCAATGGTGCCAAGAAGAGTTTGACTTTGTAGTTATATTGCTGCTAGTTCAAAATCTTTGATGTTCCTTAGGTTAATCCATAAACTTGGTTTCAAAGCTAATCACGTTAGTTGATATTCATCAGATTTGAATTGTCTTTACAATAATAACAGTGACATTATAATTTGATTTTGGATTTAGAACTTCTCATTTCTTCTCTTCATGGAATTGAGGCCATTCACTCATTTGACCTGAAACTTGTAGGTATTTAGTTTGAACAGCTAAATTTGATTGAGAAGCCATTTAACTGTTATCCCTACTGCATTATTCATTTGTGTTCTTGCGAACATATCATTTTAGCTATCTGGGGTCATTTTTGGTAGTTTTCCTGTAATTTATTTTTTCCAATTCATTCCACTTAATAGATGGCATGTTGTTCACCATTCTGCTAATTATAAGGAAAATACTGCATCCTACCACGTGACCAAAGGTTGGTAGGAAAAATCACATATGTTGTTTTGGTAAATGAAACCAGAAATTGGAGCACATTTTATTATCATGATCTTTTTTCAACTGCTCTAATGGGCCTCTTTTTTCTTTTTTTTGATAACTTAGTACTGCAGAAATTGGAAGAAGAAAATGCAGAATTTTTCAAGGCCTACTACATAAGGCTAAAGCTGAAAAATCAAATTGTTCTGTATAACCGTTTGCTAGAGCAACAATACCATCTGATGAAAGACCAAGTCCCTCCAGAGGTTCCATTGCCTCCTATGCAAAATGGAATGCATTACATGCCTGGTATTTCCTTCTTATAGAACTTCCTGATTGTTCCAGGGACACTCTAGCATTCTAAATTCTTATTGAAGAAAAGAGGCTGCATTCTGTTTTCTTTTCTTTCAATACCAATGATCAGTTTTTGAGTTCCAACTTTGTTAAAAAAAGAAAATTACAACTTCAAATCAGAAAAATAATTGAGGGGAATTCGCTCTTAACTTGGTTACACCTCATTTGGTTGATTTGTTGAGTACATGATAGGTTAAACTCCGTATGTTTTCTTGTTTTTATGAGTTCTCATCTATGGGAAAGAAAAACGCATAAAAGGATGTAGATGTTTTCAATTAGACTGCTTTTAACTACAGTTGATTTGAAGTACTTCATAACTGATGATTATGAAGTGTTTTTTTCTGGTCTGTATCTTCTTGTATTCAAAATCCTTCTCAGTTTTGTTGTTGATTTCTTTGAATGTTGGTGGCTATTTCTAATTGAATAATATGCCATAAATATCATTGTAAAGCAATGCCTTATTTCTCTTTTGTTTATATTTAGCGCAGTTCACAGTTCATCTATGGGGTACCCCATCATGCAGCAGCCTCCAATTCCATCTAACCGTCATCGCCAAATTAGTAACATGGGCACTACATCTAGTTGTCATGTGGTAAATGGAATCCCTGCTCAAGGACATTTCCACCATATGCCACTAAACTGTGGTAACGAGTGAGGCTTCTATCTCATATCCACTTTTTTCATTACTTTCCATATGGTTTATCTTGTATGGTGATAGCTACATTTTTCCTAATGAAATCGCATTCAAAATCTTATTCTGCTAATTTTCTTGCTAATGTTCAACATTTGCATGTTTTGTTGCATTCATTTAAACTTCAATGAAGGATTTTCATGTCCAGTGGTAGCTGTTATCCATATCTGATCAGTTTGTGTGTGTCAATCCAATACATGCACAGTCCCCTTCCTTAGCCTTACTGTTTGGCTCCTTGTTGACTGATGTGGACAGAAGCCTAGCTGATGCACCATCTATCATCCCTGCCAGTGGTATCAAGACAGAGATGCTTTCAAGTCCTGTATCAGTGGCATCCAATGGACAATTTCCTTTCACTCCATCAGAAATATCAGGGCTAGGTGTGGACACATCAGCGCTTGACTCTGCATTTACTTCTCATTTAGCAAATTTAGAAAGGTTGGGTATTGGACCAGATGGTGGGACCAGATGGCCTAAGGAGACCCTTCGATCATCGGGGCAGTCTACTTGGAATTTTGGCCTCTTTGATTCTACCGCCGAATGGCCAAACTTGCAAGGTAAGATGCAGTTTTTATTGATTCACAATCCTATTTTGAAGAACATGGGAAGTGGTCCATTATATCCAGGCAGAGTTTTATTGCATAAATTCAGTATTTGACTGTTACTGAAGTTATCATGCTCTTGTTATTTTTCATTTATTTATTGTTTGCCTGAACAGATCTTGGAGCACTGGGTAACTATTCGGGTTCACCCTTTCTGCCTCCTGAGTCGGATGTTCTTGATTCACCAGAGCAAAATGACATGGGTAAAATTGAATTAGATGGTTCCTTCCATATTATATTATGCGTTAAGACAGCTAAAACTAATAAGTATTGCACATTATTGTGACAGTTGAGGAGTTCTTTGCCGACGCTGGCTCAGGTCAAGGCTCTCAATCAGAGTAGACTTCTTCTGCGCCAAGGTGAGAGAGGTCTTGTGGAAGTATTTGGAGGACCTCTCTGGTGCTTAGGATCAGATAGCTCTATCAACCTCAAAGTCCTGATTCTCAATGAATATATGGTACTCTTTGAGCAATATAACATCTGATTTCCATGTAAATTTTGAATCTCGAGTTGTTCCAGCAAAGAAAATAGAAACAAAATTGATGTTAATTTTGATGTTAATTGATAGCTATAATTTTCCAAGCATAAGCAAATGAGGGCGCCGTTCAAATTTTGTGATCTTTTCAAAAACTCACCAACTTTGCGAGAAGAGAGAGTTCATAGAAACAACCTACAAATACCATGGGAACAAATCGTTATGCGTATTAGATTTATTAAATTTATTAAACTCGGATACCCGAACTGATAATACCTTAGCAGATAGGGCATCATACAATACAGACATGGAAGGAGAAGGTTCGGAATGAAACCCATCTTCTCATTACAAGAGCAATTAGGAAACAAAACCGATGAATAAACAAATTGCTTTCATTTCTATAAAGCACTCAGCCACTTGCATGTGCAAGTTTAAAAATCGATTACTTAAAAAATGTTGATAAATCCACACATGCAATATAAAGTTTCTAAACACGGTGTTCACTGGCTGGCTCTGCTTTGTCGTGGTGGAACTTCACCACAATGCATGTTATATTGTCTGCACTACCGCGGCAAAATGCAACTGCCGTTAACTTTCGAGCTGCTGCCTCAGGTTGTTCTTCTGTTTGGGCCACTTCAACAGCAACCTGACACAAGGCATAAATAGATAAGCAGGGTGCTGGGGTTTATTTAAACAGAAACCCAAAAATTAGTCGCAAATGGAACCAGATCTTATCATTGCAACAGGCAATTGGCAAGACACCTGTTTATGTACAAAAACAGAACTCGCTCATCTCAGAGTCTGAGCATGACCGGGCAGGTGCATGCCCTTGCGTGGGTCTATGTACGTGTCAAAATTGACGGTTAGGGTGGGGTAGGTTTACCTCATTTGGTACCACGTCCCATAACCCATCACTAGCAAGCACGATAAATTCAAATTCTTCATCCACCTCTTGGTCCTGAAAAGAAAAGAGAAAAACTAATGAAAACTTATTTTCTTTAGCTTCCAATCTATGGATTATGCACATCCATCATATATAGAGAATGCATATATGCTTAACCAATATAATCCTCGTTACACATACAATCAAGACAATACTCCTCAGATACAACATACTAACAAATTACTGTTCACCACATTCGCTACTTGGCTCCTACACCATGACTACAAAGATAAGAGGAAAAGACCGATTCACCGAATGGATAGATCAAATACTCGGTAATTAAGCCAGGATCACACAAGAATATCAATGGTCACCTGGATCTCAGGTTCTGCGACAACAAATTGTTTCAACATGCGGTTCCCAAAAGCCCGAGACATAGCCAGCACACCCCCTACCCTCCAAGTGCCTGAGAACATAACACAAAAATAGGTGAACTAAATTTATGGAATTGCGGTCAAAGAATGAAAAATGCAGGTCTACAAATGTGTTTGGATGGACTGAAACCATGCGGTAATTTTGAAGTTCATACATCAAATTATGAATGTGCACCACATGAGCACACCGGGAGTGAGACCTGAGTAAGACATTATCTGTTTCTATAAATTCATCATGACAACCAACATATAGAAAATGTAGTTTCCATGCTTCAATTAGAGAGGTTTTATTTGAGTCTTACCTGCCCACATTACAACACCCCCGGCACTTTCAATTCTCTTTCTCTCATCACTTCGATTTGGTTTGTGATCCTCAGATAAAGGAATTGCTGCCAAAAACGGGGGGAAAAAGTCCTAATTTAAAAATCCAGCATATCAAAGTATTTAAATTCTTAACATTCTATATACAACATTTTCAGCATATTAAAGTTGGAAAGATGTCCAATATACTTCATAACAAGTTCAGTTAAGTACTATCAAAATTTTAACCACTTTTAAATTACTCCTAATGCAATTATTACCTCTTCCTGCCTTTGATATTATTGTACGTGAATCTCCAACATTGGCAACATATAGATGGTTACCAACCAAGACTGCTGTTGAAGCAGTAGAACCATCATCACGGTATGTATCTCTTTCAGAAGCCAAGAAATCTGCATCCGTCTGTTGATACGATTCACCTGCAAGCTCACCCAAGTTACCCAACAGAACCAAACAACCAAACAGACCCATGTCACAAGGTGAAAAAGTGTTCGATGCAGGATCCCACACCTTGAAATGTAGGTGCAAAACATTATTTTCACCCGTATGGGATCCTGCATCATAAAAGGGGATATGCTACAATCGTATAGCCCTAATACTTCATTATAAGTGCTGCACAAATTTGAGGCATCAAAGAACTTGGACGCACTAATAGCTAACTTAGTGTCTGTAATAAATTGTGGATGCTTCATGAGATTCTCAAATAGATGCTCCTTCAAATATTCAGCAGCACGAGAACCACCATGACCTGTAAAGACACACAATAATTAGAAAATCTTGAATCATACTCATAGGCAAAGTACTTTCTGCTTCAGCCAACAGGCAAATCCTTATATTTGATTGAAGTGTCAGGACAAGTAGATCCTAGGAATAAGGTCGAACTTGTTTTGCAAAGTTCATAACCCTCAGAAATATGCAAGTAATATCAACCTACTCCGTGATTGAAATAATAAAAAGCTTTTATTATTTCATTTCCTAGGACAATTACCAGGCGTGGCATCTAAAGTAGCAACCATTATCAGATTCGCTCACCTTTTGCCACTGCAATTTCCCAAGGTGTCAGCCACTAATGGTTGCAACTATGTTATAAAAAAATAAAATAAAAAACCAAAGTTCATTCCACGTGTCCACACTATGGATGCCATTTCACACACCTTCTAAGTAATGACATGGAGCATTATACTAAAGTAATCAGAAATATTCCCTTTCTCTAAGATAAAGATGATAAGGAGAATCTAACCATCGAATATTCCAAACAGGCAGACTGTTTGCCCATCGATTTTGGACATTTTAATGTCATAAAAATCCTCCATGGTTGCTCTTTTTCCCCTGAAACTCGAATAGCCGCAACTCAGTTTTCCGCCTTCACTGTGAATGAGACAAAAAGGAATATGAAGTTAATCCAAATCGTATTTGTTTCACAGCAACTACTAGTTAGATCATTCAGTATCAAAATGCTTCTACTTATAGTTCAATAAGAATATTGATTTTGCCCATATATTTCACCTAAAAGAAAAGGAACAAATAATAAGAATCCATATAAACCTTTTCAAACCCCCGCTGGTATATTCACCATCTTCATTTTTGTCTGGCAGCACATCAAGAATGGAGCCCCGTTTTTCCATCTCACCTGCATCAACCATCATCCTTACACTCGTCCTAAATGCTCGGTTCCACGGATTGGCACACTTGCGAACTCTCTCAAAATTGTTCAAATGCACCCTTGCTTTTGTGAACGTTACTATATGGCCAGCTTGAGCAATGACACTCCTTATGCAAATTTTGCATATCATCTAAATAGACCCGTCTGGCTTTCGGTGCCAAATCTTCTGTAAATAATGCCCAGCAAAAAACATGAAAATCACTCAAAGATACCAATGTAACTCAAAATGATCCCTTTTCTTTGCAAATTGTCCACACACAAAAATAACTTCTTACAAATAAAATTCCAGTAAATCGAGTCTGCTACAAGTATATAACCACCTAAGCATCATTGAGCTAAAGTTTATCTAAGACGCAATCAACAAAATGATGAAACATACAAACACATTTCCTGTTTCTATTACTTTCCTCAGCTTTTCACAAAATCAAACAGGAAAAATTGATAAGTTTACAGGCAGCAAAGCACATACGCAGCCACAGAGACAAAGAAAACCAGATCAAGAGCTAAATCAGATCAAATTTTGCGATTAAATTAACGAAAAATACTTGAATTTGATAACAAAATTGTCGCTGGAAATCTTCGTGTTTGAGCTCAGAAAAGAGTCGGATCGGATCGGATAGAATATACCGGGCTCAAACGAAACGGTTCGGGTTGAAGCAAGTGGAGGTTCCGAATCTAATAGCGTAATCCAATCAGCGCCATACGTACATACATATACGTACAAGATACACTTTTCGCACTCCAAAACCTGATAGCATCTGAAACCCTAGAGATAGAGAGACTGAGCAAGATTCAGGAGGTGGATAAATACAGTAAGACACTAAGCGAAAGTTGAGAGAGAGAGAGAGAGACCTTGCCACCGAAGAGAGATGGCAACGTGGCGCTTTTCATGCATCCACTTTAGCAATTATACGGTGAACCCGCGTTCACAATACTTTTTTAGACCGCTAATGGTAGATGCCGCGTGTTCCTCATCTCTGCGTTTAAAAGGGTAGGCCATTCGAGGTTGGGGTCGTTTTAGTAATCTTACTGTACATACGATTTTTCTTAATTTGATGCGTCTGCCTCAAATTCGTGTTAGAGCGTCCATAATGAGCTCTCTAAACTATATTTGTAGACAAATTTTAGAGAGAATTTGGAAAAATACAACTCCAATTATACTCACTATTCACCTAAACTATGAGTATTTTAATCTTTTACTTAATGATAACTATTTTTTATATTATTTTTTAATAGAGATGGACCAATTAAAAAAGAGTTATAACATTTATGACTCTCTAAACTAAAGAGTACGATAGGAGTTAAAATTTTATAGAGAGCTCATAAAATAACTTTTATATATTTTTCACTAAATTTTAACAAAAAAATAGAGAGCATGGTTATAGATGGTCTTATATCTTAATTTACTTGAAAATCATGTGTTGATTATGGATGGATCACATGTCAAAATGTGAGATAAAGTGCATTCACAACCTAAACATGTAAGTGTTTTTGCTAAACGTGGCAATGGCATCAGATTGAGACGTATCAAATGTTCGAAGAAAAAAATTGCTTTCTCCAACCAAAGACAAGTCACAACCCACACATAATTTCCATCTGATCATTGATTTTATAGGAAAATAAAATCCTATTCATATATGCCAGGCTAGGGATTTCGAGCTTTTGTATTTAAAGTCTACATATTTCTCCGCATTTTGCTTCATATGAGCCCTTATAATAATCTAACGACTTAAAATATAACAGCATCAAACTTAGGCCCCGTTTGGGATTGCTTTTTTTCGACAAAAACCTGCTTCACTTTAAAATTAAGCAGTCTAAGGTGTTTGGTAAAAATAAAATATCCCGATTATTTTAAAAGTAGTGGCCTTTTGACGGCAGCTTTTAAAAGCAGGCTATGGTCTAGTTTGGGATTGCTGTCACTTTTTAAAAAAGTTATTAGCTGTAAAGTAAAGCAACTCCGTGTTTGGTAAACAATATTTTTAAAGTGTTGTTAGTGCAAAAAGCAGTGTCAAAATTGTTTGGTAAGTTTTAATATAAAATTGTTGTAACTGTGAATAATGACTAAAATAGACATGATGTTAAAAGTGTTATGTAGTAATCATGTGGTAGTAGTGGTAGTGATGGAGTGGAGGTGGTGGTTGTAGGGATGGCGCTTGTGGAGGTGGTGGTGGTGACAGCATGGTGGTGGTGGTGGTGGTGGTTGTGGAGGTGGTGGTGGATGTGGAGGTTTTGAAGGAGGTGGTGGTTGTGGTGGTGGTGGTGGAGTTGGTGGTGGTGGAAGAGGTGGTGGTGGTGGTGGTGGTGGTGGCAGTGGCGATGGCGGTGATTGTGGAGGTAGTGAATGTGGTGGTGTAAGTGGTGGAGTTGGATGTGGAAGTGGAGGTGGTGTTATTTTTTAAAATAAATGATGGTATTTTGGGAATTAAAAAAATTCATTAAAGGTTCATCTCTGCTTCTTTTGAAAGCAGCTTTGAAAAGCAACCTATAGCCTGCTTTTAAAAGCTGTTGTCAAAAGGCCACTGTTTTTAAAATAATCGAGATATTTTATTTTTACCAAACACCTAAAACTGCTTAACTTTAAAGTGAAGCAGGTTTTTTGGCGAAAAAAGCAATCCCAAACGGGGCATATAAATTTTAGTTTTGTTAAATTTTTTTTCTTTCTAAACTTATATGAGCCCCCGTTATCTATCTCTCTCTCCCACACACACTCTCCCCTTCCTCTCCTCATTCTCTTTGACTATAAAACTCAAGTATAAATTCAAGTATCATTACGGTTAAATTTTAACTTGTGCATTTGTTTGTGTTTAAATAAAGAGTTTTTATCTCAAATGATCCTTGAGGTTTGTGATCAAATTATCTTCTTTTGTGTTTTTTTTTTTTTTTTTTTTTTTTTTTTTTATTTTTGAAATTGAATTGGTCCTTTATGTTACACCTCACACATTAATTTGGTCATGCCGTTCAGGTTTTGTCAAAATTTCTGTTGAATTGATGACATGACACATATGTGGTGCCCATATATCCAATGAGATAATGCCACGTGGGTCTAAATAAAAAATTACTTTAAAAAAATGGTTTTAACATTTAAAATCTACAAAACTTAGAAAACTAAAATAAAAATAAAGAAAAGAAAAAAGAAAAATTGCCACTCTCCCCCCTCCCCATCTGATCTCTCTCTCCTCCCCAATTAAAATCACAACCTTTTTTATTTTTTTTTAATTTTGGGGGGGAGGGGAGGAGAGAAAAAGGAGATAATATTTTTTGATATGAGAACAAACAACTAGTACAAAAACTAGGTCATTGAGTATTAGATGAGTTTCTCTACACATTCGGGCTCAATTGTCGGTGTAACTAGGTAAGCTTACCGGCTCAACCATAAGCAGGAGCAAGAACCTTGCCACTGATGGAATACTCCATTCGTCCCCTTAAGATCGTGTTCGTAAAAACTACTAGTTAAAATCTTCAAATAAAACATCAACAAGAAAATCTGGTGGTTCATCGAATCAACTAATAGTAGCCCTAATAATCACAACCCCTGTTTTAAGATAAGTTATCATGATATGGTTTATTTTATCGAAAAAAAATTGTTTACTTTCATTTATTTCCTAACTGTGTATAACTGTCATTACCTTAGTTAAAGCTGTTAATTAATTACTTGCATAGATGGTAAACTCGAAACAAATTTTAGACTTGTTTGGCATATTTCTTACGCTAGCCAAACAAGAAAGAAATCTGTAAACGAAAACTTGAGTCAACCTAACAAAAAAATCAATGAATGGATGGCGGCTTCTCATAAGTGGGAAAATGCTATTCCTATCCGGACTATTTTTGGCTCAAATGTTCCAAATATGGAAACTGGCGCTCCTTAGCCAACCAACGGAACTTACCCTAACGATACGTCACCTCTTCAAAAATTTCATTTCATATTCCTAATCAATAATCTTTAATTTAATTCAATTTCATCCTAATATGCAAACATTCACTGTTATTTTACGACAACGTAATTATGTTTTTTACTTTTTACCTCCGTGGTTTCTGAAAAATATATGTAGCTGGTACTTTTGAGTTGAATCCCGGGTGGAGTATTTGTGGTGTTGTTGACTGTTGACTTTTCAAAAAAAATGTATGACGCTCATTCACAGTATTACACACGGTCACGGGCGTCAAAAATAATACCGTCCGGTATTTCCAATTCCAATCAAATTGCCGCCAGCTCACAATCTTCCATACCTGTCCATTTACTATCTGAAATTGTTATTTTATCAGAAATTCATATAAAATTACAGAAAAATACTATCTATCTATCAATCCATTAATCAAAATTTATATAATTTTTTTTATTTACAACAAACGCATCAAATGAAACATCATGATGCTTTCCTACCAGTGTTATGAAATAGGAAACATACACATCAGTTTTAGACTTCATTACATGTATGCATATCTTATTTTTTATTTTTTTCGTTTTCGATGACGGATTCTTATTTTTTTTCCTCGTACATTTTGTGAGTTATTGTTTGTGGCTCTCTCTCTTGGACAAATTGTCGATAATTCCAACTAAAAACAATGATTATTATAATTTATTTTAATAACATCATCACGCCATACTTTTAAAATACCACAACTTTAGCAAGTGGGTTCTAAAATAATTTTACATCTGTGATCATTGCTCTAAAGAAAACAATTTTGGGTTCAAAAAGACAAAAGCTGACTGAGCAGAGCATATAATTCAGGTGGGATTTCTTTTCCAATTTTGAAAAAAGGAAATTCTGATTTCTTTAAAAAAGTAAAGTTTTTTTTTAAAAAAAGGGGAAAAAAAACAAAAAGCTGCTATATCCCCGGGAAGTGCGCGGGTACAAGTTGAAGTTCACTTTTTTCACACATCGGCCAGCGTATGCACCGGACCGAAAAGTAACCGCAGAGAGCGAAACGTATAAAATGGTATTCTTTTTTAAATTGTTTTCATCAGCACAGAGTGGGCCCCAGAACAGAAGACACTGTTTGCCTAAATCAGAATCGCCAATCGTCGTTCGTTGGACTATCCTTCCTCTCTGTCTGAGTGTCTGTCTTAAAACCGAAACTTTTAGCATATAATTTAATCACGAGGCCAACGCTGAGTCAGACTCACAGACTCATAGACTCGGAGACCCACTCCTCTTTCCCTCTCTCTCATTGCTCTTGACATTTCCGCGAACCTTCTTCCTCTCTCTCTCTCTCTCTCACTGATTGAATTTCAAGCACAAAAAGCTATCTGGGTTTTTGATAGATAATCAAAGGGAGGACTTTCAGTTTTCCACCATGGACAACCTGTTCGTTTAATCACTCAGACTTCGTTGTTTGGTAGGTTATGTTCCTTCATCCTTTTTTCTTTTTGTTGGGTTTTCTCCTATTTTCAATATCTTAATTATTTTTTGGTTTTTTATACAAATAATTATTTTTTGGTTTCAGTGATCCCCCAATATTGGTTCTTTTTTTGTCTGTTGGAGTGTTTGTTCTTTTGAATTTAAGTTCATGACCTTTGGTGGACGAAGATACGATTGAACTTCCAAGTCTTTCGAAAATTTAGGATATAAATATCTTTGCTTTCTCCCCAATCCCAACTCATGTTTGTTGTAATGATTTTATTTTTGTTTTAAAATTTGAAATGTAAGAGGTCCTGTTGGTCCATTTGACAATATTGTTAAGCGGGAAATTATTCTGTAGTTTCCTCTCTGATGAAGATTATAAATTTGTTTTTTGTGTTATTGCATATTTATGTAGTTTTGTATGTGTTATGTGTGTTAACAATGAATTTGTGAATGTTGTATGGATGAATGCCTGCTGTTTTGATGGGCTCTTCCTTAAATGAAGATATTTTGGTACAGATATTAAGTTTTGTGTGCGACGTCTGCCTTTTGAATTGTGGCAAATGGCACTTTGAGACTTTCGACCCAAAAAAAATACGACCCGAAAAGTTCCCCCTTTCGTTGGCCACCTTTTTTTTTTTTTTTTTTTTTTTTTTTTTTTTTTTTTTTTTTCCCTCCCTCCCTCCCTCCCTTTCCCCCCCTCTGTGAAATTATAATCCTTATTTCTTTGTCCCCCAAAATGCAGGCTTTGATTTATTTGACAAAAAATGAAAGCTTCTATTTTCAGTTCAGTTTATTTTGCTCATGATTTTTTTTTCTTTTTCATGAACTACTCTGAATCTTTCTTTAGGGGGACGGACTTTGGGAACTTCGTGGTGCATAAAGAAGTTCTTTGGGTTCTCCAAACGTTCAGAGGTTGAACTTCCATTTGGAGATTTTATCGAAAGCGGTTTATAGTCATGAATTTTCATCAAGAGAAGTTCGTCAGGTTAGTTCAACAATAGTCCTAACCTTATGTGATATCATGTTCACTGTTTTGCATTCATATAACTTTCTCGCTTCCAGAACCAAACAAGTTAGAATTTTAGATGCTTCTTTGCCTGCTATGCTTACTCTGAAAGTACTTACCACGTTTGACAAAGAAGAAAAAGAAAAGAAGTAGTATTTACCACAAGTTTTACACCATTATGTTTTTTGGACTTATGTTTAACTTTTGCGTGTGATGTTAGATACTTGGAAATCTTCTGACGGGTTAATTAAATTGGATGCATTTATTTATATATTTTTGAAATTCAGGTTTCAGGATTGGACCTCAGAGAAAAAGGTTGAGCCACTATATTCTCCAGATGATGAAATACACCCAGGAAAATTCAGAAGGACAATCCACTCGGTGTCAATGAAATTCCAAAGAGGGTTGGAATCTGGTTCTGAGAGGATTAAGAAGTCATGGAAATCCTATTCATTTGACGGAGTTGTTGCTAAAAGCTTTGGTTCTAGAATTCTTGATCCACAAGGACCTTTCCTTCAAAAGTGGAATAAGATATTTGTATTGGCATGTCTTATTGCTGTCTCCCTTGATCCCTTGTTCTTTTACATCCCTGTGATCGATGATAAGAACAAGTGCCTTGGCTTGGACAAAAAGATGAAGATAACAGCTAGCGTTTTGCGTTCATTTACAGATATATTTTATATTGTTCACATAATTTTCCAGTTTCGTACTGGATTTGTTGCTCCTTCTTCTCGAGTTTTTGGAAGAGGTGTTTTAGTTGAAGATGCTTGGTCTATTGCAAGGAGGTATCTATCGTCATACTTCCTAATTGACATTCTTGCAGTCCTCCCACTCCCACAGGTAAGGCTAACCTTCTTATGTCAGAAATCAATTAGTCACATACTTGAATTGATCAGGGCTTCATATCATGAGTTGCATTCATTTGGTGTTTGGTTACTCATCTAATATAACAGGTTGAGGAGGGTCTTTATGCCCCGTACGTCTCTGCACAGGATTTTTATGTCCACATATGTGCTCTGCACAGGATGGATACTCATGTTTGCTTAATTGGGTGTACTTTTTGGTGTTGCATTTATTCCTAAATTGTATCTGGTATCTGATACTTTGAATTCTGTGTATAGTGCTTTTAATTGTAGTGAATGTCTTGTTTCGATTTGAATGTTATGCATATTTTGATTTTACCTTGGACCACTAATAATTATCTATGAAATATTCCCAGGTGGTTATAATTTTCATTCCAAAATTGGGAGGCTCTGAATACTTGAATACAAAGAATTTGCTGAAGTTTATTGTTCTATTCCAGTACGTGCCACGGGTTATACGAATATATCCACTATATAGAGAAGTCACAAGGGCTTCCGGCATACTGACCGAAACTGCTTGGGCAGGAGCTGCATTTAATCTTTTCCTTTACATGCTTGCCAGTCATGTAAGTTTGATCATGATGTGCGTAACTGCAATATAATTGTCCTTCTTTGAATATTCTGATTTTCAAGTAATATGTTGTGCTCTTAGGTACTTGGAGCCTTTTGGTACTTGGTTTCCATTGAACGTGAAACCACATGCTGGAAAGCAGCCTGTGGGAACAATACTACTATATGCTCCCGTGAGGATTTATACTGCGATACCGCAAAGGATTTTAATAAGACCACATTCCTTTTAAATTCTTCATGCCCAATACAAGAAGAAGATAAATCACAATTTGATTTTGGAATATTCCTTGATGCCCTTCAATCTGGTATTGTTGAGTCAAGCACACATTTTCCCCAGAAATTCTTTTACTGTTTTTGGTGGGGCCTACGAAATCTAAGGTGTGTTTATACAACTTGTTGTAGTGTGCACTCTTAGGGTTATCTGATGCTGAGCTCAAAGAGTTAACTTTCAAAGCCAGTATTGGTATTTGGTTATTTATCCTTGGTATTTTCATTCTGTAGTTCGCTTGGTCAAAACCTTGGAACCAGTACATATGTTTGGGAAATCTGCTTTGCAGTCTTCATTTCTATCGCTGGCTTGGTGCTATTTTCATTTCTCATCGGAAATATGCAGGTTGGTACTTAGTGTATTTGGATAATAGCTGTTCTGAATTGGTGTAATATTTTAAATTAATGTTGTGCATGTAGTTTTAGGAATTGACACTTCCTCATTTCTATTTATGTTTTGAGGTTCTGACGAAATTTAATTTCTTTGAAACAGACATATTTGCAGTCTACAACCACGAGATTGGAGGAAATGAGAGTAAAAAGGAGAGATGCAGAACAGTGGATGTCCCACCGCTTGCTCCCTGAGAATTTGAGAGAGCGCATCAGGCGGTATGAACAGTATAAATGGCAAGAAACCAGAGGTGTTGATGAAGAGAATTTGATATGTAATCTTCCCAAGGATCTTAGAAGGGACATAAAGCGCCATCTCTGCTTGGCTTTGCTTATGAGAGTGAGTTTGCCCACCATTATTGTCTTCTTAATTAGTATGCCTTTGTATGTGAATGGAGTAATGGTGGTATTGTATTGTTGGTGATCATGAACAATCTTGTTAGTGCGTTCACTTCAGGTCTTTTTCATTTTTCAAATCCTTACATCAAACCACTAGCTTTTGATTCTTACTATGTCCTTGAATGCATTTAAGGTACCAATGTTTGAGAAAATGGATGAACAACTGCTGGATGCAATGTGTGATCGTCTCAAGCCAGTACTCTATACAGAGGAAAGCTACATTGTTCGGGAGGGAGACCCAGTTGATGAGATGCTCTTCATAATGCGAGGCAGGCTTTTGACTATGACCACAAATGGTGGAAGAACTGGTTTCTTTAACTCTGAATATCTCAAGGCCGGTGACTTCTGTGGTGAAGAACTTCTCACATGGGCTCTTGATCCCCACTCATCATCTAATCTTCCCATCTCGACCAGAACTGTCCAAGCCCTTAGTGAAGTTGAAGCCTTTGCTTTAAAAGCAGATGACTTGAAGTTTGTAGCCTCTCAATTCAGGCGGCTTCACAGCAAGCAGCTCCGCCACACATTCAGGTTGTACTCACAGCAGTGGAGGACTTGGGCAGCTTGTTTTATACAAGCAGCGTGGCGACGTCATTGTAAAAAGAAGCTAGAAACGTCTCTGCTGGAAGAGGAGAATAGGTTGCAAGATGCACTGGCCAAGGCTGGGGCTAGCTCCCCAAGTCTTGGTGCCACCATTTATGCCTCACGTTTTGCTGCTAATATACTCCGTACTATACGGCGCAGTGGTACGCGGAAGGCAAGGGTGCCAGAGAGATTACCGGCCATGCTACTTCAGAAGCCAGCGGAGCCTGATTTTACTGCTGAAGAACAATAATAGGGGTATATTGGTTTTGATCGAGTGCAAGCTTTGGTTTGTTGCGTAAAATGTAGCATGAAATCATTTAACTGGAAAAAAAGGAAGAAAATGTAATTGCATAATTGTAGAGTCACATTTTGTTGTGTTGGAACCGTACCAGTTGTGTAAATTATCCGTTTCGTATATGGCAATGCCTGCTTGTTTCCTGGTTTTAACGAAAACTTAAATTTTTGTTATTTTTGGATAAATCTGGCCGTTGATTCAAAAAAATGTTCGAATCGATGCCGTTAGATGATGGCCCCTGTGATGTGATGTCGGCGCCCGCTACCGGGAATCTGCTTTGTGTTGGGCGAGTATAGCTTAGCTGCGAGTCATGTGCGAGTGAACTAAGGCCCTCCAATTTTTGCGCGCCAGCACACGTCTACCTTTTGTCTCCCCTGGGCCCGCATGCTTCAGAGATCTATATTATTATTATTTGCATCAAAACATCATCTCCGGGAGTTTCACTAACGCTACAATTTTCAACACAGAGTGAGAGTGTGAACCAAATTGGTTGACTTGTACAGTCTCCTTATTCTTGACTGGAGGATTGAAAAATTATAAATGTAAGGACTTGGAAGATACCCCGTGGACTTGTTCGATAGAGCTCCACTTTTTAGAGTGGCGCTTTGATTTTTATGAAATCTTTCGGCAATTTCAGCTTTTTGCTTCTTTCTAATGGAAGTTGAAATTCCACGGTAAGTGAAATTTTGTAATTTTTTTTAAAAATTTTATGTAATTCATGATATGAAGCATTGATCATATTGTCTATGAACTCCATAAGCTTGCTTGAGCTAGAACAGTTAGCAGTAGAGTTGTAAGCTCATTCTTGTTTGTTAAATTACATGTTCCATTCAGGGTACAGGGTTGCGATTTAGAAGAAAATGCTGAAGAAAAATTTCCCACATCTAATGCTAATGGCACATATTGTTCAGGGAAAAGTTTTCCAGCAGTGGACTTGGTTGCAGATAAGTTGCATAAACTTTTAGGATCTGGTTTTGAATGGATTATGATTATCAGAGAAGCATTGAAATCTTGTTATGGAGTTTTGGCTTTTGGGTTGGGTTTCAAGAATAAATTTGTTAATCCCCAGGAACTAGTCCTGCTGCAACGGTGGAATAAGATACTTCAAGTTCTGTGTGTTGTCTCACTTTCACTGGATCCTTTGTTCTGTTATCTCCTTATCGTCAATGATGAGAACAAGTGCCTTAGATTGGATACAAGATTGGGGAACATAGCTATTCTTTTGCGATCCGTCATTGATTTCTTTTATCTATTTCGCATCATCTTTCAGTTCCGTGCTAGTATTACTATTATCACTCCTTCTCAAGCATCTGGAACTGGAAGAAACGAATCAATTACAGAGCCTCCAGCATTTGTAGGGATATATCTGTTGTTGTGGTTCCTACTGGACATACTAGTAATTCTTCCACTTCCACAGGTAAGGAAAGCCACCCTGCTTAAAAAAGTATTTGTATTGTCCGGTTATAAGCTTGAGTTTTTGTTCAACTTATAAGATTTTTAATTTTCATGCTGAACTACTTAAACTTTACATGACGGTATGAGCCTACGAGGAGGAGCTCGTTTTATAGAATTTTATTGCACATGGGATTGGTTAAAGATTCACTATGTTGGATCTGTCCAGGTGGTAGTTATTTTCATCATTCCAAGATTAAATGATTCAAGGGTTTTCAACGCAATAAAATCATTGAACTTTATAGTTATCCTTCAATATGTGCTAAGGGTTCTTCGAATCAGCTCATGGTTGAAGAAAGCTACAAGGACTTCTGGCATCCTTGCTGAAACTGCAGGGGCTAAAGCTGCATTTAATCTCTTTCTTTATATGCTTGCCAGTCATGTAAGTTTACCATTTCTAGTTGTCTATTTATGATATCTAAGACTAAGAGTGATGTGGAGGCTGCAGGCAAAACATAAGAAACTTATTAAGAAACTAAATATGATTCTCTTGGAATAAATTCTGAGAGTCGAGGGTTCTTCTGGCCCTGCAGGTTGTTGGAGCCTTTTGGTACTTGTTCTCTATAGAAAGAAAAACAGCATGTTGGCGACAAGTCTGTAAAAATCATGCTGGTAGTGAATACTGTTCTTTATATTGTGGTGATGACATATTTGGAGCCACCACACTTCTGAATGACTCTTGCTCTGCAAAGACACCAAATTCCACACTATTTGATTTTGGAATATACTCAGATGCCCTGAAATCTGGCGTCATCAATTCAGCAGATTTTCTACAAAAGATATCTTACTGCTTTTGGTGGGGACTGCAAAATCTGAGGTTTGTCCACATCAAATCCATCCTGTCAAATTAAACCAAATCATATAAATAATTGTTGAACAGAATAGTTTTAAGTATTGTAGATTTTTCTTCTTGCGCATTTGTTTACTAACTTGTGATATATTTCTATTCATATTCTGCAGCTCCCTGGGTCAAAGCCTCAAAACAAGTACCTATGTGTGGGAAATCTACTTTTCAGTTGTGATTTCAATTTCTGGCTTGGTATTATTTGCATTTCTGATTGGAAATATGCAGGTTGGTGTTATGAATACGTTTATTTCAGAGCTCTCAGTTCCTCTGCTGCTAAATCTTATATCCATTCATCTGAATGCATTGTTGTTGGATAATACTCCGAAACTAGACTTCTTTGACAAGAATGTTTAAGTCCATTGAGACATCACATGATGAACTGTGTTCTGTTGTGGAACAGACATATTTGCAGTCAAAAACTGCTAGATTGGAGAAAATGAGATTGAAGGGGCAAGAGATCGAATTGTGGATGGCTTTCCATTCCCTTCCTCGGAAGCTTAAGAAACGGATACGGCAATATGAGAAATACAAATGGCAAGAAACCAGAGGCATCAATGTGGAGAATTTTCTGCAAAATCTTCCCAGGGACCTCAGGAGGGATACAAAGCGGCATCTTTGCTCAGGTCCACTCAGCAAAGTGAGACTTGTTGAATTTGTCCCTCCCTATAATTCTTGTTGAAGTTTTTCAAGAAGTCTTTGTACATGATGATGATGAGATGATATTTTGGTAGGCCTAGGCTTTTCTGAACTTATTTGATTTGATGTAGGTGCCAGTGCTTCAAAATATGAACAAACGACTGCTGGATGCAATCTGCGAGCTTCTGAAGCCAGTGCTTTACATAGAGCATAGCTTCATATTTCGAAAGGAAGATCCACTTGATGAGATGTTGTTTATCACGCATGGGAAGGTCTTGGCTTACTCCAGCAGTACTTGCGGTGAAGGCGCTAATTCTCTTGAAAAGGGTGATTTCTATGGAGAAGAACTTCTGGATTGGGTGCTCAAGACTTGTCCGGCTCCCGCGTTATCCAACCTCCCCATCTCAACTAAAACAGTCCGAGCTGAGACAAAAGTGGAATTGTTTGCTCTCAAAGCCAATGATTTGAAACATGTGGTCTCTAAATTCTGGTGGCTTTTCAGCAAGGAGCTAAGGAACTCTAACAGCTTTGGTTTGCAGCAATGGCAACCAAGGGCAGCTTGTGTTTTGCAAACAGCATGGCGCCGCCATAAAAGAGAAAAGCTTCAAAAGTCTCCCAGGTTGGCTAAAGAGGGCAGTCTTTCTGCCGCTGATCACCATGCTGTCTCAGAAACACAGCATAAGTAGGTATGGCTAATAAACTGTTAAAGCATTGATGTATTTGCTATATGCTTGTTAATTTACTTCATGTAAGTTTCTTTACATCGAGATATTTTCTCCAACTGGCACCCTTCGATTGCTATAATATGGCTACCAACAAACTGCATTGCATATAGTCATTGCAAACAATCAGAAGCCAATATATAATAAACTGACAATAACAACTAAAAATCATGCGAATTTGATATAATAACCTACATAGCTAACTTAAGCAAAATGTTTGATCATAACAACTCCATTCCGTAGCTTTAAGGATTTAACAAGTCCCTTATTTTGTCATCAAAAATGGGGAAAAAAAACTGAGTATTGGCGCTGAAATTCTATTATTTATTTCACGTAATTTATTCTCTTTTAGCTTTGATTTAATTAATTTCTTCTGGCTACTTAGCTTTGATTTTATTCATATGATGATTGTCGTTCAATCTCGATCAATCTCGACTGTATTATTTGATAAGCAAAATTCTAAGAAATCGAACCCATAAATATTGTAATGGAAATACAAAATTCTGCAGAAATAAAAATTAAAAAAAAACAAACAAACAAACAAACCAAATATCATACATACATAGCGATATATAAGAGATGAGGCTTGCATGTTTATGCTTGTTCAATCACAATCACATAAAAATATCACCTCCTGCTTTTTAAGCTTCAACCAAATTGCCATAGTGATAGTGTTGTGAGGAGATGAGACTTGCAGTATAACTATAAGTCATCGAGTGCTTAGCACTGTATGGCGCTTCCCACTAAATAAAACTGGAGACGCTTGGGAATAAAGTTTCTAGTGTTACTTGTTTGATGGAACCGCATATTAGATCCATAAAGCAGTAAACATGATCCTCGTTTTTCCTAAAAAATATGCCATGCTCCCATTTCCACAGGGCTGAACAAAAGTTCTGAACATGGGGTTGCTATTTTGTAATCTAAAATCCACTCTTTTTTACTATGATTTTTCAACACCCATATATTGATGCTCCGTGATGATGAAAATGAAAGATCCACAATTGCCAAACACCCCCTTATATTAAGCAAATGCATGTCATAAAAAGGGAAAAAACCATCCAAGTTGGGATGAGGTGTCCAATTAAATTTCTCTTTCATGAAATCAAAAGAAATTATATGATTTCCATGCAAGCTTTCTTTTTTATTTTCGCGAACCAACCAATGCATGTCTCCATCATTTGCTTAGACCACAACAAGGAATTGAGTCTTTCTCACTCTATGACGAGCTTGTGCCCAATACATAAATGTGTGCCACCTCAAAATTGAGTTCATGATTTCTGGCAACACAAACAATCTTAAGGGTGTTGCTTATATTATCAAATCTCATATCATACCAAACATCGAATGCCATGTTACTTGTTGGGGGAGTGGCATGAGTGGAAACTTTAGAACTTTCAGCCTAAGAGGGTTAACTATGAAGCATGGATCTTTGCATCCAAATCTACTTTTGAAGCAAAAAAACGTTGCTAAAAACACAATCTAGCTCGAAACGATTTCCATGACTTAGAATCTTTGAGACAAGAAAACTATATTTGATTTCTCTTAAGACGCAGTCTCCACTGTATTTCAATGACCAAAAGACCATGGTGAATTTGTCATGTCAAGTACGAGAGCTAGTAATAAGCATAAGCTGAGGTGTGCTTGAACAACACCGGAGTCGTTGATGCAACGTGATGTGTGAAGTGTAGCAAAGAATGAGCAGTCAACTAGGTTGAAAAATGACTTCGAAACACACTGGATGCGACAAATTGATTGTGTGGGGAGTCTCGTGAGAATGTTGAGAATGATGTCGTTGGGTAGGTCCGCCAAGAGTAACTTTCTTGTCGTTAGCTTCTTCAATCCTACTCACTCAATAACAAAATATTCAATTACAAATTTAATTTGAATAATAAATCTGTAAATTATAATAGGAATTCGCAATTTAATTCGAAGAAATTCTAGTAATAACAAAAATTCTAATCTCAGTATAATCCAAACCCAAATGATTCTCATACAAATGAGCCAAGAACGATACTCATATTCTTGCTCACAAATTCAAAAAAGAGACAAGAATACCAAATTTTGGAAACCAGTGTTTGGCACTGGAGAGTTTCTGATGCTAAACAAAGCTGATAGTGGATACACTCTCACACATGCACACACTTTAAGAAGGTTGCAGGCAAAACATAAGAAACTAAATATGAGGAGTATTTACAGAGGGAATTTATAAACTTGGTTCCCTTTAATCCATATTAATTTGTGTTGTTTCCACAGTGTTAATACTTAGTAGTGACCATCGAGGGTTCTTCTGGCCCTGCAGGTTGTTGGAGCCTTTTGGTACTTGTTCTCTATAGAAAAAAAAGCAGCATGTTGGCGACAAGTCTGTAACAGCTTTGGTTTGCAGCAATGAACAACCATTGCAATGTCCATTATCAGTATTCGTCCAAGTAACTCTAACAGCTTCCAATGTTAGATGTAGCGGAGGAAGCAGAAAATACAGAAATGGTTGTTCAAGCATGGAGCTGAGTAACTGCTTTGGTTTGCAGCAATGGGAACGAAGGGCAACTTGTGTTTTGCAAACAGCATGGCGGGAGGACACTGCTGACCAAACATGTTAAGCTACAGCTTCAACATTGTTATCAAGGCATTTTGTTTCAGACTCCTGCTCATTTAACCAGCAAGTGTTCCAAAAATTGGCCTAGGCGGGCGCCCAGAGGGTTTTTATGGTGGCCCTTTTATTTCTCATGTTTTGATGATTTTAGATTCACATGTTAAGCTACAGCTTCAACATTGTCATCAAGCCATTTTGTTTCAGACTCCCTGCTCATTTAACTAGCCATAGTGTTCCAAAAATCGGCCTAAGCGCTAGGCGGCCGCCTAGGCGGTGGGCGTCCGCCTAGGTGACTTGGGTGGGTCTGGGTGGGTTTGACTCAAAAAAATGAGATGATGATGCTATGAGCGAGAAAGAGAGAGAGAGAGAGAGAGAGAGAGAGATGATGATTGAAGAAGAAGATAGGTCACCGCTTAATAGCTCGTGTTAGACTCAGGGTTTCAGAAGGAAACTTGTATTTATATGGAAAAGGAGAGGTGGGCTTCCAATTGGGCCTGGGCTTAAGACACTAATACAACCAAATGCCCTATTTAGATATATTATATGATTGGGATTGGCCTCAGAAAATACAACATTAAATGGATTTTGCATTATAAAATCACTAAAACAACCACTAGTACGTAACAAATAACAAATGAATATTATACTATTTGTTTAATATATATATATGTATTATGGCATTTTATAATCTTTTTTTTTATTTTGCATGATTTTGGTATAAATTTATAAATTTATAATATATAATACTAAATAATTATATATATATAAAAGAAACTCCTAGCCCCCACCTAAGCCTGATTACTCCTCTAGGGACTAGACTCTACCTACCGCCTGGCGATATTTCGAACATTGAATTCAAAGCTAAGAGCATCTCCAAGGGAGATGTCAAATACCAAACATCAAATTTAAATTTGATGGCTGATGTAGCAATTTGACATCTTACATAGCTTTACACTCCACCCGATATGTCAAATTAAATTATTACTTTATTACATTTTAGTGTTGATTTATTTTTAATTAATAAGAAAAGAAAAGAAAAAATAATAAAATATACATTTGACATCTTGCTTTTGGGATGTCAAAAATAACATCTAAACCTCCAGCCTTCATTCCACATCAGCTTTGACATATCGGTTGGAGTGATGTGAAATGTTATTTTTAGCTGTTAAATGTCTATGTAGTACGTTTGACACATCGGTTGGAGATGCTCTAAGTAGCCAGAAGAAATTAATTAAATCAAAGCTAAGTAGCCATGAAGGGACTGTGTTTTGTTGCAGACATCCTAAGCCACCAAATGAGTGGGCCTAATGGACTTTCTCTAACCCAAGGAAATAGGCTTCGAATTGAACATACCTACCCATTATGTTAACGGACAGGGCCAGGACAATGAAACAATCAATCCCCTTACATGTTTTATTTTTCTACCGTTTCAGCCGTCTTCAGGGAAATGCACGTGTCTCCCCCTGTAATGGGGGAGCCGATGTCAGGTTATGACGGCTACCTCTCATGTAATTAATTAATTAATTAATTAATTAATTATCCGGCATAAACGAAATTACAAACCCCCAAATTATTAATGATTACCAACCATCAAATGAATGCTGAGTATGGATGAGGATATATAGTAATGCGTATCGTAATTAATCATATTTTTATGTCAATTTATGTCCTCAACCTCGTTAATCCTTCAATAGCCACCTCATCTCATCAACTTTTCTCCATGTTGGTAATGTATGGCTCCATGCCTTTCACATGCATATGGATGCATCATAAATAAATAAAAATAAATAAAAATATATTCGTTGTAAGAGAAATTTGAACTTAAAATCTCTTTCAACATCTGAATTGACGAGATGGTATTATGGAGTTGTATGTGTCATGTCCATGATGCTTAAGCAACCCTCATCATCACTCTTCTCTTCCTATCATGGATGCATATGCACTTGTGGGTGTTTAATTAAAGAAAAAAAATACAATTATAGATGCATTAAGATCATAATTAAGGAATGGTGCGGCCCCCTTTTGTGATTGGTAATCGTTCACCAATTAAGTGCCACAGGGGAATTGTAACCCCCTACACAGAGCGTGTGCACGAACTTCAAATCCCATTCTCTCCTTCCCCAAATTAATTCAAGGATTAGCCTCACTCTCTTTTATGCTGCTTTCTTCATTATGTTTTCATTCTCTAATTCCCAAAGTTTCCAACTTTCACTCTGACTTTGACGTTTCTCTCATACCCATTTTCTCTCAAATGGATTCTATCCAACTTCAGGTTCCAAAGATTGAGATTAACCCACACGGCTTCGACTCCCTACAGTACTATCAAGACCCATTCCATGAGAAGTAAGATAAAAAAAATCCCTCTTTTGCTGCACCATTGCCTTTTTTTCTTCTGATAAATGCTTTTTACTTTTTGGTTTCTTTGATCACATTTGCTTATCAACTCTGCTTCTCCAAACCCCAAAATTTGTTCAAGAATTGAAGAATGCTATGCTCCTCTATGCATCTTTTATTTTGTTATTACACAACTTTTATTATATGGGTTACTTTACTTTTGCAGTGTTTCATTAGAAGAACATCTACAGCTGGACAATTTATTTGAGTTCAATTCAATCCCTTTGGAATGGAACCAGAACCAACATCCCCACATGGGTTTCCAAGGTTTTGAAGATTTAGGCAGCTGGGATTTCATGTTGGACAATACTGATTTCACATCACCTTGTGATTATGTTGTGGTTGATGAAAAGCCTGTGACCACCATGGTGGATTCTTTTGATTACTCTAAAAACCCTACAAGTGATTTGGATGAAGCTTCGAGAATGGCTGACTGGGGAAGTAATGGGATTTATCATAAGAAGAAGTCTGCTGCATTGGAATTGGATGAGATACAAAAGTACTTTGAGCTCCCCATCACTCAAGCAGCCAAGAAATTGAACGTGGGATTGACTGTTCTGAAGAGGAGGTGCAGGGAACTTAAGATCATGAGGTGGCCACACAGAAAGATTAAGAGCTTGAAGGCTCTGATTGAAAATGTTAAGGTACGTGTGCATGTTGTGGACAGTGATGAGAGATTACGTTTCCATTGCAACTACCCACTTAATGAATAGAAAATCTGAATTATATATGTTAAATACTCTATGCTCATGATTGAAATTAAAGGCCAAGTAGTGCCTTTTTTGTCTACTGCCGACTGATAATTTCCCCTTAAAATAAGGATCTGTGAATAACAAGTGGGGAGGATATGTAGGAGTAGGTTTGTTTCATTGTCAAGCCCATGACTTTGCTTTGTGACCAAGGATGCATGACTACTTATGGACCAAGTATTATAAGGGGCTACCATGAATGACTATTCTACTGTCTTATATATCTATGCAAAGGGCTTGTAGCTCTAGTGATTAAGAGCATTTTAGCTATACATGCTCAAGATCTTACTTTCGATTCCCCCTCCCACAATATTGCTCGGTTAAAAAAAGTATGACATGTTATACGTGAAGGTGATTGGTTTTCAATCTTTGTTTTTAGGAAGACAGTGTGTAGGATTGACTGTTGAAATGCAGGGTTTGGGATTGACCAATGAGCTAAAGATGCTGGAGGAGCAGAAAAGGCTTCTAGAGCAACTGCCAGATATGGAGCTGACAGAGAGAGCCAAAAAGCTGAGGCAGGCTTCTTTCAAAGCCAATTACAAGATGAAGAGGTCTTTGACCACTGCTCGTCCATGACTTTATCATCATTCAAATATGTCAATGTCAAACAGAAATCTCTTTTCTCTGTTAGCAGACTATTAAGACCACACATGTTTAGTTAATATCCACACAAACATTAAACAGATGAGAAAATCAGGACGCGTATATGGTAGGAACGGTCAGATTGATGTTACTATTTTTGATCAATCATCCATTTCCTTGCCTGATATTGTGATCAAAGCTTGTTGAATGTGTTTTCGTCTCCATTACGGATTTTCTCTTGTTTTTATCAGTTATCCATTTTCTTTATTAACTGTTAAAGACTGATCAACTTGCTTTTCTATGAGTAAAAGTTCAGGAATTTAATAAAATAAAGAAAAATCAGAGTAGATGAGAAATAATATCTAGGAATTTTAGATAATATGGGAACAAGTTGGCACGCTGACAACAATTTGAATGGTGGGTTGGGGGGGTGCTTCATTTCATCACATAAGATGATGAAGCTTATAATATATAATATATAATATAATATTATACTAATTGACTACTATTTTCATGATCTGGTTCTGCTATATATACACAAATTCAACAAGTAGGAAAATGAACCATCCAACAGTTGCAAGACTTCACGATGCCATTTTTCTCAATTTTTCTTGCCTGCGTCTCCATGGGACCACCTGCTTAAAGCTTTCATAAATGCTTGCCTGCAATTATTTAAATAATAATAATAATAATTAACTATTTGAGCTGAGCACAAAATTAATCACATTTTAATTTAACAACACTGGTTCCGAAATTAATATATGTCCACAGAGTTATGCTAATTTTGACCTATTGATTTTCTTCGACAACAAAAAAACATTTTGTTAATCATTTCGTTAATTTTCTCTTTTTATTTTTATTTTTTTGGGTATTTGTGGAAAGCCACATGAACCCAAGTTCATCACAAGGATGCCAAAAATTATATTGAAATTCACATCAAATATTATGCAGTATGAACTTAGTCCTTCTCAACATAATTAATTTTGTGCAAAAATCTGATGAAATTAAAGGTGGAAAAATAAAAAAAATAAAAAAATTGAGTTTGAGAGCTTGTAAGTATATTAAACACTCACCCACGTATGTGACTTTGTGTGAGTAACACTCATGAAGCTATCTCTCCTCCTAACTCTTGTGATCTTCACCTTTGTTTCACCGCCGCTGCCACCAGCCGCAGGCAAAAAGTCAAAGCCGCCATGGTCAACAACCTCCTTGTTCTTCCTGAAACTCCCCCACCTCATAGACCCAAAACCACCACCTCTACCACTCTCCTTGCCGATCCTCTTGCTCCCCAAACTATCGGGGTTCCTAACTCTAAACGAAAAAGACAGAGTCCGGCCGACGTCAGGCCCGTCCAGCACGGTGGTTGGGGAGGGCATGTTAGTAATTTTGGCGGCCTCATTTAGCAACCTCGGAGGCAGTTCCAAGGATCTTGCGCACTTGGCCTTGGATTCTGTGGTGGAGCAGTGCCTAGGCTTCCCTGGTGCTTCCTCCCACTGGAAGGGAACAGAGACTGAAGTTTGGAGTGGTGGGGTAAGCATCCCCGGAGGCTCGGGTGGCTGGTTCGGAAGTGAGAACAAAGACAGCTTTGGTGTGGCGCAGACGCATGCTTCATTCACTGGTTCAGACTCCATGCTCTTCTTCAGCCTTTATCTCTCTCTCACAACGATTTCTCAGAACAGAGAAAACAGAGCGAGCCTGTTCATATTCTAATCGGTTGGTGAGATTGGTGTGTACGTTTTTATAGAGAGAGAGAGAGAGAGAGATGACTTAGTGTCTGAGGAGTTTTTAGAGAGAGAGAGGAGTGAGGAATTGGTGGTGGTGGTGAATGTGAATTGCGAGGGTCGCAGCAAACGCTCCTGGCGCTTATTCTTCACGAGAAAATGCCAGTTTCTATATATTATTTCTTTTTGTTTACATTTTGGGGGGGTTAGGATAGGACGAAAATGCCCTTTGGGTCAATGAGGTGTGGGTCCCCCTCTGGAAATCTGATGGTCACGATCGATGTGGATAACGACCATCAACTGTCATTTCTCAATTGGGTCGGTCAGAAAAGTCGTAGTAGATGAAATGGGAAAATAAGATTTTAATCTTGGTATTGGTATTATTATACAAATTTATAAATAAACCCAATCCTATACATGTATTTATAAAAAAACCCAAACACTATTTAAACATAGAAACACACCCAAAATCAACCCCAAAGTCAACTTTTTGGGTGTGTTTATAAATGGGTTTTGAGTGTGTGTAATGATGGGTTTTGGGTGTGTTTATAAAGTGTTTTGGGTGTTGGGTTTTTTTATAATTTCAACCTCCATTTTGGGTGTTTTAGTGAAACTCCCTTAATTATATTCTTACTCTACATGCTTGCTTGCTTGGTTTATCATGCCAATGCCAAATGGTATAAGAGACGGCCTCCTGCTGCTCCTCCTAGTCCTTTTCCTTGTCCTTGGCATCTTCTTCCGCTTCCTTTTTCTTTCTTTCTTTGTCACACACACACACACAGAGAAAACTGAAGAAAATGAAGAAAGGGTACTTAAATTTTGAACAGGGTTGGGTGGGAAGGGAACGGAACTCTCTTTTCTTCGAATATTTTGACTAGCAAATTTGGTGATGTGGTTAGAGTCTCTCTGTTTGGTTTGATGACAGATCAAATTTCAAAAACTACGTACCGGTATTTTGAAGAGCTCTTTATTGATATTCTTACGAACTTTAATCAGTCAAAAGTTACACAAAGCTGCTGTGCAGACAAAAGAAAAAGAGAATATTTGATCAATACTGCAGAAACAAAACAGATGTTAGTGATTCATCTGCTGTTAACTATGAAGTATGATAATGAATACAGATATGATTTTTGTTGATACATGCATAATTTGACTTGATTATTCTTGTATATGTTAGGCAACTTGTTCTGCATTAAAGTAGATAAATACTTGGGTAGCCTAGCTGGCTGTGAAGTTGAACTAGTCTTGTAAGGGCCAGGAATAAAACAAAAATGTCCTTACATAATTCATTTTTAATACTTCTTGGGTTGGTCCCCCACAAAGTAGAGTCCCATTCCTCTCTCACAAACATTTCTTAATCGAGCTCCATCTACCAAACTGAAACTAAAGAACGTAGTTGCATTTCTCATTTCTCCCAGCATGGAAAGGAAGATAATTCCAACTCCAATTTGAAGTGTGTGCCTAAATATGATGATAGTGTTTTTCCATAGTTTTTTAAGGGTGAGGGGGGACAATGCCAAACCACTACGCACCCACGAGGTCTTTTTCTTTTTCTTTTTTCCAATATTTTAATTAAGGATGTTTCTATTACTTTCTTCTTTAATACTTTGTTTCTTTGCTTTAAAAGGTGGCGCTCATTATAATTTTTTTTTAAAAATGATTGCACATATATAATATAGAAGTATAATTAATTGGGAGATTCTTTAATAAGTATTTTATGTTAAGGATTGGTTTTATACTTTTAATTTTGGGCGTCGGATTGTATTTATTAAATTTGTTGGTAGTCTCTTAGATGCAATCTAACGCATGAGATTAGAAATATATAACTAATCATTAACTTAAATACTTATTAGAAAATCTCCCTAATCAATCAATAACGAGCCACCAAATCCTTTGACATTTTTAACTCATTCATTTGCCTGCCAGGAAGAACAACCATGTGCTTCTTGTTTAAAGTTTTATATTGGTAAACAGATAATGCATGCAAATATTGCTTTCTTTGATGAGCAGCACCAAATATCCTCAACTTGAAACACAGCAATAATAGCACGTCATTGACAACAGGGCAGCGACCTTCCCCTTTTTATCAGAAATGTTTTAATCACCAGAGCCCCAACACAACCACCCCAATTGAAATTTGTTAGGGAAATTGGGAACACCTGCAGATGTTAAATCATTCAAAGTGACTAAGACATGCAACCCCATCACAGCCGTTAATGGGTTTTGCATGAGCCAGCATTAAACCATTTGGGATATAGACCTTCAATTCACCCCAGGGTTCATCGAAGCTATCAGATTGAGTAGTGACCTCGTAATTTTAAGGGCACAGGGCTATAACTTGCATCTGAAGGGTTAAGCCTAGTTACAAAATCAACAAGTTTCTTTTTTCGTTTTTCTTCTGCTATTATTTGCTTTGACTATTAGTAGCAATACTACCATTCAAAACCCAACAAAACTAGTCTTTCAATTTGACATTTAACTACATTCAACCAATTTGGCGACTGAAAATAAAGGAAGCTCTTACAAGGCCCCACGTTGAATTTGGAGGAAACAGAGTATGTAGTTTGGAGGATGATCAATGTTTTGACAGGTCAATTGTAAAATGTAGACGATAGTCAGTTGATAAAAATTAAGTGTAATTAACCTATGTGTTGATCATTTTTTGTTACCCCATCAGAAGCTGGATCTGCAGGGTTGTGATAGTGAAAAAGGGTCCTTGCTTGGTGCAGTAATAAACTCTGTGAGATCGTTTATCTTCTTGATTGTTGTAAGAGGAGGTTACATTACCTGGTTATGTATGTGCAAATAATTTTGCCACGTTTTTCTTGTTGATTGATGATTTTCACAATCAAAAGTAGAGAGCAGGTAAAAGTTAAACTCATGGCATTTCTTCTGCATTAAAATTATATACGTTATTTGCCTATAGCCAGCCCTATACATATCTGAGTATATAAATCAGTCGAAACTACCGTTATTAATTGAACCTCATCTTATGGTTTTTCATCATAACCTCCTCAACTGTATCATCCCATCACAAGCCAAGGTCCCCTCAAGGTCTCCAATAATTCGAGCTATCCGAACCTCTAGACCTCTTTGAACTTCCTGGAAGAGAGTTCTAATAAAGTCGGTGAAGCGATTCATGTCAAAGCTGGCACATGTTTCTAGATCTTCAGCAACACCAACAAGTCCAGAAGCAATCTTGGGTTGAATTTCCATTAGTTTCTGGCCTGTTGCAACCATATATCTCTGCAGCTGAAATGTTTCGTCAAGAAAGTGCTCTAGTGTTTTGGTCTTGTCTTTTGTTCTTGCAGTATCCGAATCTCCGCGTCTACCATTTTGATCTAAACCATTGTCATGCTGAAAATCAGAAATAAGGAATTCAAAATCAAATGACGTGTCTATTTTCAACTGCTAAAAGAAGGGCCAACATGACCATCATATAATGAAGCTAGTAAGAATATTCTAATTTCAATATCACCTTCAGTTTTGGACCTTTTGGTCCCAGTATATCCTAATATTTCATAAAATTACAGCCAGTTGGCATAGATTTTGCCAAAGAAACAATTGAAAGGGAGAATCATATTCTTTCTGAAAATTCACCAAGATAAAAAAAATTCATGCTTACCATCCTATGGCAGAGGTCATCAACCTTCCCTTGGAAAGACTGGTACCGGCCGACTTGTTTATTCAGCAGGGACATTAGCAAAAGAAAACCTTTAATCCCACTTTGCCCATCATCATTGCTTTCTGTATGATCTTCAGCACCTTCGTGCTTTCCTGTAAATCTTTCGAGCATAAGAAGTTGTTGCTTCAGCCTCTTGATCTTGTAAGAAACTCCAAGAGCTTGAAGATCCATCCTCCACAGAGAATTATTTGTACTTGAGGCATGCGTTGGTGATGCCAACTTTTCAGTGCCATTAACTGCCACTGAACTTTCACTTCCCTCTTGACTTGTTCCTTCATAGGCAACATCCTTATCTACTTCAAACTCTTTGTCAGGAGATTGTATCTTCAAAATTACATTTTTACACAGGCTAGAAGACGGGGTTTCCTCTTCTTTCTTAATGTCTTGCTCTTGAGATTGTTCCATCAAAGTTCTCTTCGTGTTCTGATCTTCCTCATCCGCTTTCCTACTTATGATATTGAATTTGTGCCAAAGGGTATCATTGACTACTGACGAATCATATGCAGTTGAATTTAAGTTCTTCTGGCTGTTTAGAAACCTTAACTGTGATGCAAACTGCTCTTTCAGGGAAGTTAATTCTTCTTCCCGTTCCAATAGCAAGGCTTCCAATTTCATGTTATTATGTCTGAGATGTGCCAAATCTTTGTTCAGTCCCTCGACATGGGACTCTAGCCGCTTTGATTCTAATTCCATGCTCAGCAAGCGCCATCGATAAGTTTCTAATTTCTCATCTTTGAGTCTTAATTGCTCTACAAAAGCATCCATTTCTAGGTGATGCCTTTGCTCAATTACAGCTGCGTACCTCTCTGCTTCTGAGCGAACCCAACCTTCCAACTGCTTAACATCAGCTGTTATCAATCAAAAGCAAGAACAAAAGACAAATGAAACATGATTAGGGAGAAGAGCATGACCATATATTTTCAGCAGTAATCGAATGAGGTTAACTATAAGACAATATATGCTAAATCAAAAGGGCAATTAAGAGTTCAGTCTCACCCAGGTCCTGCTTTGCCTCAAACGAGTATCCATCCGATTCATTTATAAACTCAGAATGTTCATACCCAAGAAGAGCATGAACTGGCTGTGGTATGGTCTTTACAATGTGTAAATGGGATGCACCTGTTGCACTAGAATTCGCCCCTCTTTCATTTAAAGCAATCTCAAACCTAGAATTTGCTTTTTCCAACATACTTCTCAATGAATGCCTCTCATGTCTAGACTCAGAGACTACCTTCCATCGTTCTGTTTCAAGCTCAGCTTGCTTCCTCTTTGCCTTTGATAATTTAATCTCCTTTAGAAGCATGTGCTTCTCTGTTGTATCTAACTTGGATTTTCTAAGCATTGCTGACAAAATCTTGTCTTTCTGTTCCAAATCCTTATGCATCTTTACAATCTCCGCAGACAGTTTTTGAACCATCACAAATGACTCCTCCTTTTGATCCAAGACTACATTTATCTCCCGCTTAGAAGCTTCAACTTGCCTAAGTGCTCGACCCATATCAGCATCAAGCTGCCGTTGGTTTGACACAAGCTCAAAAAATGCAGTTTTGTGCTTCAAAAGCTCAGAAGAATGCTCTTGGGCTGCACGCTGAGCATTTTCTCTCAATTCTTCTGCAACACTTTCAGCCTTTGTTAGCTTCTCTTCTGTTTCTTTCAACTTCTGCTCCAGTTCCCCCAATGCCTTGTCCTTAGATTGCACCAAAAGCTCCATATCCTTCATTTTGTCATTCATGTCAGAAATTGTTTCATCCTCCTTTTTCTCACGAACCTTAAATGCATTTATTAGAGCCCCAATATGCTGCCGCAATTTCTTCCTTTCATTTAACCAGCATTGCTCCTGTGCAGCAAAGATGCTCACAACTTTCTCATTGGCTTTTGCATCTTCATGCCTCAGTCTCTTCAACCCTCCAATTTCTACTTCAGCAGTCTCAAGCTTATGGAGAAGTTCATAATATTGCGCACTTCTTCCTTCTTTCTGAACTCTCCATACAAGCAATCCCAACAGTTGCGCACTTCCTCGAAGCATTTTCTCGCGTACTTCAGACAACCTCTCATCTTGCATATCAGGTATTGACAGGAGCCGTAGAGCAAAGAAAGCACAAGAAACACCAAAATACATAGGATACAAACTATCACTCTTCTCTTCAGAGACAAATGCATATGAATTGGAGACCACTTTTTCTTCCATTACTCAGAAGTCAGAAGTTTTCTTCCTCTCCTTTAGAATCTGATTGGGAAAACTGAAAATGTAAGCATTATCACGCAGAGCATAAACAACTCGCATAAAAATCCATTTTGAAAAGAAGAGTAGGATGAGAGGGGAGAAAGAAGAGAATCGATTATAATTCCATTAAGATCCAAACATCTCGCTCAGTGCAGAAGTACTAGAATACCAACTAGATATAAATGTGCAAATAAACCAGCATAGTGACTGGGAAACAATCACAATTCAAATGCTGCAAAGGAACCATTTTATCAATGAGTTGCATAAATTGTATCAGAACTTACAGAAAGAAGAGACTCACTTTTGCAGCTCAAAACCAGAGACCAGTCACCAGAGCTTGTTGCAGAGTAAAATTGTAGCTCGGAAGGAGCAGAGCTTCAATGGAGACCCTGAAGCATTCAACTTGTACTGTATACGTTATGTGACTACAGATTCCAAAAAGGCATGGTCATGTTACTCGTGTCTGCTACTGCAAAATCAGTTGAAAAGAATTGTACTAAAAAAGAACAGGAAAGAAACGAAAGAAAGTTTTAAGAACCCCCTGGTTTTCTGTGAAAGACTGACCTAACAGAAACCCCACATGCTTCTCCGCTCACCGACTTTTATCCTCCTTTTCCTCTTTAGCAGTGGAAATGAGTCATGACATGAGGGATGACTGCTATAGGAAGCAAAAGCACTAGATTCCTGGTTGTTTGTCACCATTACTCATAAGAGAGTGGACTCCAAGAAAACAATAAACATATCTCAATCAAACAGTCCCACAATATTATTGTATATTTCCAGAGTGGCTTACCTGTATAAAACTACACTGCATAAAATATTTCCTAAAGTATTACAAAAGTGATACAAAAAGACTACAAAAAATAAGGTGCTTTTCAGTAACCATAAAACAAAACTGAAAAGATCTTTTGCATTGTTGGTTGGAACTTGGAGTCAAAATATCAGTACATGAACAAACAAACTCATTAACTCGATCTTGGACCAAATTTTTCATATCACTATACCCTTATGCCAACTATTATTGCAAGTGAATACTTCAGAATCAGAAATCAGAGCAATTCCATTGAAAACCCAGTGATTAATTTTCCAACATTCATCAAGAAATCCAATTGAATTCAGTAACAGTAATTTACCAAATGATGTAATGACATAAATAAATAAATAGAAAAATACATGTATGTAACACTTACCAGTGAAAGGTCCAAGTGAGCTGCAACTGGGCAGTAGCATCTCTTGCAAATGATGAGAGCAGGCAAACAAGAATATCACTAACAGTTCAAAATCATCATGAAGGAACCACCAAAGCAACCAACTAGGTCATGGGTCCAGAGAGGTAGGCTTCTTCTCAAGTTCCTCCCTTGGCTGAGACCTGTAAAGCAGGAAACTTGTTCATGAAAAAATACGGCAAATCCGTTGTACTTAAAAAAGCAGCATCATATTTAGTCTTATTTTAACATTAGAGAAAGCCAATAATCACCTTAATTTTAATTTTAATTTCCTTGATCTGCCCTTGGAATCTGGGGTTGGTGATGCTAAGCAATCTCTCTCTGACTTGCATAACATTTCTGAAAACAAGGAAAAAAAAAGAAATAAAGAAAACAGAAAGGACGAATAAACTAGTGTCACAGTCAAGTCTGGGCATTTGGGATCACAGCCCATGTTCCCACCATGGCTTTGTAATAAATTATTGTGCTTTTCTTGGGTCCCATCCCATCTGGATGATGTTTGCTCCTACTAGCCTCCCTCTTCTTCCTAAGCTAGCCCAGCAGGAAAGTGAATGCTGCCATTCAAGTTCAAAACTTTGCTTAAACTTTCATTTCAAAGAACGAATTTTTTGCCATTTTCTGTTCAATATGTGTGAAATCTACATGTGTGATCACAAAATCATTATGTCTTTGGTTTTCCTTTTTTTTTGTTTCTCTGCCTGCTGCTGGGCTTTGCATCAATCAGCTCACTGTGTTGGCATATGAAATAATTGAGTAGCTCATGAGTCACTCACACCGAACTCTCCTTGTCCCAAAGAACTTGACTTGATTGAGACTTTTCACCAAAACTATTAACTCAATTCAAATTATCAAATAATAATAAGATCAAAAGAGGAAGAGGAAAATAAAAAGAAACTGGAATTTACAGTTCCATTTTCATTTTTGGGCAGGAGGACATTAGATTACGGATAGCCCAATGGCATTTACAGAGAAGCCCAAAAGAAAAGCGCGCACGCAAACAGCACCAAAACTTACTCGAACAAACGACAACGCCAACAAATATATCGTCGTTCATAGAAGAACCAACTTAAAAATCGTTTAGCCGCGCGGCTATACTCGGTTTAGTTAATAGCATCGCCGGGCGGCTATACTCTGGTTGTTAATGATTCCAAAAATCGTATAGCCGAGCGGCTACACTCGGTTTTGTGAATCATTCTGAAAATCTTATAGCCGCGCGGCTATACCCCGGTTTGTGAATCATTCTTGAAAATCGTATCGCCGCCCGGCTATACTCGGTTTTGTGAATCATTCTTAAAATCCAATCATTTCATCGACGTGGCGAACCAGGCCTAGAGATTCACATAGACAACCCGTGCACCACTCCACACTGGATAGAGCTTGACTCTAACTTACGCCTTAGGCGCGGTATCTCCCCCTATAAATATATCTTCATCTCATATCCGGAAAGTTCTGTATTTCTATCGTCTTCTTGAGAATCCGATTCCCAAATCTGAAAGCCCTAATTTTTCAAATTTGCAATTCAACCGCCGAACATTTTAGGAATCACCAGCTTAACTCATAGAGAAAGCTCCTTTTTGGGATTATATGGGTGAATTTAACATGGAGGATATGCCTCTACCCGCTCTCTTCGAGCAAGCTCAGAAGATCCATCTAACAGCGACAGATTCTGGCGATGTTGATCAGGTACACTACTTCACACCATAAGTTTGTGGGTACATCATAATGTTTTATTGTGTAATTGATTTGGATGATTCGATTGCGTTTGTGGTGGTTTGGATATTAGGAAGTGGTGAGGAAGGGATGCAAGGCTTTGGAGAAGTGCGATGAAATGATAAGCAAGCTGGGCTTGTTCTCAACCAACGAGACCAAGGAGGATATCAGCACCACCAATCTCAAATATCTTCTGGTAATTCTCCTGGGTTTTTTTTTATTATTTTATTTTATTTTTATATTATGGAACTATGAATGTTTTCTACCAATCTGCATTTAGCAGTCATTTCAGATAATAGCTCGGAAAGCTTTTCTCTTTGGTTTAAATATTATGAGCTTCTAATGGTATTTTGGTTACAGGTGCCATATTATCTTGGTGAGTTAACTGAAAAAGTTGCACAGGATGACAGGATGCAGATTCTTAAGGCATCCCAGGCTAAGTTAAAGGTGAAGCATATTCAATAGTTGCTTGTCAGTAACGCAATAAGATCATTGAACATATCATGTTCATCAACGTATTTGTACGAGTATATGTGTTCGGTTGAATAGTTCAAAGTTTGTGTTTCTATTAAAGCTAAATTAGGAGGGTGACATCTTGTAGGAATTTATATCGTTTTGTGAGGCAATGGAACTTGTACCTGAAGAGGAGTTACAAACATCTGCGCCAGATGGCCCAAATTCACTTGTTGATAGAAGAGCTCTGAAGGTACTTCAATTTTCTTATCATATTCACTCAAATTTCTTGGGGACTCATGGCTTGTATAATTGCATTATTTGTGCTGCTGACTTGTTTACATTTTGGAGTGGCTAACATGTGATGTGAAATTAGAAGCTTGGTGTTAGTATGCTACTTATTCTACTTGTTTCTGTATCCAGATTGCTCGATTCAAACGCCAAAGAGCTGCAGAATCAAAATTGTTGGAAATTAAGGAGCGGAAAGAGCGAAGAGGGCGTTCAACTAAAGCAGCTGCCTTGTCAACTTCTATTGAGGCAGGAGAGGAAGATGTGCTGGATGATGATGGAGAGGAGGAGCGAGAGGTTAGTATAGTTCTTGTTATGTTTTTGTAGGGCAGTACTTTAGCACTCATTGGACCCATTTTGAGTGCCAATATGCATAAATTACTGTTAGTGAATGTGGAGTCCCAATGGCATTCGCCTCCTTGTTACTGAATTGTTGTTTGGTTTTACATTACAGTGTTTTGACAAGTTTAAATGTCTAACCACATCCCTTTTCTTGCAGGCTTGGTTTACTACTATCTCTTTGGCAGTTTGTAAGGTTAGTTTATAGCTTTAAAGTAATGTTCCACATGAAATCATCTTTATACGTGTCAATTCATACTTATGTCTTCCTTCCATGCAATCATGTTCAGGCTTTTGATCTGCTGGAGATGCTAAAGAAAGAGGAAGAGATGCTTCGAGCTTTTAAGGAAAGGCAGTCAAAGGTATTTGATATCAACATCTGTGTGCTATTGATGACTTGTGCTGTATACTAGCATTGTGGGTGTTTGAGTAACATTACTCTGGCATGAATTTGCAATTTTGGGTGATAATTGGAAGTGAAAAGAGGGACAAAATCACTAGAGCATTGCACCAAATGTTTTGAGAAGAAAGCCATCTGTTCAGTATATTTCTGTAGTTAATAGATGGTTAGTGGGTAAAGTTCTAGTGTTTAAGTGAAAGAACGGGTTTTCTGAAAGGTTTGTCAAAAGAAAAGTGAAAGAATGGAGTTCTGAAAGGTTTTCTGTTTGTCATGTATTTCAGGATGGGAACAAGGAATTTTATCAAGATGTTCTTGATGATCGGGCCAAGAGGGCAGAAGCTTGGCATCGTGATGCTGCTGCTCGAGTGCAGTATACCAGACCAGCAGAGCCTATCACATGTGCAACTTTTGCTCAAGATGTTCTAGAAGGGAGAGCAAGTGTATCACAGATGCATGAACATAAACACCAGCCACTAATATTTGGACCAGCGAGTCTTGTAGGTGGAAATCCAACAAGTGAGAGGGAAAGGATGGCAGCTCAGGTTTTCCAGCCCAGTCATAGGTACATTTCCAGGGTCTGATTAATAACTATTAAGTGCGTTAAAGGAAAATGGAGAAATACTTTATGCTTGTATTACTTGATATGCTAAGTCTAATTTATCACGAGCATATGATGGAAATATCTGGATTTTGTGTTTGTGATTTCTTCTTTTCTCATTTTAAACATTCCTTTGAGATGCCAAATTTAATTACTGTGCAAGGTTGCCCACCATGAGCATAGAGGAAGCTGGGCTGAAGGAGATGGAGATAATGAACACATGGCAAGAGAGGAATGTTAAACTTATGGAAGAAGCCAATTCTGCATGGTACAAGGAGAGTAGGAAACCAGGACCGCCTGAGGAGGATGATGAAGATGATGATGCTGCTCAAGATAAGGCGAGGGCATGGGATGACTGGAAAGATGATAATCCTCGGGGTGCTGGCAATAAGAAGCTCACCCCTTGTGGATAAAATGACAGGTGGAGCAATCCTGGTTTACAGAAGCATTGTTTTCTAGAATTTTGATTTACTGGAAAGTTAGAAATTTTTGATGTATTTTGTATGTTCTTTTGTTGTCTAGATTTAACTTATGTATAGTACCCAGGATATTTATTTGAATAAAATGTTCTCATGAGTCACGCAGAGAAATTCTGATCCAGTTGTCTTTGCATTGCTGTCGATTTTCTGCTCATATGGTAACTTCTAAAATAAGCTAATTCATTGCCCGTATTATGCTTTACAAAGTATACAGCTTTAAGATTTCTTTCCCGATGCAATTTGGTGATAACCAGCAGGTGGAAATGTAACAACTATTCAATCCATCGTTAGCTTCAACCTCTTTTATCAGAACTGGCGAGATAAAGAATCAAATAAAAGTCGATTTTTTCTTCTCTTCAAATGTGCATGGTTATCTCCCCACCCCTCATCTCTTCAAATGGCTCTGATTGATACTGATAGACTAAAATGGTTTATAGGCTGAACCTCAAAATCGTCGAACTTGGCTTGGCATCCCTCGTCAACAAGATGCAGGCACCCAACAATAACTACCTTAAAATGAGAGATCTTCGCATAGAGTGATTCATAACTTGCCTCTATCACACGATCTGTTGCTGCAAATGATATTCTTAGAGAAGTGGTGACAACTTTTAAATGACTGGAACTTGCTGAGGTCCTTCCCATTTAGCTTGCCACATGTTCAAGCTCAGAATTATTGTGCAAGAACCTAGTTCATTGACAAAGTAATTCCTTCCTTAGGTTTCTAACAGGGGGTTAGAATGATGATATGCTCTAGAGATGCTTACGGCGAAATTTCATATCCTATAGAAACTTTTGCTGGACACCAGTATGCAATGTATTCCCTCCCTGTTTAACCTATGCAACAAACAAGATTGAATAAAACCTAGGCAAGGAAATATACTCCCTAATACTTATTGTGCATCTCTTTCACTGCAGTCAAAGAATGGCAGAACACTATCAACTCAAGGGTTAATAGATAGAGACAGTAAACGATATTATCCCACGGTTTAATTTAAAGATCCAGCGTAACTTATCTAACATATGTGTATGATGAACCTCAAGTTTTTCAGAACATCATTACACTTAACATCATATATTTGTGTAATGTTAGAGCAAATGGCAGATGAAAAAGAGGTATTATCCATGGACGGGAAAGTGTATCACTGTTCCCCATTAATACTGTGACTATTGAAGAACTGCCTATCTAGACAGTGATATTCATGATTTGATATCAAATGGGAACCTCTGCAAAAGAGAAAATAAAGTAACCCCTACAAAAGTAAATTCTAGAAGGCATCGCATAAAAAATACACAATGCAGAGAAAATTGAAATAAAAATCAGAAACAATCAACAACTTCCATTAATGCAAACAAACAGTTTCTATTTGTAAACCCAAATATCAAAACATTTGAGCAATTACAACATCAACTGAAAACAATGGAGGGAAAGTAAAAACAATGCCCACACAGTAATTACCTATAAGTATACACAATTTGATGCATTACATGAAAAGGCTTATCGCTAACTGTATAACACAAGTTATACCGCTTAAGATACATACAAGAAGTTCACCGATAGGGCCAAGAAAGTTACCAGTACAACAATAAACAGAGCCTGCGAACCCATCCCGATCGATTTCGCTAACTTATCCCTCCAAGAGCTTGTTTGTAATGTTACAGAATTCTCATTCATTTTCAAAGTATAGCAAAAACACAATACACCACTGAAACATCTCCCAAGAAGACGCCACAACCTTCCAAATCAGCCAATTCAACTGTCAATGCACTTGAATCCCCTGCAAACCCACAACCAAATCCCAAACAATATGGCACAGACAAACAAGTCGAGCATCAACACCACCCAAACATGTTTCCTCCAAACTTGCTTGGCCTTTTGGCGATCACCTGAAAGCAAAGGACCATTCTTTTGTGTTTGCAATGAAAAATCTCTAAACCCACCATTAACGTCATCACAAACATCCACCTTCTTCTCCATTGTGGTCACATCTTTGCCAACATCCCCATTAAGCTCCCCAGACAATCTCTTCTTCTTCTTCAACCCTTCGCTGGTCTTCTTCCCAAGCAGCGGTGTCAAGACCAATTTCTTCCCTTTGCTCGAACTCAAGCTGAGATTTCGACTGGCTGGAGGAGAATTGGGCAACTCCAAGTCCGAGGCCATTATTTTTCGGATAATCGAATCAAACTGAGCTTGGAAGCAATGGGAGGCATAATTATCACGAACCAATATCGACCCACTTCCATTAGCCTCCTCAAAATCGCATTTTAAGCGGTTTAAGAAGGAAAGAGCCTCGGACTGATCAAGATCATCATCGAATATAGCAAAATAGACAAAAGGGTCATGGATTAAGAAGGTGTAGGTTCTTTTTCTCACCGTGTGAGTGTACATGGAATGGTGAGGTGGGGTTATCTCGATACATTGCTGAGCCAAGGCTCCGAGACCGGGTTCTTTGGAGAACTCGCCGATAATTGTGGTTTTATGGGCAATGCAGGCATGGTAAATGAGATTTGGATTCGAAATCATCGAATTGTTCTTCAACAAAATCAAAAAGTTTGAGGCTTCAATGGCAAATTAATGGCCTGGATTTGAAGGAGGACATGGGATTTTGATTTGGAATGGAGGCCGAGAGAATTCGCATAGTAACTCGGAGCTTGTAATTGGGATTTGCTGTCAGCAAAAATCGACTGGTTTCGTGGGTGTTCGATTCAGAAAGAACAAATCATTTCCCTGAAGATCTTCCGCACTATCTCTATATAAATCTCTCTGTAAATATCTAGGGTTTGGACTCCTCCGAAGGAAAGGAGGAATCGATAGTTGGATCCATGGGAAGCAACCCTCGAAAAGAAAGGGAATAACGGCTGTTTTTTGTCCAATTTGCCCTTTTGCGAAAGCTTTATTGCCGAAATACCTAATTGCAGCACGCCAGCAAGGTCAAAATCGATATTTTCAATTTTATTTTCAACGTGTAAGCTTCAACCTCGGTGCTCGCTGGCTTGTTGGTGCTGCACATGTTAATCTTTTATTTATTTTCTTCTTGCGTGGGTCACGCACATTTCCAATGGCGGTGCAAAAGTGCATTGGTTAAAAAAAATTTAAACAATTCGTTAATCAAAGATTGTTGATTAATCACAATTCATTAGTAAATTTGTGTTGGTAATTAAGTTTGAATTTCTACCGACCTTTAAGAGTCTATGCAATTATTCTATACGAATGAAGTCAAAGATTGTTGATAAATGTGAGAAACTTGTAGCTCAAATAGTTAAGAGCAGTTATTTTTAAAGTCTTGTATTTAAATCATCCATAATATTACTTGTATAATAAAAAAATGATAGTTGATAAGTTTACATCGTATGATGAAAAAGATTTTGAAAACGCATTGATTTGAAGAATTAGAGATTTGTTAAAGAAAGACATTGTTGAATTGAAACTTGGAAGAACATGCCTGTTTTCAAACTAAAAATTCTCTCAAGAATAATTAATCTTTACTTAGTTTGATTACATTCTTTTTTGCTTTATTTTATAGTTTTTTCTTTCACATTTTGATTAATCCAATTTTAAGTCGTGAAGATCATCTGGAACAGTTAGGATAGTAAATCTGAAAACATTGAAATGATAGACATCAAAAGATTGAATGGTCAAGATCAAAACAAAGTGTCTCTATCTGAAAGCGTAGACTTTTTCCTTTTTTCCCTTTTTATGAGAAAAAATTTCAAAAGATTGGCTACTCCCACTACTTGTGCCAATTACACCCAGCCTCAACTTTTACCAACACGACGTTGACAACAACCTTGAAGCAATGATTTCCCTTAATACATTTTTTTATTTTCTGCTACTGCATAATACCTTTATTCAGAAAGAAACAAACGTTTCCATTTTCTTTTACTAAATAAAGTAGAACAAAAAAACGTCTCTATTATAAGGTTGGCCCAAAAAAAAGGATTGAATTCCTCTTTTTACATACTAAATGAATCAGAATGATGTAAAATAATTACTCTCCTGTACACCTTCCGTGTAGACCAAAGAAAACAACCAAGACAAAAGCTTCTGTGTGTAAGTGTGTAGGATCTCAGCTGATGGATAAGAAACAGGATACGGATGCCTATCCTTAGGACTCCAAGTCAATGAACCAGGAAAATTTTGGAGGATATTCTTCATATCTTGCTTCTTTTCTTTTAGTCTTTTGCTTCCTCAGCCAACGTACGGTGGGTCGATAAATGCCCATTCGAAGACCTGCTCGTACTTAACCGCAGCACTTTCCCATGTGAAGTCTCTCTCCATACATCTTTTCATCAATCCCTCCCAAGAAGGCTTATACTCTGTGAAAGTCCTACATGCAAGTCTTAGCGCCTGTCGATTATTAACCGTTCAAGTTAGGATGGGGACAAATAATAATAGTAAGTTTATTGTGCTACCAGTAAATTCTGCAAGATTATATAGTGCATCAGACGGACTTAACTTCTTCTATATGACACAGAAAGTATGTGTGTTTCAGTTTTAAAAAAGGACTTACCGCCAACATGCTCTCTTTTGTCAGTGGAGAGAAAGTCCACCTGCCAATATATTCCACAAGGATGCAATAAGGTTGATTCTATGCATTTTTATGATGAGAGGCTGTCAAGAAAATGCACCAAGCCATAGACTAAGTAAACATACCCTGTCCCGTCGCCTTGGCCACCTTGAGCATATGGATTAAAATTCAATACTGTATCCTGGAAAACAAATAACAGAAAGCGTCTAAGGCAAAGAAGCCACACGATGAAAGAACCACAATTGTCTGTTCCTTGGGGCTTTGCCCCCCTACTTAATCCAAAAAAAAAAAGAACCACAATTAATCTTCCTAGTGTTTAAACTCACTCTAAGTCCTCCTGTGCTATGAACCACTGGTACAGTTCCATATCTCATTGCGTACAACTGATTTAGTCCACAGGGCTCGAATCTTGAGGGCATCAAGAGTATGTCACAGCTGGTAATTCCAGGATCAGGGTCAGTGCATGGACGTACATAGTAACCTCTAAACAATGAAACACAGATCTTAAATTACCCTGCAGTTATTCTATGAGAAACTGGGACATTAAATCCAACCCAACCGCGGAATTTATCTTTATATGTTGCTTCTGCTGCTCTCATCCAATCTTCACACAGTGGGTCCCCAGACCCCAGCATAACCTGAAACATATTACATACCTTTAGTTGAAACGTGAAACAACAGAGTCACAATGAAATGTAGTATCCACAACTAAAGTTTTCAGTAGAAACTAAAAACCTTCTTTGTTGAATGACGGGAACAAACTACATAAAATCATACAATCAAAATGCATGAAAAGGACAAAAACTCACAAATTGCACATCATCTTCCATAAGCTGTGGCATTCCCGACTGAATCAGGTCAATGCCTTTCTGGTAGTCCAGTCGCCCAATGAATCCAATCTATAAAGTTCAAAACTCAAATTGATATTAGGAGCAGAGTATACTTTGCTGCCAAACCTGAGCATAAATAGAGATTAACGGCTTATGTCTTACCAATGGGCAATCAGGCCTAATGGGAAGACCTAATTCCTTCTGCAAAGCAAGCTTGCATTGAACCTGCAGTTGGCAGACAACAGGGGTAAGCGAACTATAGTATAATAACACACCATCTTAAAATCATAGACTTAGCCACCTTTCCGGAAAGATCATCAGCAGAATAGTGGGAAGCAATATGCACATCAGAAGATGGGTCCCATTCAACCACATCAACGCCATTTGTGATTCCTATTCATTAAAGCAAAATTAGAAAAATAAAATGCCATCAGCAGATGTTGTTATTCTCTTGATTAAGGGTTATTCTCCTCAATCATGGCACATTGAAAGCTAGACAATGAGATATGAAGTTCAAGCGACGTACCAGTGAGAATACTCTTTCTACTGCTTAGTAGCTCATTTAGACCATATCCGCCTTCAACGGTTGTTATTTCCCAGGAATATCCCTACAATTAGAAGGTATAAATTGAACATTACAAGAAGAATAGCATGAAGGCACGTCTGGCAGGAAAGTTCTGGCAACGCTATCGTCTCAACAATACAAGTGGCCTAAACATTGTATAATCATTATTACAGGAACAAGATTATCTCACACTGGCATTTATCAATTAAAGCTTTCCAATTCTAAATACGTCACGAGGATGAAAAATCCAAATAAAGGTCATATTACTGATCACCAGAAAAATGCTTGATATCTCATCAAATGAGACGCCATAAAAATTATATATGAAATACAACTGACCTCGCTGACTGTCAGAATCCGATCAGATGTCACAATTGCACCCTTTAGGATGTTCACTGCTTCACCTGTGTCAAGAGCATGGGTCCTTGCCCATGTTGGAAACACCCATTCCAGTGCTCCATACCACTCTGGAGGTATCCCCAAATTCTTGAATGTTACTGCAGGTTCCACTCCCTTATTACAAGACAAAAATTTATAAGATTACTTTAAAAATAACTACCTTTTTATATTGGATAGGACATATGACTGAAGATTGGTATCAGGAAAAGAAAGAAAAAACATCAACCTGATGTGCAAGGTTATGAATTACAACAACACTTCGGGCATCCTTATAAACTCCATATGGACGATACTTGGCAGCCAAAAGTCTGAATCAAAGGACATATAATGATCAGAACTCCACAATCACTAACTAACTAACTTTACTCGAAAAAAGGAAAATAAAGAAAGAAGGAAACATATAGCAAATGAATTAAGAAAGAAAACCATATAGCTAACCAATTAATTAGTTGAAACTACTTACAATGGCACAAGGCCTGCATGCCAGTCATTGACCATAAATAGGCATTTTTCCCCATAGGTGTATCCTCCCAATGGAAGCACCAATGGTGCTTCACATGCTGCATGGCAAAGTAAAGTGAACCGAAACTGTAAAACCAAATGAGAATAAAACTTATCATTATTTGTGAACAAAACAGGATACAACTTAAATGATCTATTCTTGTTCAATTCAAAACTATACCTGATTATCACCAAATGCACCAAAACTATCTCCATATGGATTTCCAGGTCTATGGAATGATGGGTGGTCCACAAATACCTAAAGAAGCAAGGGAAAGAGATCGTCATTGTCAAGAGAAACCTCCCAGTCTGGAGATATTACTAAAGAACAGATTCGGGGTCTAAAAAATTATAAATCTCCTGCCAAACTGTTTTAAGTAGGATATACTAGAACACAAGAAATAAAATATCCTCAATATCTTACCCAATCAACACCTTCCCTGTATTCATGGAAGAAAGCAACTTCTTGGTCTCCTCCAAAACAATAGATCTTGATGTGGGTATCCAAATCAAGAGCACCAGAAAATTTCTTGTCTGCAGCAGCACCATTTTGATATCTAGGAGAGACAACCATAACACGGTGTCCACGTGCAGCTAGAACAATAGGCAAAGAACCACAAACATCTCCTAAGCCTCCTGTCTTTGAATAAGGTGCAGCTTCAGCAGTAACAAACACAATGTTGCGTGTTACTTTTGCTTTGGATTTTTCTTTGCCATCTATGTCCTCTGTTTCGTCCACTCTATCAGACGTTGCATCTTCAGGAGGAGAGTCAAGGACTTTGAGTTCACCTGCAGAAAAAAAATATCAGATTGGTCCACAAAAATTCATATTCAATTTTTTTTCTTGCAAACTGATGTGCTGGGGTGTTTATGAATTCGTTTTGTTTAAATAGCCGGAAAAAAGAAAAGGAAGATGTCAACATGCAGGATTTGGAACTATTCATCAAAATTTGCAGGGTCACTGAATTCCAACAATGAAATGCAGCATACTGTTACGAACAGTACAATGTAGAATGGGGCCAAGAGTGGTAAAATACAATCCAAGGTGGAGACCACATGGAATGCAAGGACCTGTGTCTTCACACGCAAATTGATGTGGACATCGAAAACCAAGGGCGCCTCACAGACAAGTCAAGATTCCATGAAAATCCACCACTAATTTTATGAAAGACCCCAGTCTACTAAAAATACAAACTTCATTGACACATCATACATCTCTTATCAAATAAAAAACAATGAATTTTGGGAACTGAGGGCTAAACAACACTTAGAATTTTAAGAGCATTCACTCCATATGTACCAACCAGTGCATCAAATATCTATCATCATGCCAAGGTTAGGTTGTGACTCCATCAGTACGCCATACAATGTGATCACATTAAATCTCGCTGCTAACTACACATTCAAGTTTTTGGTCAAATTTTCCATCAGAAAAAAGCGGGGGAGGGGGGAATTGTCTTGGTACACTCCCTCCGCCTTACTTTCTCATCTATAAGTGGCATGCACAGATCAGATTTGACAGTTAGCTTCTGCTTCAACAAAAGGGCTTTAAAATTCATTGAAGAATCCGTGAGAAACCAATCTTAAAAACAGGGAAAAGCCGAAGAATTTATAGATGGAAAAACAAAGAAAACGAAGGAGAAAGGCATTTAATTTAACAGTAGAACAAAAAAATTCAAACAAGTCTCTGCCCAGATAACAGAGCCAGAGCCAAAATTGAAAAACAAGCCTGAAAAGACAAACAAACAAACAAACATACCATTGGAAGGAATCAAGTTAAACCCAATAACAGAGCCAGAGCTATCCGTCTCGGCGCCCAAAAGAACACCTTTTTCCTCCCTCTGGTCTTCAAGTGCTGAAGCCCCGTCTTGGGCACCGCCACTTCCACCTGAAACTTGTGCTCTAAGCCTCAAAGCCGGTCTTGTACTTCTTTTCCACAGAGGAACAAAACCCACTTGCCCAATCACCTCATGATTCACAAATTTAGTAGTTGGAATCAGATTTACGGATGCTTTGCATGGGATTAAACTAGTAAATTTCAGAGACTCCATTAGAGTTTGTTTGACACAGAAGGGCTAGAGAGAGAGAGAATAGACCCGAGTCCAATATAGGACGGAAGGTATCGTGAATTACGTTTGAAAGAACGAAGAAAAGCCAGCAAAATTAGATGTCACACACAAACAAGGAACTACGTACACGTGTGGGGATCAGATATGTGAGATCCAGAAAAAGCGCCAAACTCAGAAAATGGATCCTCAGTGTTACACCACATCCCTGTAAAAAATGTTCACCCAATCCAATGATCCCACGTTTCATATAAAAAGAACACATTTTGTCGGTTTATGCCGTGTAAAATATCACGCCAGGCAGGATGGTTTTGGCGTCTGATAGTGACACAGGCGATTATGACTCAGGTGATTGACGTGTGGCATATTCAGGACGGTACACGTGGAAAGTGATAAATAGATTGAGAAGTGAAGTGAGATGCACATGATACCAAAGCTGCTTTGGCAAAGCAGATCAACTGCAACAAACTGCACTCGAACAATTGTGTCTTTCCCGAGAGTCACATGAAACGAAACTATGTTCACTTCTTTCTCCTCCTTTTTTGTTGTTAATTAAGTTGCAAAAAACCCCACCTAGTAACAGTGAAATTAATAGATAATTATAGTTGTACTTGAATGATAATAATACGGACATTTTACCTAAATATGATCATATATTTGATCATACATAACATAACGGCACCATTTCTATAATATTTCACAGATAATTATATACTTATTACAAGCCTCGTCGATCCTTTATCATACCACAATTAAATAAGTAATAACATACAAAGTCTGTTTTGTTTTTTGTTAATGAAAAAAATCCAGCCATGGAAATTCATATCACACCTTATTCAAAGCACATTAGTCGTAATCATGTCTCCAACCATGAACAGCAAGAGGTAGGCCCCAATCCTCACCAAGGGGTGAATCTGGGCCGAAGGCCACACCTCCTCTAGCCTGCCCACGTGGTCCATTGTGTTTTGGGCTTGGACTTCTTGCGATTAGGAAGGTTGCTGTCCCTCCACCTGAGCTTGACGAATCACAGCCCGATCCAATTACAGACCCTCTCTTTGTTGATGGGTTCCATTGAGGAGTGGGCGGGCTGCGCTGCTTGCCTAAGCCTAGGCCTCGTGCCTTGGCCTTAGCAGATTGGGTCGGGGCCATGTAACTAGGGACGTTGTTCGAGCTTTGTCGGCGGTGCTGCCGGGTTGAATAGGAGTTTGAGTCGATCATGTCCTGATTGAGTAGGCCCATATTGATGTGAGGCGAGCTCGAAGCTGCGACGGTGTCCATTTCAACTGTCTTCTCAGACATGTTCTCGGTGGTTGTTGTGGTGGTGATGTTTGTCCCATAAGAGGTATCTCGTGGTCCTGAGTGGCGGACCTGGTGGGGTTGCGATGACATCCAACGCTCGAGCCAATTCCAACCCCATTGGGCCTTATCACTCTGATTGGGCTGGAGCCCAAATTCAGTACCATCATGAGTGGGTTGTAGAAGTTGTTGCTGCTTCTGATAAACAACAAAAGGGAAACCCTATAATTAAATGGATCATACACAAAGACGAGCAAAAGAGCTCGCTGAGGTAGACACGGACCTGGTAGCTATAAGCATAAGCGAGAGCTCTCTCTCTTTTGACCTCAGCATCATGTTTCTTTGAGGCATTTTCCTTGAAGGTTTGATGCCTAGTGGTGCCATTCCTACTTTGCATTTCATATTTCTTCATGGGACTCATGAGCTTTTGCTCTTCAGCTTCCTCCATAAATGCTCTTCTTTCGTGTTCATCATCGTCATCCTCGTCATAATATTGATCCTGATCTGCCTTGTTGTGAAGCTTGCCTTTGGTTAATTGGAGCCGTCGAGCTCGAACTCTGGCTTGTACACGCACTAATGCCTGCATGCACCGCATTGTCATTTGTGCTTGCTTTCGCACATTATGGCCTCTCACCAATGCTTGTAGCCTCACCAATCCCTTCAAAGCACGTCGCGCACGTCTAGCCTGCATAATTCAAAATTAATTAACACAATAATTCTTATAACTTATAAGCAAGTTAATTAATGAGTCGGGCTTAAATTAAATTAAGGGGAAATGGTAATTACTAGGTAGCCTCTGTAATGTGACTGTATGAGAGTTGCAGCTCTTTCTTCCTTAGAGTGGCGTCCATAGCCGGCCAATCGAACAACTTTAGCGGCGGCTTGTGCAGCGACAACAGCAGCTTCAGCAGCGGCAGCGGTTGCCACGGCAACAGCAATGGCATGGTTTCTATCTTTATCAGAATTGAGGGGAGTTGATGATACAGTGGTGCACTCGTCGTTGGTGATGTCCGGTGAACTCTCTGCAGGAAAATGTTCAAACGACACAACCTCTGCCGCATCATGTTGCTGCCATTTCTCCCCAATTAATTCCTTCTGAAATTAAATCATGTCACATAATAACAATACTAATAGAAATTAGAATTAACACTAAATTAAGACATGACAGTGTCCATCTCCTTTCATCTAAGTTCAAATCCTTTTTTCCGTATAGTAGATTAATTTAGAGTAATTTAAACTATTATTTATATATATATATATGTAAATAATATGGTCCCTTACGTGATGGCATAGGTGGCATGAAAATAATAAGTCATGTCTCCTTCATGTGCCTTAGTGTGCATAGCTAGCTAGAAAGATTAGCTTAGCTTGGTTTGGTATATCAATATGTGTATGGTGATGTTGATAGGGGACCATAGGATGGGATGGGATGAGCATCTTTCTTTTCTGCGTTCATGGTCCTAAAAATGCCAGTACCATAAGGGTAGCTCTGGCTCATTTTTCATGTGATTCCACTTGTGCTTTTCATCACCTTCCAACAAACACAGGTCACGATCTTGATTGATAATTATATATGTTGTATCTAAATAATTAAACTCAATTATTACCATACAAATTCTAAATCATTTTGGATGTTAACTTTTTCTTCAACAATTTGTTTTGTAGTTAAGTTAAAAGAGTAACTAATGAATGAGTATACGTGATAAGTAGTGCAGACTTGAAACAAAGTTGATTACTTCATTTGTGAACTAAGAAAAAAGAGTGAGATTAAGAAATAATTAACCTTTTTGTCCGGTGAGTCCTTAGAAGAATTTTTGAAAACTTTCTTAACTGACGAAAACCAGCTGCTTCCTTTCTTCCCCATCTCCGGCGAGAAGATCAACTCGATCTCATTGCCCTCATCGTATTCACAAAACCCACCACAATGTCAGGACGTAGAAACTGTATTCCTGCCGTCCAAGACAAAAAAAGAACCATAATTTGAATTGAAACAGCAATTCAGAACCATACAAATATTTATATAGAAAAAATAAGACATATCAAATCTGATGATGAGAAGAATCTAAGCTGATGAGCTTGGTTCTGTTGGCCTGAACCTAATTGCTCTCATCTTACAAGCATATATAATTCAGACAGACATATATCTTTCTTAGAAATCAAACGAAGAAAATAAGGTGAAACCTGTGTAGAGGGAGACAACAAACAAACCTCAGCAGCAAGAGACACAGGCAGAGAGAAATGGAAGGGGGTGTGTGTGAGTGTGAGGGTAATAACTGCAAGCCCGCGCAATCGCCGTTACTATTTAACGATTTCACGTGTGATTCGATCTAGTATACATACTTACATTACAGACCATAATAATATAATGTTAATGTTTGCAGTTGCCAAGTTGGTCCAATTGGGCTCCTGCCACGTCATCCAGGGCACAGCCTTGGCTTGTCAAATTGTGCAGGTAGCTAGCTAGCTACTCAACAACACTCTTCTTCTGCTGTACAAATTACTTACCTTGTATAAGAAACAAAATAATTAGATTAGAAACCTTTTCCTTTTAATCAAGTCACGGATTTAATGCTTTTTTTTAACTTTTCTATTTTCCCATCTTAATATATAATTAATTGTTAGTTTGGCATAGGAAATATTCCAAATTAGAGTTAAATCAATCAAATCATTAACAGTAATAGAGTAATTGCAAATTAATAATTCCCTTCCCCACCAAACATAGAAAGAGATTGAGACTCGAGATCCATGGTAACTTTTTGCTAATGACATTTGTTTAATTTTAGGGAACGTGTTGCTTTGCTTGCTTAATTAATTAAACCTTTTCTTTTTCTTCTTCTTAAAATTACAAAGAAAAAAGAAATATCATTATTATATACGAAAGACTTTTAATTTTCTTGTTTTGTTTGAAGGGAAAAATTCAATATTTTGTCACGCGACTTAGAACTTAGGTCACATCACATCCATGACCCCAAGTTGCAGGGCATACATAGTGCATATACGTTGGGCTGTCTTTTGTATCTTCCAAGTTCCAAGTTCCATTGGCTGGCCCCACCACCTCCACCACAGTCCGCTGAATTAATAAAATCAGCCTCACCATCGCTGTTGGGGTTCACCAAATTCTTATTACCACACAACTAATTCCTCAAACTCACCAAAAACACAGCCTTCCCACTTTGCCAACACATAATTAATTTGGTGAAGAGTTAGACTCCATGTCCCCTGTCGGTTGCCAATTCGCAATGGCTTCTTTTTTGCTTTTCAAAGCGCAATGGCTTCTTTTTGGCTTTTCAAAGAGTAATTATGGTTTTCCCAAACGAATTTCTATTTACATTGTGTTAATTAGTGCAATGCACACAAACAATATTGTACGTATTGGTCTTTTTTGTGCATTAAATTTTTAGTTTCCATTGGGTGTGACTGACTTGTGACTTGTGAGAACATGAGGGAAAGGGAGAGGGGATATTTGTGAGGCTAGTGCATATATTATATATGCAGATTTGTCTGCTTTGAAAGAAACCTGTACTGCGGGCAATATGGTTCCACCACATAAATAAATAACTTTCTTCCTTGCTGAGCTGTGAAGTTATTTTGCACAGAGCCAACCAAACCAACCCATGAGTACTTGAAAATGGAGAATAAAAGAGTTTTACTAACTGGTAGATGACCCTATTATTGCTTGCATTTAAAGGGACTCTTTTCTGCTTTTGATGGATTAAATTTTGGTTGGTGAAATGCAGCTTTCATATAATATTTAAGTTCGAACGTTATTACCACGCCGATATTATGCATTTTCTACTGTCACTTCCTGCTTTCCTCTATGTTTACATTGACAGACACATGGTAAAATAACATACGCATGTATATATATACTTTACCTTGTATCAAACAATTATGGGTACGCTGGGGGATGGAATGAGATGATGGCTTATGCTTCAACTACCTAATTAAACTAAGAGATCTCAACTACTAGCTACTATTGGTTGTTATCATGCGGTATTTGCATTCCTTTAGATCTAATTTAGATTTGGTACAACAAATCTAATCTAATGTCCTCATGTTTATTTGTTACCCAACTTCAAAAATTACGACACAGAAAAAAAGAAGAAGAAAAATTTGTGTACAAAACTTGGAGAAGAATTCTGCATGCACAGTGGTCCCCCAGAAAAAAGCCTAATATATGTGAAGCCATATACTGTGATGTGATGTTGTAGTACAATAAATATGATGAAAGTTGCTTGTCACCAACCAAAATTTAATCCATCATCAAGACTTTAAGCGGTAGCCTTCTGAAATAGAGAGGGTGGATTAAATTTCAAATTTGTAGCCGTTGGGGAGGCTGTGCTTCATGTGGGCTGGGCTTCACGTGCGTCGTCTACGTTTGTGGACTTGGTTTGAAACCCTCTGGTTGGGCTTGGCATATAGAGCCAGACCCATGCAAGATGAAGCTGTGAAGTTATATTTTAGAGCTTCATCATTTGGTGGTTTGAAAAAAAAAAAAAGGTGTATTTACTAATCATGAATTGAATTCTAATTGTGGAAGATTTTTGTGTTTACTTTATATCATAGAATTAAAAAGTAAGTGGGGTCCACACAAAATTAGGAATTGAATTCTTGACTTTTGAGAAATTCAATTCTTGGGTGTGATGTTGTATTTTAATTCCTAGAGAACTTAAACATTATGAATTCATGTTTTTTACCCATTATATCCTCACATAATTTTAAAAAATTCCAAAAATTCCATATATTTTAACCCAACAACGAGGATATTTTAGTAATTAGCACCACTCATTCCCCAATTCCATATGATTTAATAAACAACTTTAATATGAATCCGGAATCTAACTCTCCTTAGTTTAGTAAACAACTTCAATAGAAATTCGAAATATAATTCTCCTCAATTCAAATCCGCCTCAATTCAATTCCTCCTCAACGAGGAAATTTTAGTGTTTAATGCATTTCTATATTTTTCATGTAAGTTGCAGTAAAAATTGAAATGATTACAGACATGGATTTCATTAATTGGGAAATTGAAAGACCCAACCCCATATTTCCTCTACTCAAAACCCCAACACTATATTTTGGTTTATTTCTTGGGAGTTTCACTAAAACACCCAAAATGGGGGTTGAAATTATAAAAAAACCCAAGCATTATTTAAACATATAAACACACCAAAAACCCATCATTATACACACTCAAAACCCATTTATAAACACACCCAAAAAGTTGACTTTGGGGTTGATTTTGGGTGTGTTTCTATGTTTAAATAGTGCTTGGGTTTTTTTATAAATACATGTCTAGGATTGGGTTTATTTATAAATTTGTATTATTTCTTTTGAAATTAAGAAATGCACAAAAATCCTCAAAGAGAATGAATTAAATCAAGACCCTATCGTCGATCACGTCCTGCAACGTGAGCGAAACGACATCATACAAGTCAATCGCCGCCAACCTCGACGACATGGTCCTCATCTCCCATAGCTCTTTCCCTTACTTCATGCTCATCGCTATTGAAGGCCGCAGCCTCCTCCGCGGCCTCGTCCTTCTGCTCCCATTCACCCTCTTCATCGTAGCCTACTTCTTCTTCTTCGAAGCCCTTGGCATCCAAATCCCCATCTTCATCTCATTCTTTGACCTCAAAATCCATGACAAGTGCAAAAGGAGTGTGGTGGTGATGGCGAATCCGACGGTGATTGTGGAGTCATTCATGAAGGATTTTGGGGGCGGTGATAAGGATTTTTCAGGTGGGATATGAGTGGGAGGGATTGGTGCTGCTGGGTAGGGTTTTTAAACATTATAATATTTAGTTGTAATTTTTTAAAGGTAATTTTTATATATTTTTTAAGAAAATTAATTATTATAATATTTAATTATGTTTTTATCTAGGGACATTTTGGAAAAAGCAAAAGGAGAGAGAAAAATTTTAAAAGAAACAAAAATAGACAAAAATACCCTTATTTATTTTTAGATTTCATAAGAAATCCAATACATTTGCATGTCTTTGATGTGAAAGTTGAGTGGTTTTTTTGTCTTTTTTGAAAAAGCTTTGACTTTTTTCAAAAGTGAAAATTTTTTTATGTCTAAAACCTAAAAAACCTTTTTATATATTATACTATATGGACTAGCCATGTTACCCACTTAATTGGTGAGTAATGATCCATATGTATGGAATTACAAAAATACTCATGTCATGTCATCAAAGTTAACATAGTTTTGGATGAAGTTGACGGCATGAAGCAAAATGGGCCATCAAACCTCGGTCAATGGATAAAAGTGGGTCATTTTGAGTTTGAATTGACAAAGTGGGATTTGACCGAAGTTTCATATGGCATTAATATAATCAAGTCTTATTTATTTATTAAATAATGAAATTAATTTCAAAATCTTCACTAAATAAATAATAATTAAAACATAATTACTACTGAAAGTAATTAAATAATGCTAAGATATTATTTAATTACAAAAAATAAAATAATAAGAAAAATGATTGACATAAAGAAACTAATTTATATTTATTAAAAACAAAAACCTCTCCCCACGAAATTTAGGTCAATGTCGACGAACTTTTGTCGGGATAGGTCTAATCCTCAAAATCTTCTCTGGCATAGACATGTGCAAAATCTTCTCTGGCATAGACACGTGCACATGAAATTTTGTCGAAAGAGGTTATTTTAAATAGTAGTATAGATTTCTCTTTAAATGGCATAATATGGATTTCTCTTCTTTAAATACTTTAATTAGTAGTTATGTTTTAATTATTATTTAGTTATTGAATAATTAGTATTTAAATAATTTATCGATTTCATAAATTACTTAATTATTAGTAATTAATTATTTTAAATTATTTTGTGGACATTATTTTATAT